TATGAGGTGATGGTTGGTTGATTGATTAGGAGACCCTAAAATGGGGAGTATACCAGGGTCACTGTAAAGGATTAAAAGCAAAGAGAATAAACTGGAGCATTAAGGAACTGGGACTGAAAAGCTAGATGGATGATTTGCCAGTTAAGACTCTGGACTAAGACTGCAAACCAAAAGCCCATTGTCTGTCTTAAGCATCTTGTGCAAATGTGGGTAAGTAAATCAGATGATTCTTCAAGGGTTATAAAATGGAAATATCGATTTTTGTATATAGTCATTAATTCATTTGTATTTGCATTTGTTCATTTTTATCTGAATCAAGTAATTTTTAGATGGATACTTTGGAAGAGATGTGGACAGAAAGTCAATCTCCGGATGTTTTGGACTTTATCTCCCAGCGTTCCTGATTATTGGTAATGCTGACAGGAGTTTCTGGGGTCTGAATCTGGAGACCTGTCTTCTGCTCACCCCTGTTTTAGCCAAATATTCTGTAGCTGGAGGTGGGATAAAAAGTGGGTATCAAGAAGCATCAGTTGAATCCAGCAGCATTTGGCGCACTTAAACAGGACTTAAGTGTGCTAGAATAGGGCTATAACGAATATAGGTCAGTTATAAGGTAAAGAAGCATTAGAGAGGCTGAACAAAGGACAATCAAAAGCAGAGCAAACAGAATTGGAGTGCTTATCTTAACTTTGAAGCAACTAGGGTTGCAAAGAATGCATATAAATTGCAAATGTTATTGTAGTGCAATTCCATAAAGCATGCTATACAGAAAGCAAATCCAACAGCTGGGAAAGTTCTGTTCACATGTATATTTCATCATATCCACTGAAGAATCCATTTCACTTTGATGTTTCCATTTTATTTATGGATTATGACAAAGATAATGACTTTTCAACGTAATAGTACTTCACATCTGCTCTAACACAGAAAGAAGCCTGATGTGCCACTTGAAATTATTCGATCTGATGCGGTATAGCAATATTTTGTGGTCCACTCCGGAAACAGATTTGACTTGAATCCAACATGAGGTGTACTACACATTAGAATGGGATGTACATGTAATTCAGATCTGCAATAGAAGCATCAGTGGCATGAGTTTCTGGAATCACATTTGGAATTGTTATTCATTATCTTAACTTAATGTGATTGCTTCACCAGGTCTATATTTTCATGTTCTGATCACTTTGAGCAAAGCTTGCTCTGTAGTTGCACTGGCGCTGCTGTTGCTGTTAAGAATGCATTCTGTATCAGTTCTGCCATGCATGGTAATTTGTTCCCATGAAACCACAGATGATAACAAAAATACTTTTAGGGACATGTCCAGACTACTCAACATGTATTTCTCCTAGTCGGCCCAAGGAAGGATGGGAAACACCAGTTCAATGGGGCAAAGTGTGCTAGGGGCACAATCCTATGCATGTCCAGACAGAGAAAAGTCCTAAAACTCCCAGCGTGCTCCAGCTCATATGGCCTGCTGGGGCCTGCTGGGAGCTGAGGGGCTTTTTTCTGTCTTAACATGCATAGGCTTTCACCCTAAAAGTAACTAACTTGGCTAAATTTGTGTAAGTTCTTCTGTGTCAGGAATTGAAGCAAAAAATCAATCCATTAAATAGTTTAGCAACAAAATCTTTATGTAAAGGTCATTTCTTAAAAGCTTAAATATTAATAAAAATCCTCAAAAAAGCAATAAAAATAACAAAGCCATTATAAGGGGACTAAACTAGGCAATGAAATATAACACTTTCTTTAAACACATGTCACATAAGTTATCAATTATTTCACAGCAACTGAAGTATTTAAAGAAAACTTATTTGTATGCCTTATATTTCATTAAATGTATATTAAAACCTATTCTTGTTATGTAAGATTTGGATTAACTTGACTGTTTTGGGGCATTCAGGGGTTAACCAAATTATCTTATATACTATCTTATATACTTTTTTAAGAAAAAAGAGAATTAGTACAAGAAGCCAAGTCTTTTCTATTTACATCTGTCTATTTCACCAGCAACTTAAACATACTATTCTGAATCGTTGCCAGTTTATATGCCTTGTGTTCAGAGAGCCATACCTGACTATACAGTGTAAAATTTGGGGAACTTTGAAGTGTATAACCTGGCACTTTACCAAGACTGCTTCTTCTGTTTTCTTTGCAGGAAGATTACATCTTTTACTCAAGGTTTTGCTTTTTTGTTTTTTGGGGGGGGCGGGGGCTGTAGGGTGGGTCTCTGCCTTTCTATGGGCTTCTCAACAGGGGTCATGGCCCCTCGCTCGTGGAAATTTGCAGGGCCTTTTCATCATGTCCTCCTCCCCTTCCAGGGACTCTCCTGGGTTTTCCAACTATTTTTGTGTGGGGGGAGGGGTTTAAGAGAGAGGATAATGAGCTATTACATTTCCAACCAGAACAAAAGCCTCATATATTGTCACAAGTGTGCTATAGTGAAATTATTAGCCCAACTTGATTGTACTTGATTAATAGAATTGTGCTTGATTAATAGAATGGATAGAAAGGTAAAGAAATATACACTATATATAAACCCTAACACTGCCCCCTGCCCCCCACCACGGGTAAAGGATACACATTTCTTTCACAATGAAACTAGAAGAAGCCTCAGTAAGGTAGTTTGTATACATTCCATTACACATCAGAAAGTGGCAGAATTATTAAATATAATAGGTTTTAGTAGTTAATAATGCTGCCATTGAGGAAAATAGCAGACCCAACTCACTATAAAAATTGTGAACATGGTAACTCAGGAGATGCCCCTGAGGATGATGATATTGTGAAAAGGCTTGGCAAACTTCTGTAAGTGAAGAATCACAAATTCACACTTGTACTACAGTTACATTACAATTTGCACTTTGCAATACATGTCTATTCAATACTGAATAGTCTAGCTTGATTCTTGCTAGACTTGTTATGATTGTTAAAAATGGTGTGTTATACTGCTTTATTTACAATCATCCAAACTGAAGAAACAGCAATACATCTGAGACAATATTTTCTGCTGAGCTTCCTGACTTTAAAAACTTCCCATCTCTATCCAGCTGGGGTCACCATGCCTTAAAAACAGAAGATGAGATTTGTTCTATGGAATTTCCCTGTGTCTTCCTAAATATGGCTCCCTTTTTCTTTTTCTTTTTCTTAATTTTTCATTAAAATTTTAAACTAACACTAAAAACATCAAACATCACATACATCGGATTTACTAGGTCAACCCCCTACTACATATTTTTTAACATTCTAAAGTCAAATTCAAATCATTTTATAATAATTTGAAAACATCTTTAAGTTTACGCCAAGTCCCGTTTCTCCAGCCAGTTATAGAAAGAATCCCAAGTTTGATAGAAGTCAGTGTCCTCTTTCTCCTTCAATGATAAAGTCAATCTATCCATTTCTGCGCAGTCCAAGATCTTTCTTACAATCAATCCATCGGTGGGTAGCTCCTCACTTTTACTCCCTTTTTCTTTACAACTGGAGATACTTACTATGCATCTAAGCTCCATAGATCTTGAAATAAAGGTTCTCCCTGAACTTACTGTATAATACCATTTGACCTGAGTTAATTATCGATAGAAGTAAAGTAAAAAGAACCTGGACTGGATCCAAATTCATATTTCTGCTTCCCCTGCTCCTGTGGCAGCCTCTCTAGCTGCATGAGAATGCCACACAAGGTTCAGGAAACCCTGCTGAACAGGGTGAGCTGCGGTGTAAAAGCATGGATCCTCCAAAATTGGTTGAAGGCACCTTTTGCAATCAGAGCCTTTTAATCAACAGAAGCCAGTTGCTGGATTACCCTGCACCTTAACTGACTTCAGTCCTAGATTCACGTCTTAATTTTTAAACCTTAAAACACATTATGCTACTATTACTGATGGCGAGAAAAAAAAAAAATCTGCTTCCGATTGTCTCATACAATTGTTTGTATGCAGAAGAGTTATTTGCAAAGCATAGGCCTGTTTTTCTCTTTTGTTTTTTCCCCTTGGAATTTTATTTATTTATAACTCAACAGTTACTTTGTGATTTAATTTTGAAGACTCTTAACCACACTCATGCGGATACATACACAGTTATTGCAAGCACCTTGCAAAGCAACTGTTAGCAGAGATCACTGAAAGATTTACACAGGTGGAAGGGTCTCTATTACTTTCATGGTGTTTCAGCTTGAATTTATGATAGGATGTTTTCTATAACTGTGACGGTTCCACCACTCAGAAACTGCGAGACACACATCTGGTTTCACATGTTGCCATCCAGATGAAAGCCATAACCTGTGTCTCCATGGGGGCTAATGAAATTATTCCCCTTCAAGGTCCTTTATTAAAACAACACCTCCAGAAATACTGGCAAGAGAGAAAGACAATTTTTAATCCACTGCTTGTTACCCCTTTCTGGAAGTTTTTTTTTTTAATTATTTTTAAATAAAATAAAATCCCTCTAGTTGTTTTTCAGACAGCTGAAACACAGTATCATTGTTTTGGTAATCCTGCTATGACCTTTTGTAAATGTTTTCATCCCGCAAAGTAGATTTCAGGCACTATTTCATAAATCTTTTTCTGCTTCACGAGTTAGCACTCATGAATGTTGTGATTGTTTTGCTGTCGAGGATGATAAAAGGAAATAAGTATTTTACAGAGTTTTTTTTACCATACAAAGATCTGACTTTAAAGCACTTTTCAGTATCATTTGTTTACAATGCCCTTCTTTTTGGAGCTGACAAGGTTAAGGAGCAATTACTTTCCCACCATTTTCACGGAGTGCATTAAAGTAGGTTAAATATGCTAATAACCACCTAACTGCCTCTGGAATGCACCATACTGGTCACCAGAGTAATACACTCTGATAATGTTTAACGTTTTGTTCTGCAATTACTTCTTTATTAGGCATCCAGAAGGTGTCAAAGCAAAGCTGCCATATATCTCCCAGCAGAGGCTGTGTTTTCAGAAGGAGCACCAGCAAAGATACTGTATTAAGCAAGGATAACCAAGACAAACATTAACATGGCTAGCATGGCTATTCAATTACTGGGTTTCTTCCTGAGCCTTCTGGGTCTAGCTGGAACAATCGCTGCTACAATCCTGCCCCACTGGTGGAGAACAGCACATGTGGGAACCAACATCATCACCGCTGTAGCATACATGAAGGGTCTCTGGATGGAATGTGTTTGGCACAGCACTGGGATCTACCAGTGCCAGCTCCATCGCTCTCCACTGGCTTTGCCTCGTGACCTTCAAGCAGCCCGTGCCATGATGGTGATTTCCTGTGTTCTTTCCGTTCTGGCATGTGTGATTGCTGCCATTGGCATGAAGTGCACCCGATGTGCCCAAGGGTCCTCAGCCAAAAATGTATTTGCTGTCTTGGGTGGAGTCCTTTTCATATTGGCTGGGCTCATATGCCTTGTCCCTGTTTCTTGGTCAACTAATGATGTAGTAACTGATTTCTACAACCCAATGCTGCCCAATGGGATGAAATATGAAATTGGGCAAGCTCTTTACCTTGGCTTTGTCTGCGCTTCATTGAATATAATCGGTGGAGTTATCCTGTGTACTTCATGCCAACGTGCTGGGAACAACATAACCTACCACTCACAACGAAGGGCCACAAGGGCAGCACCATCCTACAGACCACCATTGGTCTACAAGGCAAACCACACTTCATCATTTACATCCGCTTCACATAGTGGTTACAGGTTAAATGACTATGTGTGAGTTTGGGGGATTTACTTGTATGTTGCTGCTTTTTTAAAAAACAAAGTACTTATGTATGTATGAAATCTAGCAAAGAACGCTAAAGAAGGTACCATTCTTTCATAAAATGTTTACTGATATTCTGCATTTCATGTGAAGAATGCTTGCAATTTTGAAAAAGGGTGCTTTGAAACTTGAATTTAAAAATAGAGAGTTGAGTATTCCAAGACATACGATATTCTGCATATGTGAAATTAAGGTCAATATAGGCAGGTAATGTCTTTCCTATTTTCTATGCACATAAAAATAATAAATGCAATAATACATAATCTTAATAAAGCATCTCCCATTAAAAGAATTAGTACTATAACTTCTTAATTCCATTTTGTCCAAGTCTTCATATTCCAAATTTTCTTCCCTTCCCTAAATCATATTTAATAAATGAGTTGTACCATTATCAACCTACTTTACTTCTAAATTTAGTGAGTTTTGTTTTTGCAAAAACAAATGAAAACTTTGTGTTTGATTCATCTATTGTCCTGTGCATTTATTCCACAAATATAAACAAGTACAAATGGCTGGTACACATACAATTGGGCATAATGGTTTCATTATGAAAGCTCAGTTGGTGTGGCAAGACTCAGATATGGTACCACCATAGAGGCCACCATCACCTTCCCTCTGCCATGGCAAAGGATTGGCATATCTATCTGATGTATTTTATGGCTCTGAAAGAAGTGTTTTTGAGCTCGTAAATGCAACACTGGAATATGGAAGGGTTTTTTTTGGTACATATTCTGTATCCAAGACACATAGGTAACAGGAACAGAACTGTGTAATGATACCATTTTTTCCCCTTAGATTTCCCCATTTTACATGTTGAAAAACATACAGTAATTATTCATATCTGGTTAGTGTTCTGCAGTGATGTATGTACTGCAATTTTCAATCAATTTTGAAACTACAGATCAGTTTGACCTTTTTTTTTTTTTTGGTCAAGCTGAATTGATGGGAACAAATGCTGTTTTTTAACTTCTGCTCAAATGTCCATACATATACACAATATAACCTTAAAGTGGAGAGCAAGTTAATTAAAATGCCATTAGGCAGAAATAAAAAATGAAACAGGAAACTGATGGTGGAAACACAGTAAGAGGATTAATACAATATTGTTGTACATATCTGATGAACAGTTTGAAATTCAGGGTGGGCTTTATTTGGTGTGTGAGAAAGTGTTATCTGAAGCATTTATTTGATTTGCATATCAGTTGGCCTTTATTTATTTTGCCTTCCCAAAGATACAAGAAGCTGTGGTTGGACATATTAGAATTAACTCTGATTTGGTGAAAAATCAGAGTATTTCCAGTCAACTTCCAGTCAAAGTAAATTCTGTACTCTTGTCACATGTACTATCTGACTTTAAGAATATTATTAGATACAAATATTATGGTGTCCTACAGAAATTGATCCAGAATATTTGATTCAATGCGGTAGTTCACTGCCTAAAAGGAAAATACTCAAGTGAGATACAGTAAACCAGCCATTACATTCATTCCTCATACCTTTTCTATCCTATGACTCTATATGCAGACATTTAGGGCAAATTCTTTCTTATAGCTTTACCCAATAGATCATTAAGTTCAATTAAACAGATTTGACAGTAACTATCAGTGTCATTTATTCCTTTCTAGTTTTTATTTACTATCAGAAAAGGCAAAAATTCTTGCATCCTTCATATATGATAAAAGATGCATGCATAGCTGTATTTGTATTATCAGGTAGGGAAATAGCTTTATAGATTTCTGTTATTCAGGTGACTACATAACTCTGATATTGCCTATTCAAGGAAGACTGTATTTACGAAAATCATGTAATGGAGATTTCCCAGAATTCTCATCTGCCATACCTTTGAGGCAGGAAGTAGTGCTTTTCTCTTGGGTGGACAGATGCACTATGAGAAACTGTGGGGAAACCTTTACCGTGGTAATATTCACATGAACAAACATGTGAAATGGGAACTTTATACTTTTGATAAAGTCACACAAAGGGACTGCAATTTCTCCTTCATTTTAACTTGAGCTACTTTTTGTAGCCTGCAAGTTTAAAATTTACATTGCACAGTCATTTTTTAAAGTGAAAAGAAAATCCATAATTTAAGGAACATTATTGCCTCTACCTATAAGCCACATGCCGGAAACACTAGAGCTAATACCATATATTTCATATGTAGCTGAAACGGGTTATTAGCATAATAAATACACACATGGACATAGCTGATGAAATCCTAGGGGTGAAGGAATGCTCTGGTAAATGTGGTCCACTTGTAAAAACATTTGCTCACACAGTGAGTGTCATTATTGTGCAGTAAGGAAAGTATCAGGTAATACACTAAAAGTGTACTCAAAAAAACATTTACAACAGAGTTAACTGCGAGACAGCCTAGATCAATGAAGTGGGAAAGATACCTCACTGTCATGAGCCAGCAAGGGGCCCAGGTGACAAGGTCCTAATGAGAAGATTTGCACATGAGGCATTTTAAGCAGAAAGAATATATTTTGGATTATTTACATTAATAATATCTACATAACAAATTGAAAAAAAAATATTACAACCCTGATCCTCAGGGTCTTCAAGAATTCCTCTAACTGCCAATGGACCAGCTGCTCCATTTCCTAGTGGCTGACCTATCCTTCACAACCTAAGCATCCATCAAAGCCCACACACTCTTACAGGAAAGGATGAGGAATATCCCCTGTTATCACCTGTTAATTCTATGTCCCTGAACTGGAATTGTAGAACTTTCTTCTGCCTAAAGATTGCACCAATAATTGCTTATTTCCATACCTAGCACTGGACATGGCAAACCACAAGAATCAATCCGGACTAGGGATTTCTTCTGCCTCTTATCTGGATTTGCAGGAAATTAAATGGGAGCTGTTCTCCTATGTATATCATCTACACTTGAACATCTGGTAGGACCTTTATAGCTTACAAGTACATTTGACCAACCCAGGGATATTTCCAAGTTGGGTTAGATAACATGGAACCCTTCAGATTTTTGGACTACAACTCCTATGAGCCCCAGATGGCATGGCCAATTGTCAGGGATTAAGGGAATTGTGATCCAATGCATTTGAAGGACACTCCATGGTACATCCCTGATTTAAAGCCAATTTTCTAACTTTTCTATTTGACCCAAAACATGAATAGCCTACCTCTGAATATTCCTCTATCAGGCAAATGTAGCTTCCTTCCTCATCTTAAACCAGGGCTGTGGCTGCTTAGGTGTTGTTGGACAACAGCCATAAGCTTACCACTGTTCTTACCACTCTGAAAAGAGTTATAGTCCAACAGCACCTGGGAGGATCACTAATTCACCAACCCTGTTAACCCTTTTTAAAAAGTGGAAAATTTGAGTACACTAAATACTCTGCTTAGCCTAGGGATCTGTGTTACTGCACATCCAGTTCCTTGCATCCATGCTAAATGTTTGCCTTAAAGAAAACACTGGAAACAATAGACAAGGCTCTGGCTGAAAGTGACTGGGAAGGTTTGCCAAGACACTGCTTTCCTTCTTCACTGGAAATTAATCCACAAGTCTTGGAATTGTTTCAGCTCAAGGCTTACAACAGAGTGTGGGGCAATATCAAATAGAAACCATGTTCCAACTGGTCCTGTATTGCAGGATAACTGGAGTGGCTTCCTTCACAGCTCTTCACTGATAATTTTGCATATGTTCTGTAACTGATGTGGAACTGAAAATGAGAAAAGCTCCAGACATTTCTGAGACACCCAAATATCTTGAAACATTTAGTGGCATTCATAGTTTTCTCTCCTTAATACTGGGCATGAACTTTATTGTTACCTTTGCATCCTCTCTCCTTCCAAGGAGTTTAAGGTTGTGAAGTTATGACTCTGCCCCATTTTAAAACGAATCTAGAAAACTCCCAGTTCCTTTCATAGAAGTACAGCATAATCCTGTGCATGTTTACTTGGAATTAAGTCTTGCAGTGACTGAGATCTAATCCATCATGAATGCAGCAAGTCTGGAAAAGAGATTTGATAAGCCCCAGCAACACATTGAAAAGTGTTTGTTGTGCATGACAAGGCAACATTTTGCACAAAAAGCCATTTGTTTCTCCAAACAAATTAAAAAGCAAGTATATGACAGCACTGTTGTGAAGACTTGCCACTGCCTGAAAATAATTGTACAGGAAGAGCAAATGTTCAGCTTGAATGTGAAGTATGGGAAGCAGAACTGCTGAGTACAGTAATGGCTGGTGGGTGAGCTTCTGTCATGTTCGTGGCTGTGGTTAAACTCAACAGGGTAAAGGAAGAAGAGCATTTAGAGGAACATTACTATCATGAGTATCTCACCGATTAAAACGATCAGAAAATGCTGCCCTGTAGTGGAAGGGTTGCTAGGCCCAGCATGGAGATCTTGTAAGCCAGGCTGGGGCAGCCAGGCTGCTTCAACAGTGGTCAGAGATGACATATCACCAGTGGGACAGACGGCCCCAAATATCCACTCAGAAAGCAGCAGGTAATGAGGGCAGCAGAAGCCAATTCCTTTTGATACCAGATGGTGCTGTGATTTGAGTGAGTTTAAAATGCTCCTATTTTAAAAAGCAGGCTCATAAACAGCTTTTTGTCGTCGTCCTTATCAGAAATCTAGAAGCAGCTGTAAAGCATGGAATTGCAGGTGGTGTGGAGAAATATTATATGTGTGTTTCATATCTGAGGTAATAGACTTGGGCACCTAAAGCAGAACCCCATAGGATGAGAGTCTAAAATTACCTGCTTCACTGAATCTCACACAGAGCACATGTGGACCTAACATGGGAAGAAAATGGGAAATGCCTATAAAATTAAAAAGAAGGGATCTCTATCCCTGCTGGAATTGCTAGTTTGATCTGTTTCATCAAGTGAAACAATTCCAGGCTATGCTAGTAAATTTCTAATAAAACTTGAGAGTAAGAGAACCAATGTAAAATAAGTGTTGGTGAAAGGAACAGATATTCAAACCGCCTCTGGGTTAATAGCAGTATTTGTTTCTGATTGTGGCTGCTTGATACTCATCAGATATCAAAGAGTGGAATATGTGAAATGGTCCCCACAGAAGTTATAAGGAATGCTAACTTTGGGGATTTCAATGCCTCCAGGCAGACGGTATTTGATATTTCATTGTGCTGAATGTGTTCCATAGTTCACTATGCAACTCTCCTGCTGTCCAATTTTTGAGAGTTTATCCTCGGACTCCAAACAATAAAATGCAGGAAAGCAATATAGTAAAGACCCAACAACTCGGGTCAAAGGACTGTTGACATTATATAGAGTTATATCTCATTGTTGCCTTCTGCAAACAGAGAGATTCTTCCCTTTTGCAGAACAGTATATATTTACTTATTAGATTACTGTACTGTTCAACTGGCTAATGTCCCAGGTGAGGTATATAATCATTAAAACAAACAAGTAACCCAAAACAAATAAAACTAGACATTATACTGCAACAAGGCAAGCATCATAATATAAAATTAAACATTAAAAACATTGAGAAGTACCCAGCTCTCAAAACTATTGTGTGTAGTCACTTCCCAGAAAAGAACCTTCAAAGACAGCTTTAGCAATTCAGCAGGAACATAAAAGGAAAGGTGCACTTTCAGGTAGACTAGTCCTATACTGTTTAGGGCTTTAAAAATCAACACCAGTGCTTTGAACTGGGCCCAGAAACTGACAGGTGATACAGCACTGGAGGAATATGTGCAAAACAGCTTGTCCCAGCAAGCAGCCTCACTGCTCTGTTCTGCAGTAGCTTACGTTTCCGGAACTTCTTTAGAGGTAGCCCCACTTAGAACAGAGGCCCGATCCAACCTGCCTGAGGCCCCACATCTTTTTCTTTGACCACTGATCATTTGAAGTTTTCTCCCCACTTTAAAAAGATGAAGTGCCTCTCCTAAGGCTTAGGGACTTGCAGGAAGAGCTTTAGGTTACAATATGCCGGTAGTTCCAACCCTGTACCCTTTTGCCTTTGCCCCTGCCCTGTCCTGGAATGTGGCCCCCAATAGCCTCTCTAGAAGGGTATTTGACCATCAGACAAAAAACTGCTTCAATACCTGGAGTTAAAACACAGATGATAAAATAAAAAACTTAATGTATGCAATCCTTCTCTCACAAACAAAACTGCCCTTGTTTAGGGCTTCCCTACGTGAGGCATTTATTGTGCTCTCATAATCCCACATGCACAGACGTTTGCAGGGCCATTTCTTGTTCTTGTCCTCCATGGCATCTCTTAAATTTACCAGGCTTCTTCATGGGTGTTTTCAGAGCAAAGAAAATCTGGTATTAAACTTTAAATTGTGAGAAACTGGAACAAAAGCCTCATGAAAAGACTTTTCATACTTCAGCACCGCCTTGCTTATATCATGTACAGAATGCTAGAGAAAAAGCACTTTGTAAAAGATTCATTTTTCCTCTGAAATGAAAATGGAAGAAGATGCCTCCATAAAGCAGCAGGTTAAATCCCTCATGTAAACATACCATGAATCTTTCATGTCATGGTGTTTAAAATAATTACATCTTTTATTGTTAACATGTACAGGCAAAATTAACTAAGAAAGGTCTGATTTTTCAGTTACTCTCACAGTGTAATTCCAAGTAAGAAACAGATGTCATTGTGAGCAGAGAAAATTCATCACTTTCCAGCTAACTCCCCGAAGCTCTTTTGGTTTATACACCTGACTAGTTACAGATAACTTCATTTGTTCAGAGCAGATTTACTTACAAGTAAAAGACTCCAAGACATATTTTGATGGAAACCAACATAAAGTGGTCCACTACACAGGCAGAGCATCTAACATAACTCTGGACCTGCGAAATATATGAATATCTGCTACTGCTATGCAGCTTTTACTACAGCCAATATTTTAACATTGTAAAAACATGGTACAATGGTTCTTCTTAGGGAAGAACTACACAACAGGGAGAATATAGAAATAACATATCATATCCATACATAATAATAATTTATATCACAATATAATAACGGGAAAGGGGAAATAATTTTCACTTCCATTTCAAATATATACATTAATATAAATGGTCTTTCTAAATAAGCATCCATATCATATCGTTTTCTGTGAGAGAGACATTCAAATGTGACCAGAGCAGTAAGATCTTCCATCTACTGTATAAACCGGGGGCATGGATGCACAGGTGTTGTAAAATCCATTCCAGACATGCTTTGTGGATTGATGTGCCCTTCATTCTGTCATCTGAAAGGAACATTAGAAAAGCCATGCTGGATCAGACCAATTCTCTACCCAGTCCAGCGTTTCATTCACATGGTGGCAAACCAGCCATCCACAGGATCCCTCAAGCAGGACGGGTGTAAGATCTCTGCCTGCCCAAGCTCCTCAGCAAATGGTGTATGCAGTACACACATCTGGTAATGGAGGCAGCACATAGCCAGCAAGCCACTGATACTCTCCTCCTCCATGAATTTGTCCAATCCTCTTTTAAAGCCATCTAAATTGGTGCTCATTATCACCGAAACTGAAATTAAGCTCAAAGAGGTTCCTCATACCAACTTAAAGGTACATTGATTACCTATTTATGAACATACATACAGGAGGCTTCTTGCCTCACTTCTGTTTGCAACTTGTGATAAATGACTAGATTTTTTAAAGAAGGATTATGACATCCGTTACACAAAAGGGGCTATTTCTTCAGATTAGCTAAATTATCTGGAATTTCTTTTTAATCATATACATTTATTTATAACAGTGACATTCATAGTAGGTTAATCACAGATTAACCAATAGTTTAGTCATAGGATCCCCAAAATGTGAAGCCAATCACTCCTCTGTTTCAGCACAGCAGGCAAGGTATTTGGAGTATTACCTACTTGCTGTGCTTGGCTGGTATCTTATTCTTAAAATAAATAACTGTATGAAAAGTCATTAACAGAATATTTGAGCTTGCTGTAGAAAGAAAATTAAAAGTAATGTCAAAATTTTAACAACCTTCCTTATTGCTGAGGAACAGCATCAAACAGCTGTTCATATTGTCCAGTATACTTTAGCCAAGTATAATTGCAGCCTGACATTTCCTCTTTAAAACATTCCTTGCCCCAGAGCTGAGCCAAGGAAATTTTGGACAAGACTAGCGTGTTAAAAATATGAATGTGCCCTTATTGGAGCAAAGTTACATGCTTTATATTAAATGTGCTCATTGAGAAAATAGCGCTGCATAAAATTTGTCAGGATGAGAAATAACTTGGGCAAAAAAAGCCCCCTTGCCAGGCATCCATCAAAAATGCACTACTTACCAGCCTTTTAGAATGGAGTCTTGCTTGAAATGGACTGTGATACATAAATGCTGTTGGTTCCTATTTTAATAGTTACAGTTCAGTTACCAAGCAAATTATCTGATTCGCTCAAAACACACCATTTGTCCACCCAGTTTGTGAAGAATAATACTTGTATTTTTTGTGTCTGCTATTCTAGGCAGGCTGAAAAATCCCCAACTCCAATTATTTTATTGTGGCTTTTATTTCTGTTTCGACTGTATTTGAAGTAGGAACCTATCAGTTCTGTGCTTTATGAAGCACCTTTGGATGATATCCAGATTTAAGAATGCATTCCTATACATATCTTCTCAAACGTAAATCCCATTAATCAGAATCTACTTCTAAGTAAGTGGGTACAGTATTACAATCAAATAGACAACTGTATGAACGTCTGCTCAGAATATGCTCATGGAAGTTGCTCTGTAGGGCTTAGGGAAGTAGTTACATAAGAAACTTTTACACTGATTTCTGTGGGGCCCCAGTATGGCCAACTCTGGATCCAGTCTTGATCCACAGGACATCAATAATGCACTGAGAAGTCACAAGACTAATTAATGTAATTGTATAAAATCAGGAGCAGACAAACCTAGGAGGTGCTTATCATATTATTCACATAGATAAAGGCCATGAAACACAAACTGCTACTTTGTATTACATCACCTCAGGTTTTCACCTTCCCTGCATAACTTGACACTACTCAGGTTATAAACAATACATTAAAACAAACCTTACTTTAAATCTAGATCTTTCAGCCATATCCACTGTGGTATAGAAGTTAAAAGCGCATGACTGGGACTCAAGCGATTCCTGCTCAGTTCCTGCTCAGCCATGGAGCCAACTGGGTGATTCTGGGCCAGTCAGACTTTCAGCACAACCTACCTCATAGGTTTGTTGTGAGGATAAGATGGAGGAGGAGGAGGAGGAGGAAAGAGTAGGAAGAGAATGTAAGCCGTTTTGTAAGTTTTTTGTAAGAAAAAAGCAGTATATAAATTTAATAAATAAAAAATATTCTCCCACCTCCATTTTTACTTTAAATTGGTGCAGACTGGAACCAGAACATGTGGGGTAGGACTGCTTTTCAGATCAAGGTCAGATCTCCTGTGTCTACTTTAAAGTAAAAATGAAAACTAGGTATTGCTACTATGGATTTAAAGTAATACCCATGTTGGGCTAAGCCTCTGACCAGACCAGTGCTGGGAGTTTTATACTCAGGATGATCAGAAAAAACAAAAATTGAATGCCTAGCACACATTCATAGCATGTTCATGCTTTAATTCTGTATCTATTACTTCAAAATATATCCAAGAGTTCTAGACTGGCCGATGTTAATCTGGGACTATAGTTTAATCTTTTTTTATTCTGAACAATTAAAATGTATTAATATCCAGATGTGCAGAATGTAAACCCTGGCAACTATACAGGGGAAATTCAACCCATTAGATTGGAGGCATAATACATAATCTCTGCCTTGTTATCATTAGATATCTAAGAGCACAATCCTATACATATTTCGACTTACTAGGACTTGAGGAGCACTTACACTTGTTGGAAAAGCTACTAGAAGAATGATGTTATAATTGCTACCACCTCCTCCTGTTCTAGCCACAAGTACAATGAAGAAAAGTTTGTCTGCACAAGAGTTTTTTCTTAAAGATGCTTTGCATATAACATGGGGAAAAGCATGTGAAGTAGTAATATATATGACAGTAACATACTAATGAAATTCATCCTGAAAAAAAGTTTTTTCAGTACATGACATGATGTGGGTCAAGAAAAAAATATTTCTACCTTTTTACAATTATTCTGGCCAAGTCTACATGCAAGTTATTATTGCTTCATTGTTTTCTGAATGCTTGTGACATAGTATTGGTTTCCTAGCAGCCATATCGACCATAACTTTCAAAACATTCAGCTGAACATCAGTTTACTGGCTAGGAAAACAAAGACTATAGAGCTGTCTACACAGCACTTGTGTAATAAAAGTTAAAACTCATGGTGGGAGAAAGGAATTCTAAATGGTTTATTTCAACAATATTGTAAGGTTACCAGAAGGCCCTTTTGCAGCAGTGTAAAAGAAAAGGGCTAAGATGTCCTTCTGTTAGTCTTCCAGTTGAAACTGCAGCCAGTGGCAAGTTTATATTTAAAAATACACTGACAAACTGAATGGAGTAACCTTATGTTAAGCTTTCCCGTTTTTGTATTTCCAGGAAACACACAGCCAGAAAATTCTGTTCCCAAGCTGTATACTGTAAAACAGTGACATCCAGTGGCCAGACGGTATATATGGTAATTAACTCCCCACTCAAGTTGGTTTTCTGTTTTGTCTATCAGAATGACCTTCTCAGATAATACTATTACATATTTTCCTGTGAAGATGCAAGAATTAGCTCCATGTTTCAAGTCTAAAGTATCATACCAGTCCTTCTATTCTAATACAGAGCACTATGGCAATTGCTTTCTTAAACTTACACAGAGAAGCTGATTCAAGAATGCTTCAGAAACAGAATCTATGCAAACAATATTTGCATATATTATTTAAATAGTAACGTGTTCTTTCACATTGAGTTCTCACCCAACGTCAGTTTGAATTTGGCCTGTTATATGAGACATGATTTATTTATATTTTTACCAAACTCTAGAGACAACATGGGCAGAAAATATGAACGCTGAGCTTTTTATTCTATACATTGTACCTACAGTGACTTATTAGTAAATGCAGATGATAAAACTTATTTTTAAAGTTGCAACCCCTTTAAAGAGAAGCAGGACCATTTGTATTTGTGCCACAAATAAACTGTATGACAAACTTTTAAGGAGAAATTAAGCAGTATACTTTTCAATTTTGCTTTCAGTCCAGCTTCCATAAGCATCCACTGAGATTTGCCTAAAACTCTGACACCTTTTTGCTTGCATGTATGTGAAAACCTTGGATACTCTGATATTTGCATTTACATGTATTTTATGCTTATATGAATTACTGGAAAGGCAAAAGGAATATATTTGATTTATGAACCTCTCTGGGATTGCATTTTGCAAATTAGCCTGTGAAGCTGAAGTATGAATATAACCACTCCTTCAAAAGGGACCAGGAAGAAAATGACCCCTTAAATGGTTATTGAAATAAGACACATATGCAACCATGTGATATTTTCAGACCCCCAAAACTCTCAGTGGCTTATCACACAGCCAACATTTTCTTAAGAATGTTTTGCCAAAGAGTGCTACAGTTACATCCCTGCCACAAAGCAGTATTTATGCAGATATAATTCTATGCTGCAACATCTATTTCATATAGGGTATAAAAAAACATTTTCCCAGGAATATTGTTTGTAGAACTTTGGACTTGCTGAAGGCAATGTATTCATTACAGCTCAATACTTCAGTGGTTTTACATCTTATTTTTAATTATAAAATTGAAGCGTCAGCAATCTTAAGACGTTTAGGTGATGGTGGAGTTTGCAAAGGGTCCTCAGGTGGTGAGGGTCTCTCTGAAATATTGAAGAAAACCAGTATTTAGTTTTGGAATTACAATGAGCCAATGATACCTATATTCTTTCAGAGTAATAAGACATGTTTTCCCACCAAATTTATTAAAATAGGTAAGGCACTTTTATTGTGCTATCCATGCATAGACCATCAATCCAAAAAGTAACCTTGACTTAGTACAGAGCTGGAGAACACTTGGTCCTCCAGATGAACTATATTTCTCAATGGCCCTGACCACAGGTGATGCTAGAACGCTGAGTGGATGGGTAATATAAGCTATGGAAGCAAAAATCAGTTTAACACTGTTCATGCAATACTAAATGATAAACTACCAATAGTAAGATGTTTTACCATGTTGAATACATTCTGTAGAAGCCGTACAGACTGCGCTTGAAGTTCCTGGATCTGGAGTAGCTGGTTTTAGAGGCGTCAAGGCAACTCTCCTAAATAAGAATCAGAAATAAAAATTAGGACCACTTTGGAAATCATACTTAATCCAAAATCAATTAGTTTTATCCATCCTCACTTTTCTTAATGCTATCCCTCTTCCCCTTGGCTCTTTACTTCTTCCTACTCTTAATTCCCATGACTTCCTGCTTGGGCTTAGACTCATTATATCTTGAGCAAAGGCATCCTATTCTCAGAAATCTGAAAAGCTGCCTGGTATTGCATTTGATGAAAAGCTTCATTCATATCTGCTTCAAAGCTAACTCCTCAAAATTTTGTTGAGGAGAATTCAGGCACTGTATAACAATTTGAGCATAGGTGTCAAAGTTACAATAGGGAGAAATCTATTGGAAACCACTGTGGATAAGGGAGTGTGACAGTTCCTGTTAGCACTGCTTTTATTTAATCTTTATTTTATAACATATCTTCCTATGTTTTTGGTGTAATTCTTCCCTTTCTGATTAAGAGACAGGGGAATTCCTGTTTTATTATACATTGATGATGCTACTCTTAGCAATGAACAGACTGCTGAGAACTTCTGAGAACACAGAAGAAATCCTATGACTAATGGGGTGGGATACAAATTAAACAAACTAACTTCTGCTTAGAAGAGTGCTATCTATTCCTGGCTCAAGATTGTTTTTCAATAGGTCTCTCTTGTGTTTCTTGCATATGAAGACATGGGGGCAGAATCATGGCCACAAAGATATGTGAAACAGTTGTGGCACCCCATTAATGGAACCAGCTCTCCAGAGATGTGTGCCAAGTGCCTTCTTTGTATATACTTCAGTGCCAAGTTTAAAAAAAATATTCATAATTATTATTGTTGACTGTTTTAGGTTTACATTTTAATTCTGAGCCATATTTTAATTCATAAATTTGGTATTTTAATTGGGATCTTTTAGGATTTATCGTATCTGTGATGTTAATGTGGGAGGTTATTACTTGACTGGTGCTCTTTTTGTGATGGGGATGTTTTATTGTTCATTGGTTTTGGGGTTTTAATTGATTGGTTTATGTAGTTTTTATACTCTGTTATGGTTTTATTATGTAGAGAGCCAAGAGACTATTGGGACAGCATACAAAAGTGATGGATAGGTAGAGAGAATCAATTCTAACCTGGGTTTCTAAGGGAGCTACAACACTATGCATCTGGAATTCTCAAAACAGCTAATTGATGTTGATTTTCAGACTACTGTACTGGTGAACAAGTGCCATTCCAGCTTACTATATAAAGAATTTGCAGCCCCTCTTAGAAAACTGCCTCCGTATTTATCTTTAATCTGTCATATGGTTTTAGATGGCTCTTAACTAAAGGCAGATTAAACATCTTGCTATGAATGCAAGTTAAGGAACACTGTGCTGGCTGGCATTATGCAGAGACATTATGCAGATGGATGCCAGAAGATAGATAATTTAGTTAGAAAGTACAATATACTTTTAGAATGTCTATTAAGAGATAATTCCCTTCTGAACTAAATTAGCTACTTAACTAAATAATTATGGTATACCTATCAATTGTGAACAGTTTGTTAAATTTTCTTTAATTTTATTACACTTAACCCAATTTTCCTGTACACTGACATCTTATATTCTTTCTTGTTTGACTTTGATGCATATGCAAAAGCCTGGGTGGCTATTGAGCAATAACTGAACTAAACTCAGGCCTGGGGAGGATGTTTATTTCTTTTCTGGAAACTACAGGATTAGGCTTACCTTGGTGTTTTACTCCATGCTTGTAATGTATTGAGTGTAATCCTTCTGGGCTGGTTTGCTTTTGAACTATGGTTTGATGGTTGTGTGGGTTTCCTCTCTTCTGAGAAAGATGCTGGAATGTTTCTGACAGCAACAGGTGTGGAAGGCAAGTCTTTAATGGGTACCGGCGTCTTGCATTGCACACTTGGACTACTTGAATCCATGGTTCTGTTAGTAGTGCTATCCCCTGGTTTGGGAGGTGGGGAGACAACACTGGGAGACTGTCCCCTCTTCGGTTTCTTCTCTGCTGTGCTGGGAGTCCTGATACTTATAACTGGCTTCTCTTTCAGTGGTATTCCAAGTTCATTTTCTTCGAAAGTCACAAAAGAACAATATCCATCCGTAGAGGAAATAGCGAGGAAGGATCCGTCACTGGACCTGGTGTTAATTTATGGGTATAGAAAAGCTGTTTAGTTGCCCCAATTACTCTTCAATAATAAAAAGATGTACATAAATCCTATATGAAAAGTTCACTGACCCCCAATAGTACTTCTAAAAATAATTCATATAGGACATAGGATGACGGTAGGATAAATGGATATTTACACCCATGACTACAGCAACAGCATTGTGGCCATCTTTAATTTGGGATCGCCACCACTTTGGCACCCATCCAACATTAGTTGTAATATTAAAATAGAAATGAAATTTATGAGCCAGAGGCCATAGCTCTCACCACTGGCAACAGTGACTGCAGTGAGACATTTTGGAGCTTCATATAATCAGAGAAGTTACTGTGTTTGGAGTTCAGGTAAAAAATAAGTGAATGGAGTGAATGGAGACCAGAAATTTCCCAATAAAAAAGTGTCAAGTCCTAGGTCTGTATTCAAATGAAGTAATTGCCTGTTGCAGATGTTAGATAAAGTATCTGGATGCTGAACACAGTGACTGTTTTCAAAATAGTGCCAAAAAATATTTAGCAACAGTGTCCAAAATTATGCAAAGGCTTGCAGTAATATTTAAAATCAAATTCAACATAAATCTTTAAATGCATAAATCTGCATAGAAATGTAATATGGAAAATATTTTCTTCCATACATTTTTCCCTTGCTAATATTAAATCAATGCTCTAGCAGACTCTTAAATTAGAATATTTGCTGATCCTCTGAAAGAAGACAATTTACAATTTGAGTGTGTACAGAAGAAAAACTAAGAGAGCGAGAAGGATTCTAACTATGTGCTATTGTCTGCATACTGAAGACAGACAAGCCAGTTGGGAAAAGCAATCACAAACATATAAAATACCTACCATGAAATGTCACTCAAAGTGTGGTAATGTATATTAGACACATAACCAAAAGGAAAGGATTGCTGTGTATCATAGAAGAGCACAGAATCTTCAGAAGCAACCGCAAAAACCAACCGATAGGGCAGATTTATCAGACCAGTCTTCATAGGAACATCTTCTAAAATAAGAAGTTTTCTCATATTAAAAATATTTCTTATATAAAACTGTGTCCCCTTTAGTAATTAAACAAGATGAGAGATTTTGAGGACCTTCTTTGAATGCTACTGCAGTTCCACTGGAACTCGGAACCTGTGATAATAGTAAGTTTAATTTATTGACTGGGTTTATGTATCCAAAAGGGGAAAAAATGTCACAGTGGCTTATTTTCATCCAGGTATGTTGGCTGCCATGTGCTTAATTAGCATGATCACCATTTTTGGACACGGGTTGCTGCAATGCGATGGTAGGTGGCTCGGGTTTCTGCTTACAAGGTGGCTTTCTGGTTACAAAACACCCAGGAAGTCAAGGTGTATTCCAGTGTTCCAGGGTGATTTGTAAACCATTTTAGTAATCCATCCTCACCAGGTCTGGATGTCATGACAACTTGTATCCAGCATCAGTAACAATGTTCACTGCACTATGCAGTGCTATGTTATATAATGAAAAAGCTAAGACATAGAATGGTATATTTTTAACATAGCTAGGTTTATTATTTTAGTAGACCTGTGGAACAATATACTCTACACAAGAGTTACAATACCTTTATTAAGTGTACATTTCAACTCAAAGTAAACTGGGCAGCAACGAACAGCTAAGGTTGCCTTTCCAGGACAAGGGAGATGAGCTATAGGCCTAATAAGAAAGAGTAGATGTTTAGCCAAAATATTTGAAATATGTATTTAAAATATAAGCAAATACACTTCCAATAAAAATGTACCTTTTCAGATTTTTTCTGGAAAAAACGTAAGTAGTGTTTGTTACATTTTCTCCTGATTCCACACAGCCTGCTGAGAAAGTTAATGCAGGGAAAAATGTTAGGCCTGCACTTAATGCTTCAGGCTTAGTTTATCTAGAAATTCTCAAATCCTTAAAAATCCATGCTTCCTTAGTATTGTCACCATAGCTTTCTAACAACTCACAATACAGGAATGTGTTAGGAGTTCAATATTGTACAATGTCTTATAGCTTATAGCTATTGCTAGCCTTATCCTCCATGAATCTGTCCATTCCGTTTACAGAGACACCCTGGTTAGTGACCATCACTATGGGTAGCAAAAATGAATTTCATATTTTAATTATGCATTGTTTCTTTTTTAATTTTATGAAAACAAGGGAAAATATATAAATTATCATTTGCAATCCAAAGAAAATTATAATTGTACTTAACTTGAAAAGCATGAGTTACCATCAAGTTTACTGAGAAGTCAGCTCAAATTGTTTGATACAGATCATTATCAAGATACTAGATGAAAATCAAACAAGCAGATCCACATGTTTGGCTTTATTAAAAAAAAAAAAGTATGATCTACTCTTCCCCTTAAGGCATTTCATTCACAATGCTTCCAAGACATAATTTTTTTATTTGGTTACCACTCCCTACTGCAGGTCTAGATGAAGGAACTAACTATTTGTACATACCAGGAACAAGAAGCAGAGAGCCATCAGGAGTAAAAGTCAGTCTCCGGAAGAATGACTTCATACTGTCATCATGAAACATTCGATAACTTTTCATCTGAATAACATGACAATAAAAATCTAGATTTCCAAGATACTGTACAGATAAATGCATCCATCCGTTTATTGATCTTATTCAAGAGACGACAGGACTCTAAGTGATTAAAAATTTCCCATTTTTAAATAGCTATAAATATTTCCATGTGACGAACTGTATGCTCTTCTTAAATGGACATGAAAGAGTTATAGTGTCTTAATAGTTTCTGAACTTAGGTTTTATTTTTGGTTGATTCAGCTCTATGGCCAACTTACTACAATTTCCCAGCATGAATCTAGCCTTCTGTAGAACTGTGTTTACCTCAAATATGAAAAATTGATGTAATATATTTTATGCTATAAGCTCATTGATTTTGTCCTCATGCTAAATTTATAATGTGAAGCAATCCTGTATGAAAATAGTTTATCAGAGGTCTTATTGTCTTCATTCACAGTCCACATATACTTATTTGTTTAATTTATTTAAAACATTTCTATGCCGCCCCCATCGCAACAAAGCCTCGGGGAGGCTCACAGCAAAAAACAAACAAAATCATATGGTGGTTCATTTTTTTGCACAAGGAATGGTCCTAGACATAAGGTTGTTAGGGGAGGGGAGATGGAACTCATTCCTGCCTTCAGTAGTTGGTGTGACTGTCATAACAAATGACAGACAATACCATGCCAAGAATAGGCTCTGTGTGTGACAAGTCCCTTCCTACTTCAGCAACTTTTCCAGTCTGTAGGGCAGAAAAGTCTGAAGAGAAGAAGCAGAGTGAAACATGGGCAAATTGAAGTTGCTTAAGGTGGTAAGCAAGGGGAAAAGTTATATGCTTGAATATTTATCTCCTATATAACAGTATGCACATACTGATAATTATTTCAAAACTGCAGCCAGACAGATACAATTCTAAAGATGATTCCTCCACCAAAAAACGTATTTTGAGACAAAAACTCTTCAAAGAAGGAAGATTTCTCACCTCTCCTTCAGATCCTCCACCTGATGGCATTTTAGTAACATTAAATGCCACTCGCTTGGTCTGTGTGTTATATACTCTCAGCACCCTACAGTGGAAAGAAAGTTCTTAACTACAAACAATGAACTTCCTATCCCCTGTCCTAAGGTTATTATGGTATCCACCTTCTGGAACACCTTTATTTCAGAAAGACTTCCTTAGTTGACCAGGCAATTGTTTTTTATAGATATTCTGTTCTAATACAGTTCACCACTCCAGAATCTGTTAAGATATGGAGACATATATAAACAGTGCAAAAATAAATATATAAATCTAGAGATTTCTGGATGTAGGATAGGCAACCATTTTAGAAAATATAATTTCCTACTTCTTGTTTTTTAAAGATATGGGATAGCAACTATAGCAATGGTCTAAATAGAATCATTTATAGCAGTTACACCAGGAATGAGCAGCAGTGTTTAAGGGACATGGATGCTTAAAGCTGCAACTGTATGCCCATTTACCTAGGAGTCAGCTCCATGGAAATCAATGGGATGTGGTTCTGAGTAGACATGCCTGAGTGCATCATAAAGCATCTAAATTAATCCTATTCTTGAAGGTTAGGGTCTTAAATCAGAGTTTGGAAATGTGTTGGTCTGCAACCCTGGACAGTCTTGGATGTGCTGGCTAGGATACATGAGAGCTGCAGTCCAAACTGCATTTGGATAGCCACAAGTTGTCACACCTAGTTAAACAATGAAATTATTATTTTAAACATTCTCAATGATAGCAGTAGCAAAAAAAAAACTCTTCCAATGGAATATTTCATATTCCCAGTAGTAGTAACTTACCTATCACAACTAAGAGTTGCAATATACTGTCCTATAGGGTCCCATGTTACTCCTTGCACATAGCTTTTGTGTTCATTAAAAATGGAAACCTTTTGCCCTACAAATAACACTAAGAATTAATTGATTTTCAGAGTAACAAGAATTCAAAATACTTCTATAGCAGTTTTAATGTGATTTTTTTTTACTGTAACAGACACACATTTTTCCTTCCATTTTACTATTAGGTAATGAAACAAAGTAATTTGTTCAAGACTATCTAAGTCTATGGCACCCTTCCCCAACCTGGTGCCCTTCAGATGTAGTCCAGATCATTTTGGACTACAACTACCAATATTCCTGAATACTTGTCATACTAGCTGGTTCCGCGGCAAGTTCCTGTCCAAAATATCTAGAAGGAACCAGACCGGGAAAAGCTACTGCATAGCCACACCAATTGTTATGTAGATAAAATATATCTATGTGTTATAAAATCTGGAATGCAGTAGTTTGGTTTATTTTTAATAGAGTCAATTAGACATTTTTGTATTCATCAGGGACCACCTTACTAGCTTATTGATACAAAGCATCTGTTTTGTCCTAGAATGGTACATCTCGCAAAGACTGAGGAGAGAGGATAAAGGCTTGGCACCTACTTTTAGCCAAGCTACCCTACGTACAAATATGTTTGAACAGCACTCTGTCACTTAGGAAGGTCATATTTACATCTCAAAGTGTGATCGATATGGAATAGCTAGTGACAGAGTACTGATGTATGACTCACATAACTATTTTCTATAGCAGTGGACAGCTATTATTTATCAAAGCACTTTCTAACTTTTACTGTTTATCTTAACCCAAATTCCTCCAATTTTACAAGTAATGCACTGAAGTCACAATTCTATATGTGTTGTGATGAAAAGAGGCCTACAGCTCCCAGCATTCTCTAGCCATATGGTTGGCTGTGAAAAACTGGAAGTTGAATGACTGTTTTTCTGACAAAACACACACAGGATTGCACCCTTCATCGCAGAGCCCAAAGACTTGTATAAGGTCACAAAATAAGCTCAATACCAGTAGACCACCCTAGCAATAAACCAGATCATGCTTTCCACACAATGTACACGCAAAGCATGCCACTGCCTCTCTTGTGCCTGAGGCCTTTTACCCTAAATTAAGGTGCAATGACATTCAATATATAAACTGGTTTTAACAGAAATGTATAGATGATGGGAATGTTAATAGCTGAGCCTTTTCTGGTTTCAGGGCTTACAGCTGTACACAACCTCACAGAATGAAGGAAAGTAACTTTTACATAATAGCACAATACTTACCTTTGCAGACATCCCACATTATAGCTGTGTTATCAACTGATGCTGATGCCATGTAGTTCCCATCGGGGGTCCAGCAAATATCATATACATCTTCTAAGTGACCTCTGGAATTAAGCATAGCAGAGCAGGACTGACAAAGAAGGTTCTGAATGTAAAAGGCGCAAAACTGTCGTTAAAAGTTCCAGCCATCTGAACACTGCCATTATTAAAATTAAGAGCTAATCAGCCAGTCAGTCCCCTTTACACTTGCATGGCCACCAGCATTAACAAATGTGCAATGTTAGGTGCACAGGGCACCCCTGTATCGCAGAACCTCATTTCACCCATTTGGGCAACACAGCATAGGTAGCCTGTGAACTGCCCATTTCACCATCCTTTTCCAAGTATGATCCGGCTGACAAGCACTTTGGGGGAAGGGGAGGAGACCAGCAGCTGCTCTAGTGCATAATGGTCTTTATTTAGATAGCAGAGAAATTACAGAATGTAAGGTGGCAGTGTCTCAAAAAGGATACTGTAAAGCTAGAGAGGGTGCAGCCAAAATGACTGGGGAAGGTTCACACATTTGGGATGTTTTTGTTTAAGGAAAAATAAATAGTAAATGAGGACATGGTAGAAATCTATGAAATTCTGCACTTTGTGGAGAAGGCAGAGATTCTTTGTCTGTCATAATAGTAGATGTGCTGATTATGCCATGAAATGGACTAGCAGTAGGTTCATGACAGTCAAAAGAATGTTCTACTTCACAGAATGTAGTTTACGAAATTCACTACCACAAGATGAGGTAACAGCCACTAGCTCGGATGGCCTTTAAAAAAGGATGAGACACATTCATGGAGCATAGAACTGTTAATGGCTAATGGAAATGATGACTGTATGGAACTTCCATGTTGAGGGACGGAAAACTATTAGATATTAGTTACTACAGGCAGCAGTGGGAAAGAGCTGGAGCTTTCATGCCCTACTTGGGGGTTCCTGCACAAGTTAAGGAAAAAGCAGAATTCTACATTTATTCAACGTCTGTGCTAATCCAGCACAAGTTTTATGTTCTTGTGACACTGGGAAGGTTCTACTTTGAGATGCTTCAATAAAAGTTTTTAGAAGAGATTCACACAAAGATGCATCAGGCAATATTTAGTCGTATGTCACTGACCCCAAATTTCCTGTACAGAAACAGTAGAAAAACTGATACGTAGAAATATGCTACTGTAATACATAAAAGACGGTTATTCTGGCCAGAGATATTTTTACATTTGAATTATTATGGTTGTGGAAGCCTAGAAAGTTTTTAAGACAATCCACATACTTCTAGATACTCAAAAAAGTGTTTACAGCTATAACAAACATACAAGATTTTATGAAATACAATACCATCAGCAGCTACAGATCTAAAAATACACCCAATACATCTATTGACATAGGAGAATACAATGCTGTTACTTAATTTACAAAAGAAAAATCCTAAAACATAGGTCAAATATCTCTATTTGTAGGAATGCATTTAAAAAGCCTAGTTAGACAATACAGTCATTATTCTCAGCAAATATTTTGCTACAATAGACTTTCTGCAATAGACTTTCATCTCAGAAAGAAGACATTGCATTCAAACACTCTTCATGAGACTAATGAAATGCAACTATTCATTGAAATGTAACCCAAACCTAAAAAATCTTACCTTAACGTTTTAATTACTGTCCAGTTTTCTTTATTCAGCTGGTTATCATCATCATCTTGAAATGCAACTGGCTCTAACTCTTTACTGTCATTCAGTTTCCACAACAAAATTGCAGAATCTGTGGAAATCAATGTAACCAAAAACACTTTTTCAGCCACAATAATATTTGGACTTGGATCAAAACATTCCCCTAGGAATAAGATGCAGGGAACTCAGTGGCTAACTTCTGAGCAGACATGCCTAGTATTGGGCTGTAAACCACATAACCCTAAAATTTTTAACCCTAGCAGCAGAGGTAAAAATATAGTAGGTGATATTTCTAGTCAAATGTTTTTATATTTCTGGTCAAATAGCTTTGTCTCATTTTCAAACTACTTATATTTTATTCATGACACAAATACTGTGAAGAATGCAGTGGAATAATCACTGAGTGACAGTTTTCAAAACACCAACATTCTCTTGCTGCAATGGATGATCATATATATGAAAACAGATGTGTAATTCAAGAGTTTAATCAAGTGATTATTAGCAGGCTTTTCTGAACTATTGGAATAGGTCAAAACACAGGAGAAAGTTTGACAGTAGGTTCAGAATCTGTTGTACTTAAATTATTAGTGATATCATTTTATATTAAAATCCCTGCCTGTCTGATTTAGTAACTTCAGTAACATGATTTAGTAACATTTGCTACTTACACTACATGATCTAGTAACTGTTATATGTTACTAAATGTAAATAATAATGATATTAATCTAAATTATATTTTAAAGATATTTAATTTCTAGGGTTAAGCATATGCACCATCACCCCTATTATGGTATATCTTAATGTCTTGCCAGCTAATGTGGTTTTTTAGGCTTATTCAGAAATGCTATTGGACTTCATGTAGTTTTTTGTACAGTCATTCATATCTATTCACATTCACCCATTTTCTTATAAAGCATTAACAAATTTTAAATCAGAAGGGTTCGGTGATAATTTGACAGATACTCACCATCTCCGCCAGATGCTAAAATCTCACCACTGGGAGCAAAACGTACAACATTTACAGCTTTGGTATGGCGTGCTAAATTGGACAGAAATTCAACAATTGCTTTCCCATCTGGTCCTTTTTCTACTTTCCATATCTAGTAATAAAAAGGACAGTCATAACAAAATGTACAGGCACACCTAAAAACCTAGTGAAATTGCATACAGTTAGGTCCTGGATATTTCCCTAAGGACTTACATGAATTGTTCATAACTTTCACTACAAATAGTATAAAGCCATTCACTTCAGACAAGTTATTTTACAACAATGCAAATAAACCTTTCTTCAACAGGATCACATATCACAGATCTATGGTGTGATTCATCTACTGTGATTCAGTATAATTTCTGATCAATAATTATTTGCAAATTGTATTTGAATTTCATCTGAAACAAAAATTTATAACACTTTTTAATAATTTTATAACCTAGGTTTTGTTGAAATAGTTACATAAATAAAAATTATTCCTCCACATGCTAAACATACTTTCAAATAATTTCTTTACAAAGTGCTTTTAAAAGAAACCTTATTTTTCACTAAAATTTTTCACAAACTAGAATTACCATCTTTCTAGTTACAAACCTTTGCTCAAGTAGATCACTTAGGAATATACCATGAATTAATATTTGTAACTCACACGAACAGTAGTGTCCACTCCAGCAGAAGCCAGTCTATTGATTTTCCCATCAGTTCCATGTTGGAAGTCTAAGCTGTACACTGGCTCCTTATTGTGCCATGCGATTTCACAAGTGATTACCTTCATCCTTTCCAAAGCAAATACAGAATTTTGGGGACATTTGCCTTTTACTTTGATGGAACTCAGTGATGACACATAAATCCCAATTATAATAGACTAAATGTTTTCATTGGCAACAGAATACACATCTTCAAGAATGTGTATACACATCAGCCAGAATATCTTAGCCAATCTGAACTAAGAGAAGTAATTAATTACAGTTGTGAGCAATTAGAACACAGAGCAGCTAAAAATACAGTGGTTGCAGACTTAGGAACACCTAGATTTTTCTAAAGGTTTGTTGTACCTGTTCTTTAATCTGCATGGATGCACACATTATTAATGCAGCTGCTGATAAATCTGCAAAAGATTATGAAACGGGCAAAGGGTAGGAAGATGTACTGCTTCCCGGAGATCTGTTTACACTATTAACATGCCTCATTCACAGAACTGTTTGACAGCTGAGGATTGGGTGTCTACTGTCCAGGGACTGACATCTATCCATAACCTTTCTGTATTTTGTTTCTATCCTTTAGTCTTTTTTTCTTATTTCAGAAAATCCATTAAGGGAAAATCAAAATAGCTGCAAAATGCTTTTTCATCATGACACTGGGAGTCTTCCATTTAGAAGTACCTAAAGTTGAGATAAGTATATAGAATCTGTGGTATGATGTTTAAACAAGTGTGTACAACATTGAGAGACTGAAGAAATTGAAGAAAAATGCAAGGCAATTAACAGAGTATACTAATTGCAGTAATAATAATTTTGCAAATTGAAATTTTAGACTGTTTTAAACTTGTCTACTAGATTTATATATATATATATATAGAGAGAGAGAGAGAGAGAGCGCGCGCGCGAGAGAGAGAGAGAGAGAGAGAGAGAGAGAGAGAGGACCTGTACATTCATCTCTTTTTATTGCAGTTTAAGAAATTGTTGTGCACTGCCCAGAGAGCTTTGGCTATTTGGAGTATATACAAGAAATAATTAAAGAAAATAATTTCCTAAGTGCTCAAAGCACTTCATGTATGATACCTCAACACATTGCAATCCTGCAATGTGGGTAAATATTATTCCCACATAGCAACTGAGGTTGATGGAGCAGTGGTAGGGGAAATAGGTATTACCCAGTCTCCCCTTCTTGTCTTGGCTGAAGCTCCAACCAAAGACTTGCAAACTATATCAGCAAGCCTCTCATATGAAACTCAGTGCCAACCACCCACACCCTCTATAGAGCACCAGGCGCTGGGCACAAGTTCGCTTTCCAGACGTTCTGGAATACAAGTCCCAGAAGCCCCTGCCAGCCTGCCCGAAGGCTAGGAATGCTGGGAGCTGAAGTCCAAGACATAGGGGGATCTATTTGTCGCCCAACCCTAGTTCGGGCACCTTACCTCCTAAAGCCAAGTGACATTAAGCAAGCTCACACGGAGCTTGCTTTATCGAACGCCACCCAAAAGCGGAGGAAAAGCCCCCGTCCAGCCTTCCTTCATCTCGCTGTTTACTGGGGCAGCAAACTGCTCCGCAACACAAGAACCCCGTGCGCCCGTACGTTTCACTGTCCTCATCTCCGCTGCAAATTCAAGGGGAAAAAGGCACCCAGGAAAAGAAGTGTGTGGGGGGGTCGCCTTTCTTTCGTGACAGCTTCCACGCGAAGAGCTCCCCTCCCGCCTTCTCGCCCCTTCTCCTTCCATCCGCCCCCTCGCTCAGTCACTCATTTACTCCTTCCTTGCTTGCTAGCGCGGGACAGATACCTCTGCCGGGCTGGTCACCCCATTCCCATTCCTCACCTGCAAGAAGACGCAAGAGGCGCCCAGAGAAACACCGGCAAAGTTCGGAAAGGGCGCAAACCCAATTCCCGGTTCCCGCGCTCGCGCCTGCGCCCTGGAGGTCCCAGGCGTGCGAGGGGAGGAGCCTGTCAGCTGCTTGCTTCTTGCGTCACGGAAAGCGACACCTACTGGCCAGAGCCCCTCCCTGTTTTTGCTCACCTCCGCCGCGGAGGGTCTTTCGCTTTCAAGCCGGCACGTATTTCTGGAAGTGGTCGCGGAGCAATCACAAGTGTTCGGCATCGTAAAGACGAACAAATGCAATACATGCTTAAAGGTTTGTTGTGGTTGCCAGTTGTTCCAGTGGGAAGCTTTCAAGGCCGCAGAGCTTTGTGCAGGAGCAGTAATAGGATGGCTTTATTTATTTGAGGTTTTTAATCTCAAAAAAGGCTCCCAGAGTGCTTACTTAAGACCTTATTTATTCTAAGCATATGATTTAAGTTGAATTACGACTTAGCAACCTGTACGACTTCCGATGCTTTGGCCTACAATTCCTAGTATCTACCTAACATAGCCAATGGACAGGAATGATGGAGTTGTAAGCCAAAAATCCCACAGGCCACAAGTTGCCCCCGATTTATATATATTAATATCAATTTCATTGTGTCCCGTGTCTATATACAAGTTTCAAGAGTGCGGTGCGGGGGGAGCAGGCATTCTACAAGAATGTCTAATTTCATGGAACAAACATTTAACAGCTAAGCTAAACCCTAAGGCTCAGGATAGGTTTCATTTTATATCTCAGTATTTATATACTCCATTCCCATAGCCTCTGGGCAGTTTACAAGAAATTGAACCAACAGTAATACTAATACATCATATTAAATAAAAGTGACAATATAACTGATCTGGAAATGCCTGTCAGAAATGTTTATAACTCTCTCATACGTGTGTTGTACAGAATGCCCTTGGTCTCAATTGTCAGAGAAAAAGGGAAGCAATGCTCAGATGAGATGCAAATCATTTATTTTGCATGCAAGATAGGTCAGCAACATACAATCATGCCTAAAAGTGAAGCTGACAAAAAGCAAAGCATTAGGCATGGCCTCTTGTTGTCTATAGGTTAAGTTAGCTTCATTGTGCATGTCAGGGTATTTCCAGGCTAACCCTTGATTCCAACATCAAGTCTAATTGCACTTGTCAGGGTGCATTTCTTGGATAAGGTCAAGGAGAGTTTGTGGCCAGTATTTTCTAGCTAACATGCAAGCACCTGTCTGTAGTCCCAAGAACAGGCTGATCTGCAAGCTTAGCCCCTTAACATTTGCAGTTATGCTAGGTGGCCCATATCTTACTGTCTGTGGTGAGGCTAGGCAGCTTCAGCCAGGTGGTATCACTTAGATGGTTTTTATCTTAATGATTGCCAAGAGGTCTGAGGCTGCTTTTGAAGGCAGTTCGGAAACCAAAGCTTGTGCAAAACAGCCAGATTGATTACAGGGACAAACCTGATTGCATGGGCTGTTTGGTCCGATGGAGTGTTTCTCTCAACATGAACCTGTCAGACACTATGTTCATCATCAAAGGCTGCCCGCCAGATGCCTGCACCCAGGGGGGCTCAGAAAGTAGCAGTAAGGGAAGTGGACCTTATTGGAGGTGGCTACCAAGTAAGGAATGATCTTTGCAACAAGGGCCTGCCAGGCACCAACAGTGCTGTTTTCAAGTACCAGGTTAAAGACCTTTATGTGCCTTGGCAGCCTATGATGAGAATGCATTTTTAATGAGGGTCAAATTTTTCTTCACAATCGCTTAAAATTGTTCTCTGGGGTATTTGTGCTGCACCTTTATATATTTGTATGTTATTTTTATAATTAAGATTTTAATCTTCATAAACTGCCCAGATAGTTTTTATTTGGTGGTATACAAAAGTAATGAATGGAATATATAAATGTAACTAAGGCAGAAAATTTCAGTACAAACAAATCCTTTCCAGGTCCACAGTAGCTCAAAAAGAGAAAACAACTTGTTTATTCCTTTTTATGTTGTTTGGCTTGAGGCAGGAAATAGATTGAAAATATGCTGTTACATATTGTTACATTAACAAATGTTAATATATATTAAATATAAATCTGATGTGAATTTGGTATCAGTGGCCCAAGCTTTTAGGAAGTTTGAGTTTTCATTTGTGTACTAGAAAGCTAGGATCCCTGTGAAAGTATTATGACCACAACAGCCTTCTTTAGGCATACCCAACCATTTCTGCTAAGTAGTGGGGCTCTTCACTTATCAAAACCTGAATTAGAAACATACCCAGGTTTTAACGACAGTCTGCATACAGATTGGAAGGTTCCTGCTGAGCAACATGTTCGCACGCATGTGGAACTAGTCACACAATTCTCAGAACTATGTATTCATGATTAGAAGAAAACAAACAGAAGGAAAAAAGGAAACATGTAGGTTTTTTTTATTATTAGGAAAAAATTGTATTTGCCCATTTAGTTTCCCCCATCACTCAGAAGAACCGAATGTGTTTCCCCCAATTTCTTACAAAATATACATCTTTCAATTAATTTTCATGTAAATAAAAACTTATTTCCATTTATTCGCTTTTCCTTAAAGTGTAAATGTACAGTACAAATTTAAATAATATTCTCCATACAGACAAGAAATTTTTTTAGCCAGACTTTATAATACATTCAACTATTGAAGAATATGGTGAGAAATGAAACACATCAAAAATATAAAAGTATGGAAAAATAATACCTGAAAAACCATGATTTTAATAAATCTTTAACTTTTAATTAAAAACATAAACTGACATTATAACAATTGTTTTGCAATACTCTCAATCAGTATATAATACCTGATCATGTATCAAAGTTTAGAAATACTCATAGGCCACTATAAAATACTAGTAATTTGGAGAAAATGCTACTTGCCAATATTGCCAGTGTCTCTTTTAAAAGGAAAATAAAAGTATAGGGCAGCATTTACAGCAACTGTACTTGACTTTTGAATGCACTCTAAACATGAAGCATCCATAGTAATGCTGAAAATTGCAAAATGGTAGTACAACACATCTGTGGTGACATTTGATGCATAAACATTATGCTTTTAATTAGTATGAAACCAGATATGATACAAAGAATGTGCCTTTTTGTTAATAGCTGTGCACCTCCACCCCAAGTTTCATCAGGTCTGCAGCGTCCAAGATCACCCCTCCCCTAGGGCTGTATTAGTCCCAGAAGGCAAGGCCCCATAGGCATCTTCTGAGGAAAGTAACAACTATGAAGGAGGGGTGATTTTAGTCACAAACACAATTTGTACACTGCAGTCCTGAAAAAACAACCATTTTTGGCAGCATCTATTAACTGTTAAAAAAACAACCATACCACTTCACCAAGTGATGCATTTAGCATCCCATCTAATTTGGTCCTAAAATTACTCATCTTTACAGGTTGGAAACTTCACATTAAAATAGAAGGTTGAACAAAGTATATTACGATTCCAGAGAAAAATTAAGCACTACTGAATTCATTCATGTGCTCTACAACTTGTCCTAATAGTTCATCAACTACATCGATGTCGTAATTCATTTGTCGCAAATCAAGATCAGGCATTATTGTTGCCAGTAGTAGTCCCACATTAACTCGCAGGGATCGCAGCTTCAGGCTACAGAAAGATAATGTTGAACACGTTAATTATACTTCTATATTATGTGGATATATCTATTTAAGTCAGCAATTCAAACCCATCATTCCTTCCTATCTAATTCCTGCCTTCGGTCCTGTATTATAAAATTCTACCTTAGAGCCCACCAATTATTTTGTGAATGGAACAAATCACAGGCTTGAAAATTTTGCTAGGATACAGCACCAGCAGTGCCACTTGAGTACTTGCAAATTTCAGTAATATGTAAACAAAAATGTAGCACAAGTTTGTTTGATACAAACTTGGCAGGTCTTAGTTAAGCATCCTTTACATCATTAAATCCTTTACATAGCCACAGAAACATGTTTGGTGTGCTCTAGGTTGAATTCTCCATTCACAGTGAGCGGTAGTGAAACCTAGCAAGCCTTGGAGGTGGTCTGCCTGTGTGCATGTTTGAGAACACGATTCAGATTTCCCTGCTGTGTGTTGTTATTTCCTTTAATCCATTATCAAGATGGAAAGGGCTTCCTGAAGATAGGAAGTTTGAAAACTTAAGGGGATAGGAGTGTCTGATTAGATGACATCCCAACATGCTTTCCCGTGAAAATAACTTATCTAGTAGTAACGAAGGTATACCTTTCCCCATCAGAATAATTTACAGGATCTTCAAGATTACTAGCCACAGAATTGTTTGCATGGCCAACCATTTGTGGAATTGAAGATTTTAACTGTGCATTTTCGGCTTTCAGCTCTTCACACTGAAAACGCAGCTGATTTTTTTCCATTTCCAGTAGTTCAATCTGAAAGGGGTAAATCAAAGCTTCCTATATTTCTGAAGCTGAACAAAACTGTAGTGTACTTATTAATACACACCAAACAATGTTAATAGATCAGTTCCCATTAAGCAAAAAAACATATACTAAAATGTTGTTTAATGCAATAACTATTACACAGGGGTTTGGGGATTATTATTAAGAATTCAGCCATTTCATTTTCAGTGTTTATTTTGGAACTTCCCTTAAACTAAGCTCTAATGCGTGAAGGAGTCACTGAACTTCCTAGACCAGGGGTCGGCAACTCATGGCTCCGGAGCCGCACATGGCTCACGAATCCCCCTGCTGCAGCTCTGTTGCTCAAAACATGCACCGGCACAGCCACCGGTCTGTGACCGAGGCTTCGAGTTACAAAATACCAATAGGTGATGATGAGGCATCCAATCAGGAACGCCCAGCTCTGCTGTTGTGCAGGGAAAGAGTGGAGCAAGCTTCCTGCAGGTTCTCATGTTCCTTCCTGCAGGTTTCTCATGGAACAGCTGCTGAAAAGATTCTCTTTGTCCAAATGTAATCTCCTTCTTCTGAATGATAAAAGCTGTGCTTGGGACCTGTCAGAATTCACAGCACTTGACTGTTTATCTGCTAATCAGTCACTAAACACACCTGTATCTGCGACTTCCCCCGGTAGGCCAACCATGGATAAATCAAAGAAAAGTTTCTGAAGAAAACCAAACATTTAATTATACATGGGTAGATTCATTTGCTTTTACTGCTGACAAACTTATGGGGTTTGCTGTTTAATGCATGCAGCCCTTTAGCACTGACTTTTGACTCTTCAGGAAGCTGTTCTCCTATTCAAAATATATGAAAGGAGTCCTACTAGTTTATAATGTAAGATTAAAAATAACAGTTTTTAGTGACTGAACAAGAGATGCAGCTAAATCATAATGAAGATATACATAGCATTAAGGTAAAAAATGATATATGCAGTGTTATCTTCATTTTAGATGTCAAAAGGGTTTTGCGGCTCCTGGTGTTTTCTTTTGTGTGGGAAACGGGTCCAAAGGGCTCTTCGAGTGTTAAAGGTTGCCGACCCCTGTCCTAGACCAATCTCACAGTTCATATTTTCTTTTTCCCTTACTGTTAGATATCCCATTTTCAACTTTTATAGAAATCAAGGTGTCCTAGGTTATGTAGGCACCAAACTCCAGTTTTATAGCAAGTGCACTCATAATTCAGCTGTTTGGGGGAAGGGGTATACTACTTCTCTCTTTTTAAAAAAGATGTATAGAAGCTCTACGCTTAGGGAGCTTAGACTACATGCGTGGGAAGTTTCAGGTTTCCCAATAGTGTGAATATATGTAACAATATTGGTACTGCTTCCACTTCCAAGTGGCTTTATTTATGGCTATCTTTGACTGGTTTTAACAGTAAAATAAATTGTCTGTTTGCATGTATGTATGTATATGTAAAAATTTAAGGATCAAAACTGTGTCCAAGTTTTTGATACAAGTTCCTCCCCGTCACTGGCTAACTGCACAGAGCAGCTGGGACAGAATAGGCTGTATGGTATGCTATTAGTAGAAAGGTGCAGAAACTCTACAAGGGTAGTAGATCTATGAATCTACAAATCTACATTCAGAAAATCTCAGTTTCATGATTGCTTGTGGCCCCCTGCATTGCCTTTTGCTGACTGACATGTAAAGCAAACTAGAAATTATTTCTAGACAAGTACCTTGAAATGTAAAAACCAAAGAGGCCTGAATGTGGAGTAACTGAATTAGAACAAGGTGTTCTGCAAGTTTTCCACACATCCCATATATACTGAATATTATTCTAAATTACTTTAAAGCAACCTGAATGGGCCTAAGTTCACATGAGTTGCAATTCTTTTGATGCTGCAAAGTTTTTACACAAACTTACACAACTGATGGGAGCTGGACACATGCTCACCCGATCTGAGCAAAGCCATCCTCACTGGCACCCCAGATGCAGCTGTTACCATGGTTCTGTCATACAGTCTCCTGACAGAGAGGTCTGTGCCTCATTCCTTGTGGGGGGGGGGCAAATTGCCCCACAACAGTGGGAGGAAGCCACATGACTGTTCCTCAGCCTACTAATATCCCATGGCTTCCAGCTATATTGACTACTGGTCTAAAATACTACTCAGGCTTTAACTGCATGGTCACATTTAATTAATAAATAAAAGCCAAAATAATCCTGAAGCACACACCCCTCTGCCAATTTGCAGGGGTGTCAGTTTTGCAGTCTTGGTGCTAAGGCATTAACGGAAAGACACACCTTTTTGTTATAGATATGTCCAATCAAAACCTTTCTCTGAAGGAAGTTTATTCATGAGCCTGTAGTTCTGCATTATTCTAGCACTTTTGCCCCCCAAGAGTAATTCAGGCAAATTTCTAAAAAGCCTATAGATGTTTTTATACTAACAATCCTCTGTCAGCAGCCAGGAGCTAGAGAAAGTTTTGTTGGTGCTATGTCTTGTGTGTACCAGATGGTCAGCTGTATAAATATACAAAATCAACCCCAATATTTCAAGCCTAAGGGCAGAATCCAAAGAGGTACACAAAAACAGGCTGTGCGCCACATCTTTTTGACATGGTGTTCAAACACAGTTTTGGGTTATGGAACAGGGATCTACTCTTCAAAGGTTGGGTGGGATGTATCTAAAATCCAGTGGGCAAGCCTAACCAAGCTTTTTGGATCCACATCTGCATATTTTGGAACCTGCATGCCCGATTTCACATTCATTAACTTAGCGCAATAGGAAAAGTGAACATTACGCATTAGGATGATTGAAGAGAATGTCCATACTTGCTACTGTATTCATAAACTATCCACTGCCACCAAATCTGGCAATTAACACAGAAACTCACTCAAACTAAAAGAACATCCATGGATTAATGGCTCAATCCCAATGAATTTTTATTAAGATTTAAGCTCCATTGATGTCACAGGCACTTAAGCTTCAAGGAATGCATGCATACTGTAAACCTGAACATATGAACATTCTATTAAAATTCATGAAGTTTGCATTCAAAAAATGAATTTATATTGAAGTGTCAGATCAAATTGCTAAATTTAGTTCACAAATATGTTGTAACTAAATTTAGCTGTGATAAATGAGACATGCATGAATGAATGTTTGCAGGATTAAAGCTAACAATGTAATGCTGCAATTGAACTGTAACACTGATTAACAGATTCTTCACTTTGACTGACCTGGCTTTTCTTCAGACTGATTTATGAAACTTACCTCATTTTTATATTGGTCTCTTTCAATGCTGCATTTGTCCAGCTGCCTGAAAACATCATCAAGTTGTGCGGCCATTTCATCTACTTCACTTTTATTCTCACTATTTCTACATTTACTACATTCAGATTTTAAATTTTGCAGAGTATCACATTGTTCTTTCAGCCTTCTCATCTCTCTCAATGCCTGTTCATAGAGAATCAGCACCTCTTCTGGACGTTTGTCTTTAACTTTTTCTAGTTCTTCTTCGAATAATATACTATTTGTTTCTGTTGACTGATGGCACATTTCTTTTTTCATATGCTTATCATTTATTTCTATTATCTTTTGTTTTAACATATTTACCTCTTTGAACAATTTATCACACTGTTTTTGGTATTTTTCTTTTTCACTGTTGGCTAACTGCAGCTGATTGCTTAGTTCATTTATTCTGACGTTCACATCCACAAAAGAAGAGTCTGAAACATGAGCAGGTTCTAGCAGAGTTACATCAGAATGTAGGATGGTTACTTCAGGTTCTAATCTGGATACACTTTTATCTGAATTGTCCTCTGTTTCTTCTTTTTTTATTACAAGGTGTTCTGTTTCAGTTTGTGTTGCTGCAGTTCCCTTTGTACATTTTGTTTCTGAATAAGCATCTTTGTTCTTGGAATCATCTGTTTCAACATCATTATAATCCATATTAGCACCGCCTTCAACTTTTACTATTTTGATGTCACAGTCTGCTCCTGCAGGTTTTGGAGTACTGTTCTCTTCCAAAATGATGACATCATCATCCTCCTCCTCCTTTTTATTTTCAAATGCTTGACTAGTCACCCTTGTGATCTTAAAAGGCAGTGGTGCCTCAGAATTAGAAGATTTTCGTTTAAACCTACAAAAATAAAAAAAACACAAAAATAGCTAACTTTCTTCCATGAAAGACTAAGATTGGTAAAATTTATTTTCGTGGACAAAGTTAATTGAAATGGGGCAAGTAAATGGAAAGTGTGTTTACTAACCTGCTTTCAGGATCAGAATTAGGAGACGATACTGAGGTGTTATCTGATGTATTTATTGGCCTTGTAAGAGAAGTATCTGAAACATCCACATGCAATCTTGAAACACTTTCACTCATCACTGGGGGTGTGTTGGACAAGGCAGATGATGTTTGTAAATACATTTCATTATAAATCTGTATAAAATGTATAATTTCATTGTAATTAGAGGAAAACCCCTTTAATTCTGCCACTAAGACTTTTCACTTGAACTCCCTGTGGAAATATTGGGCTAAGAGAACAGCTTTGACAGCTAACTTAGATGTACAGGCTTAATGTCTACATTAATGTCTTAATGTCTACACCACATTTGACTATTGGGTCAAACTTAATTTGAACCAGAATATAAAAACATTTTGATCAAATACTATTCTGTACATAAACAACATAAACAGCCTTTTAGCAGCCTCAATTTCCATTATCCTTCACTTTAGGAGCAATAATTTTGAAGAAGAAAGTTTTATCTACTAAAAACATATTCACTAGATGCATACAATGATCTGGTTAATAAGGAGGCGGTAGTCCGACCGGTCCTGAAGAAAGCGTCACTGGATCCAGAGATGGCCACTAATTATAGACCAGTGGCCAACATCCCGTTTCTGGGCAAGGTGTTGGAGCGGGTGGTGGCGGGACAACTCCAAGCTCTCTTGGATGAAACTGATTATCTGGACCCATTTCAGTCTGGCTTCAGACCCGGGTACGGTACTGAATCTGCCTTGGTCGCCCTGTACGATGACCTGTGCTGGGAGAAGGACAGGGGGAGCGCATCCCTGTTGGTTCTTCTGGACCTCTCAGCGGCTTTTGATACCATCGACCATGGTATCCTTCTGGATAGGCTAGCGGGATTGGGGGTCGGAGGCACTGCTTTGCAGTGGTTCCACTCCTATCTCAATGACCGATTCCAGAAGGTGGTGCTGGGGGACTATGGCTCTGCGCCATGGCAGCTATGCCATGGAGTACCGCAGGGGTCCATTTTGTCCCCTTTGCTGTTTAACATCTACATGAAACCGCTGGGAGAGGTCATTAGGAGGTGTGGGCGGCAGAATCATCAGTACGCTGATGATACCCAGCTCTACCTCTCGTTTTCCACCAATCCAGGTGAGGCAGTGGCTGTGTTGAACCAGTGCCTGGCCGAGGTAATGGGCTGGATGAGGGCCAATAAACTGAAGCTCAATCCAGACAAGACGGAGGTCCTGTTGGTTGGTGGATCGGGCTTCGGAGAGGGTGAATTGAACCTAGTCCTGAATGGGGTTGCACTCCCTCTTAGGGACAAGGTCTGCAGCTTGGGAGTGCTCCTCGACCCAGAGCTTTCATTGGAAGCTCAGGTGACAGCAGTGGCAAGGAGCGCTTTCCTTCAGCTTCGGCTGATCCATCAGTTGCGCCCCTACCTGGAGTACGACTGCCTGGCGACAGTGACACACGTGTTGGTGACTTCCCGTCTTGACTTCTGTATCGCGCTCTTGAAGACGGTCAGGATACTTCAATTGGTTCAAAATAGAGCTGCCAGGCTGCTGACGGGGACTGGGCGTTATGTTCACATGACTCCAGTCCTCCGTCAGCTTCACTGGCTCGCATTGAAGTCCAGGCCCAATTCAAGGTGTTGGTGATGACCTATAAAGCCCTAAACAGCTTGGGTCCTGGCTACCTGAAGGAGCGCTTACATCCATATACGCCCACCCGCCCCCTGAGATCTGCAGGAGAGGCCCTTCTTCAGGAACCCTCTGTGAAGGAAATTAAGAGGGCAGGTACTTGGAGGAGGGCTTTCTCTGCGATGGCGCCCAATCTATGGAATGCGCTCCCCAGAGAGGTCCACCTGGCACTGTTATTTGTTTTTCGGTGCCAGGCGAAGACCTTTTTATTCAAACGTCATTTTAATTGCTAATATTATTTCCTCATTTTATTCTTTGGCCAGGGTGACTTATTTTATATTGTTAATTCGTTTTATATTTTTAATGTATTATATTTTAATGTTTTGTGAGCCGCCCCGAGGCTTCGGCGAATGGGGCGGCATAGAAATTTTCTAAATTAAATAAATAAAAATAACATTAACCATGGTTTGTTGAATCTTAGGTTGTCCTTATGTGTGAACCTGAAACTATGGGTTTATAATGGGTAATTAACCCTTAGTTGACTGCTCTCTCTCTCTGACCTCTGCAATTCTTCATCTGACCATCACCTTATTTCCTTTTTCTTTTGGGCTACTCCTGCCCACTCTTCTGCAAATTCTGCAGAAATTGTAATTTAATCTCGTTCCTATCCTCACTTGTTTGTCCCAGTAATTTTCAACTATGGACCACCTTCTCCATTTATTCTCTGCACTTTTGCAGGCCTGAAAGCTGTTGCATTGGGGCTTACTTCTGAGAAGACAGGCAGAGAATTGAGCTGTGTTTCCATATGTTTGATGGGAAAAGCTCCATGTTCATAAGGATTATTTATTCATTAGATTTTTATCTTATTTTTTTTCCTTTCAAGGAATTCAAGGCAGGTTACATAATTCTCCTCCTCCTCTCAGTCTTATCCTTACAACCACAACCCTGTCACTTAGTTATTGCCATAGCTGAGTGTGGCCTGGAAGCCAAATCCCCTGAGCCACAGTCCTGTACTCTTAAGCATTATACCACACTGGCTCATTTGCCCCTGGCCCTGACCTTAGTGTCACTGATTTCTGGATTGCAGCCCCAGGAGCACTTCTCAATTGGGATTTGTCACCTAAGCCAAAAAAGTTTCACCACCCTGGCCTAAAGTATGTTAAGCAAACTGATCAAATCTTATCCCCCAATAGTAATTGCTTCCCCTTCTTTCCCTTTCGTTTGCACATGTAAACTTCTTGGAGTGACCTGTCTTTTTGTTGCTATTGTGTAATGCACCTTGTACACTGATGGCATTGTATCAAACAAACAAATGGCCAGTTACCTACCTGTTGGCTAAACTCCAGTCTTTTCTTTAATTTCTCTCTGTCTCTGTATTGATAGGGGAAAATATTATGGCATATACTCATTATATACAAGCTTTTTAATAGGACTCTGTTATGAAGAAAATTGTTTTACTCATTGCTTTAGCTGATTATGTTGACTATAGAGATACCTAGCATCTTACCATCTACTCATCACCAACGTCAAACCTAGAGTTTGGACAAAACATTGATTTGTTGATTTCTTGATAGTTTACCTCCTGAAGTGTTTAGATTTAAAGTTACATTCATTCCAGTGGAATGTGAACCCTTCCTGCCAGAAAACCAGTTGCACACAAAGGACCACAATTATTGCCTCAACTCATTTTTCCAGATAATTAGTGTAGATTCTGGTCCTTCCTTTCCCTGGTATGAACACAAAGGATAGGCCTGATCAGACCCTTATTGGTGTCTAACCTTCAGTAACTTAATATATAGAGTAAAAATTGGCCAACAACTGTTAGCAGTCGGTTCTCCAAGATAATTTCATAACAAAATTTTTGAGGAGAAATATAATCTCACAGTACAGACTATATATGGCCACAGGACATAGGCTTGGACTTATGTACCTCTCCTCACTTAGCACATCTGTGAAGGGGTCAGAAGCATTCACTTTCATTTTCAGCTAGCTGAAGTTTCTCATTGTAGCTGGGTCTAGACATACAAATGAACTTAAAACCATGGATAATTATTTTGACTTGTTAAGTCAGAGGTAGCACTAGTTGAACAAATTTGTATTGATGTTTTCTTCTACTGCCTATCCTTAATACTGGTCATGTTCAAATGTATACAGTTACTCATAGTTTCAAGTTTTATTTAATACTCACTTCTTCTTATGTGTTTTCTCATATGGTATTAAATCATCATCTTCAGGTTCTTCAGGCACATTGCAATTTCTAATTTTTAAAAGAAGTGACAGAACTTCATTGATTTTGAATCAACTAATGTAAGAAGAATCTGGAAAATATGAGCTGCTTCATTTCAACCTATTTTACCTGAACTGAGGATCAGGGTTGTATGAACAATACCACTTCTCTGGTAAGTGATCAATTCCATCTGGAAGCTTTCTCCATTTTAGACATGAATCACACTGAACCCAGGTCTGATCAGGCCGCTTCCTGTAACAGAGGACCAGTGAAGTGAAACTAAACAAGCAAAACCTGAAGTTTAGGATTATTTAAGCTAAGCATGGATGTATGTGATGGTTTACAAAACAAATAAAAACTTACTGAGTATCTTCAAATAGCACTTCTAGAGGATATTCTGTTTTCTTTGCTTGCATCTCATTCCAGTAATCATTAAGCTTGTCACCAAGTGCATGTATTGTAAGCCTGGCAAAAATCAAAACAAAAGCTACATTGTGACTCAAACACACATTTTAATATCCAACATGTATTTATTAGTTGCCACAGAAAGTAAATATTAACAGAAAAGAACGATGGAGTCTATCCAGACTTCCTATGAGCGAAGAAACCTCTATACACAATACACTCCCACCCAAAAGGAGAAGGCTGCTGCCAATTATTTCTTCTACTGCTGCCTCCTTAATTTAAAAAGCATTAGCAGACCCTCAAGAACAATGTTTGAAGTGACTTTGGGGGCTGCAAAAGAATGAGGAAATGGGCAGAGATCACCTCTTCCCTCTATCTTCAGTGGGAGCCCCTAATAGATTTTAGCATCTTCCACAAAGGAAAGAGCTCGGTTTGCAGGTACAAGTCTGGATCCAGCCAATTAGCATTAAAATCTCTTATTTCACTTATGAAAGTAAGTGAAATATATGAAATACATTTCTTGCTTTTCTTTCCAAAAAGTAATTCATGGCAAGTTAAAACATACATTATATGTTGCCAGATTCTGGGTACAGTTCAAATTCTAAGTAAATCTTTTTACAATGGTCCAAATGAAGGCAAAATCAATTAAGTGACAAACTAATGTATTTCCTTAAATGTTTCCCAAGAAAATATTCTAAAAATTAAAAAAGTGTGCCCAAATAAAGTTAACAGCAAGAAATAAGTATTAAGTTTCAATTCCACTGAAATAAATTACTTGGTTTGCAATAGCCCATTAGTATGAAAACCTGCAATACTTTAGCACATACCCCACAATCAGCTCCTCCTTATGTAATCCTGGTCCACTGGGTTGTTTGGGGCTATGCAATTCAGTTGTCAATCAATTGATCATTATTTAGCAATTTAGCAGACTGGATGTGTCTGCCATGCTGCACAACCTAGGTGGGTTGTGTGCTAAAGTCGAAAAGCTGAGCACACTGCAGGCAGCAAGACTGCTGAATCAGCATAACAACCCAAGAGTTTTAAACTGATGGGTTGTTGTCATGCTTGGACAATCCCACAGGAGTAAACTATAGACAAGGAGTGTTATCTACTTAGATTTTCATGACCAGGGGAAGTTAGTTGCTGGGACACCTAAACATAATCCAAGAGATGACTGATAACTATGAACAAACGTAACATATTTAAGTGATTTCCCCCTGCCCCCCCATCTTAAACATTTATAGACAGAAGGAAGCCTCACTGATTTCCATTCAACTTTTTTTCTGGGCTACTATCACAGCTAAGAACAAATGTACACATAGGAATGTAGTTCTGTACCCATTTACCTGACAGTAAGTTCTACTGAACTCTGTGCAATTTACCTCTGAGGAGACACATACAAGATTGCACTGTACATCCCACTGATTTTGATTTAATGAGACAAGTTTAGGTGTAGAGCTTTAGGATGAACCTAGAAAACTAGTTAAATAACAGAAGGGAAGAGAACATGACTGACCATCTCCTGATCATTTGAACTGAGGTGTGACCTCTGTATAATTGGAGGTCTCTACACTATGCAAGGATGCTGTAGAACTCTGATCATCGGGCAATTTTACTAGAAAGACACACTGGAAATGAGGTAGGGTTAAAAAAAAATCAGCCTCCCAACCCATCCCACTGCATGCAAGATTCACAACCACACTGACTCTATCTGTATATATCCCTTGTTCCTGGACTGACAAATGAAAGGTTAGGAAGCCTCCTTCAGAGCGCCATGGTTTTGTGTTGAGGTTGTCACAGGATGCTGGCCTGTATGGTATGGAACAAGCTTTATCATATTTTGGAAATTATTTTCAATGAATCTCAAGGAGTACCTACTTTTATACAAAGGGTATTTTAAATGTGCACTGATATTTACCTGTATTCATTTGTGTAATCAAAATCTTGTTTATTATGGGTTGGCTTTAGGAAGTTACATTCAATAATTCCAATTACACCTACACCCATATTGTTTGCCTGCAAAAGAAAACAAAAGGCAAATGTCCATCTATCAACACTGTTGACAGGACTGCAAATGGTCACTATTCTGAACAAATAATTATACAAATATAAAAGAAAGATGTCCCAAAAGATGCCAGAAGAATTCTTATATAAAGTATAATTGCTTGCTTAAAATACTTCTTGAAAATAAACTTTTATGTTTAAGCCTCATAACTCCTGGGGATTTTCATTTTAAAAACTCAATAGTAAATTGAAATCACAGTAGAAAACTGGGAAATCTTTGAAAAATGCAAACACATTTACATGTTGCCATTCCATGTAAATCAGTTTTATAAAATTAAAGGGGGACACGTGTACCTCTGTCAGCTTAAATACCACAGAGCTGCAGAAGACAGCAACTATTTGCAGACCATGGATGCAACTTTCCAGCTACCAAAATGAGCTACTGTGATGTCATCAAAAGTTTACACAGTAGTTTACAAAAGTTTACAACTACTAATAACTCAGCAAATAGCAACAAAACATTGAAAAACTCTGAATAACTAGACTGAAGTTTAGATACAAATGCTTAGATACAACATTTAGATGCAAATATTTTTGCTTGATTTTAAAATCAGAGGCTTCTTTTAAAATTTAATCTTTGGTTCTCTATTGAACATATGAGTTAAGCAAAAGAGTGAGAGACCTTTTTTGAATGCATTTTCTATGTAGCTGTTGTGAACTGACAACAGAGGGCAGAGACTAACAAGGCTCTGACATCCAACCCATGGCCCCAGAATGGGCCAACATAGGTATCACACTAATAAGAGCAATTCACTGTGCCCCATCTACCTGCTCTTGTATAATCCTATTCCAATACTGTTTAACTAACTAGGCTCAGTTCTTGAATTATTTGCTCAATTCCTGAAGTATGAATTCCTATTTTCTCTGAATTAGTGATGGAGACATGGGACTCTTTTGATGTTGTCGAACTGCAACTGCTATAATCTCGCACCATTGGTTATGCTACACAGGGTCCATAGTATTTGCAGTCCAACAACTTCTAAAGAACCACATCTTAGCTGCCCCTGCTGTAAACAACAAAAAGGTATTTTTAGAAACTATTCACAGTGTTTCTGGGAGGTTCTGGGCTCTCTGTTATCTTGAAGGCTTTTAGCCACTATGGGCAGTATCCAATAATGCCTCGATGCTAGTGCGCTCTACCACTAGTGCAATGGAAAGCGGTGCTGCACATGATAGGTCATGTTCGTTCCTGGGATGGGGAGGTCAGTAAACTCAGAAGGGAACTCTGCTGACCTGTGCTATTCCGGAAATGAATGCTTTGGCTCATTTCCAGACGTATGTTAGGAAATATTAGCTTCTGGGTCCCAAAGGCACAAGAGAAATCAGGTACGCAGAAGAACTGCATTTTTTAGAAAAGGGTAAAATTGGAGCAAGACAAAGTTATGCAACAGAGAAGCATGAGCAGAAATGCAAGAAAATGCAGTCCTATGAAAGAGTAAATGCAGTCCATTTAGTCCTAAATTCAAATATGCTAGTGGTTAGATCAACTAATTAACATGCATATTGTTTAGAACATAAATGAAGTACCAATGGGAAAATTTAAATGATAAATTGTGAGTTCAAAATAACCACCTAGTCTTGAAACTACACATTTCAGGAATTTAATATAAATACTACTAAAATGATAGAGCATGTGTCCTCAGTTATTTTAACCAAGATGAAACCATGCTTGTTCTCACCTTTAGTTGATAACCAACTCTTTCGTAAGCCTTAATTAGTCTGTTTCGGTGGTACATCATCATCCCATAGTGATCTTTATTTCGACAGTTGAATCCAAAAGTAATTCTTACAGTTTTTGGCTTATTTATACATGTTAGGGAAAATATTCAAATATGTTTTTCTTCATATTGAATATTCATTCTCAACTGAAATGTCTGAAGAAACAATTCTGTCAACTTCTAAGCACATTTAACACTTTATACAAATGAGTGTAAACACAGAAATATTTGTCTGGGTTGCACATAATGACAACACAGAGTATGATCCTGTTTGTATGTAACAACCTAGAGTACTGGCTGTTGCTGAACTGTGAATTTGTATGCGCAAACTCTACTTGATGGCTTTGGTTGTCATCACAAACAACTCAGGAAGAGAACTCAGGGTTTGTTTTTGGGTTGCAAACTCTAGGTTGGACAACTCCTACTGTTAAACCATGGTGCAGGGCTGTAATGAAAATCACAAGTCAGGGGCCCATACTCGACTCACACTCCTGGTTTATTTTAACTCATGATCTTTTGTCCTACTAGAGGGTTTGTGTGTCAGATAAACAAGTAAACCCACTACTATAGCTAAATTCAGTCCTGCGACTCCTCTTGAGAGATTGGCTACCAAAAAAAAGTCCTTACGAAAAAGGACAGAAAAAGTCCCTCCTGCTAGTTGTCTGACTGTGAGAGAAAGAGGCAACACCAGCACAGTATCATAGGTGCACACTAACAAAATAGAGTGAGCCCATCTCCAGTTGGGACCAGCTGCCACAGTCATCATGCACAGGGAATTTGCATGTTTAGCTTTTTATAATGATTAATAACAAAAATGTCATATCAGGAAACTTTACTAAATAAAAGATCTCATCCATTGAAAAGGAAAAACATAATCAGCAGGAAATATTCAGTTACTATTTGTACAAGGTTATCTTGACCTAAACTGAAGTGTAGGTCATTTGATGTCAAAACATCTCTCTCCAGGCTTTTCTTCTCAGATTCTGATCTTCTTGACAGATTTGTTATATATTTTCAACCCTCCTGTGTCTCTGAAAGAACTCTAAGTTAACTGACCCTTTTTGTTTGGTTATCATGAAAAATTTGTATTCTTTGAAGTCTGTGTCTGAATAACTGTACTTGCATTCTCTGCATGTAAAGTCCTGAATTGAAGCTACTGGACTACACACCACATTCACTGCTGAAGACAAAGGGTTCCCACGTTACGACTAGCAATCCTGAATAGTTTCTACTATGCATGATTTTTTTCCATGGATGTGCCTGAAAGATGATCAAGCTCATCATAGAAACTCCCCCCAGGTCTTCTATTTTCTTCCTTCTCAGTATCCCAGAAGTCACTATGGGGAGGAATGAGGCTCCTTGCTTTGAGAGCCACAATTACCACCCATGTTCGGCTTGCTGCAGCTGTCAAGCAGCTGTGCCAACAGAGCTCATGCCCTGATGTGGCGCAGGGAAGACAAAGAGCTGGTCAGGTACCCTCCACTCCTATTCCAAAGGGAACTGGCATGAACTGGAGGGGATTGCCTGATCCATGCTCAGGCGAAAGGGGAGGAAAGCAGTTTGGCACCAATGCAGAAAGGAGCTGCGCCCGCTTCCACGAACACCTGAGCGAAACCCCTCTGCATGTGGGCAGCAGGGGTAAGAAGCAGCTTGGCAGTGCTGCGGCAAGTAGCAGCACCACTTTATTGACTGCACTTCTGTCCATCTTGCACACACCAAGGTGAAACTCCTGATACGTGTGAACTAAGCAAAGGCAGAAGTAAGAAGCAACTGATGGTGGTGACAGCAGCAATAGGAGAATCAAATGAGCAGTTCTCTTCTCCCAGTACCCACTGACTGATTGTGTGGACACGTCTGACTAATGCACCAAATAGCACTTGTCAGGTATACTCTCTGGTTAACCACTTGGCCAGAGTGGCAAGGGTACACTCTTCTAAAGCAGTTCTGTAATCTGGCCTCTGTACCATAAGTTTTGTTTTCCAGGTTGGATGGTGCAACAAGCAATCATGGTACAAACCCACCCCCCATAGAACAGACTGTTGTTTGAGTTCATAGCTTCTCCAAACAAATGTACCATGCTAAATTACAATTTAGATGGCATAGTAGATCAACAAAGATTTTTAAAAAGCACTGTTGTTTGTCATGTGATGTGAGCCTGTTCTAAGAGTAATGTGGTGCTGAGTTAGTACTGGGTCTTGATAGCCAAGAAAGATGTGCGTGCACAATGAAGATTTGGAGTTTTTTGGATTTTTTCAGCCTCTGAACCTAAGCAGGAATATTGCACTACTAACCACACTATCGCACAAAGGTTAACAACACTTTTCTTTTACATCCTGTTTTAGCCTAAGAAAAACATCCCAGGTTTTCTATATAGTTGGCTACTGTTTCTTAGTCAAATTTCGACAGCCCACAGTAACAAAGGATACAGCCAAAAATTTTGGCTTGTAAACATCACGTTCTATGTTGGCAAGGCTTTTGGAAACCAGTTGTGTTTGCACTTTTTGTCCTCTTATAATGATCTGCATTCTTGGCTTTAAATATAAAATACTGCAATAAGCCTGAAAAGGAAATGAAAGTTTATGGTAACTTTTATACATTGCAAGCCAAAGAAAATCTAAATAGTTTATAATACATTGTTCATAACTATAAAGCTTATATTTATAACAATAAAATATGTTATTGGAACCCCATCTAAATGTTTAATTCTAAAAGAGAAACTAGAATGATGAGACATTTAAAACATGTTTCTACCTTATAACTACACAGGATTCTGCAGATAACAATGCTCTAGTTAAAACTGAGTTAGCTAAATGTAGACACAGGATGATATCTAAAGCCTTGTCATCTATAAGCTTACCTGCCTAGCCTTGACAATGCAATGCCCTGGTTTGGACAACATGGCAACTTAATGTGGCTTATTACACCAGTGGGTCTGTCATGTTGCGCCCTGCACCCATGAGTACCATTTTTCCATGGAGCTCAAGGGTATCTAACTTGCTGTAAGCCCATGGGCCAGAAATGGGTCAGAAGGGCGTATCTACTCAAAACAGGAATGGGGCAACTACTGTAGGCCAGGTGTTTATTGCGAATGTTAAAGAGCAAACAAACTAATCACTAATCATGTAATAAGCAGCAGAACCAAGCAATCATGCTAAACAGCTGGAGTATACAGTCAGTGAAACTAGCATAATACAATTAAAACATTTTAAATCATGACCACCGAAGGTTATGAAATAGAATGAGCAATCTTTAAATACACAAATATTTAACTGATATTAATCTAACAGCAACAGTAAGCTACATCCCACACTTTGCAAGCAAACATCCACTCACGCAACAGAAATTTACTTTCTCCTAGTCCCTCCACGTTTCCTCTGGAGGGTCACCTAAACATCAGCATGATATTTTGGAGGGCTGCACATGGCCTGTACAGGGGAGGGGGATTCATTCCTTCCTGGTTCTGTTGACAAGTCTTCTGTGGATGAAGGGACACCAGCTGGATTTCACCCACCAGCTGCAATTCTATATACAGTTGATTAAAATGGGACTTATAGGATATGGTGGAGTATACGCTACAACTTCTGATAATAAAAAAATGTGAATGACATACCCGTAATGAATAATCACTTTCAGGAACAACCTGGTCCTGTCTCTCTTGTTTTTTGTAGCCTCTTTTCCCTGTTACTTCATCTAAATCTGCAGGAATCCTAATATCATATTTATCTGTATCAAAATCGAATTCAGTTTGTTCATTTTTCTCTCTGTGGAAAAAAAAATAAAATGAGTTACTGAATTCTAGTTTTATTATATTTTCCTGCACAAATACATACATTTATTCCCCCTTGAAACCTTAAACAAGTGCAGAAGTTATTGTTGAATTTGCTAGGCAATTTGAGCAAGCTCATTCTTACATTCAGATTTGATGTGCTGATATCATTGTTGAGATTGTTTCATTTCCTTTTCAGGTGCTTAAAACTTCTTACAGATGCATCACCCTGTTCTACCAACAGAAACCTTTGGCCAGTGGAAAACCACTAGCTGGATCTTACTCAGTAGCTGCAATTTTGTATACAGTTGATTAAAATAGGATTTACAAAGTGCTCTTTGTATGCAAGAAAGGCAAATCTTGAGTTATTTGAATCCATAATCTGCCTCGGTGTGTGCTAGGGGATTGAATATTCAAAATGGTTGTGCAATGGACCTTACAAATGTGGCTTGCTTAAACCAAGATTTGATGCCATCACGTGTGAAGTTTGTTGATGTGCTGTGCCTGGCATTTCCAAACTATGTCAGTTTTCCTTGTGTACATTTATAAGGCTATTCCACCCTGCGTCTGTATTAATGTATTATTTTTAAAAATCCATTCAAATATACATTTTAATTACTCTCTCACAAAATATTCATTTTAAATTTATTTTATCTTAAAATGCATGTTTTGATGTTTTATTAGCAGAAAGCAAAGGTTAAGTGAGTTCCAATCGCCAAACAGGGTACTGATGAGATCAGTCTGCATTCGAAATTGTGAACACTGAATTCTTCAAACATCCCTAAGTATCACCTTGCTTTCCATGCCAGACTGAATCATGAATTGGCTTACAATTAAAGCGCACATCAGATATTATTATAGGGATATGTAAATATATGTATGACAGTCTTCCCAGAAGATATAATAGTTTAAGCTCACCCTGCTATGGTAGATAGTGGATTTCACACAACTGTATACTAAATAGGAAATATTCAGCACAGAAAATTTATTTATAATCATGTTACAACACCAAAAGAAACTGGGCATGAGAATCAGAAAAGGAGTGGACATCCTGGGAAATATCTCATCCCAATGTGTTAGATTTGAATTAGCATTAAAACAGGATGCAGATTAAATAAAAACTATCAAAATAAACAATTAAAAACAGTAAAATTTAGTGTTTTGTTTAAAATGGCTCAATCTTACCTATTTTGTGCAATTATGTAAAACCAACAGAGAGTAAACCTGTATCACCCACACTACAATTTTCTCACCTTCGAAGGTTCCAAATGATGATCCTTGTGCCTTTTTTCCCTATAATGGCATCAAGTTCTGCAAGCAGCTCCTCTTCTGTGGGAAACAAGGAATGTTCCAGGATAGCCTTTAAGCTGGCCTTTGATTCCTCTGGATTCATTACTAGTCGTTATTACATTAAGGACTTAGCATATTTCAACATTTTAATTGCTCCTTCAGTTAGTTACAGCCTTTTACCCAAATCTTTCCTGAATGAGGGCAAAACTGATAACCACTTATTGGTTGTCCCTTCAAATACTCCCATATGTAGCTGCCTGGAACTAAAGTCTTCTTCAGCAGTCCTTTTGAGGCAGCCCCTGCCAAGGGAAGTCAGGAGGCTGCTAGGAAGAGGGCTGTTTCATCTGTGGCACCCAGGGAATCAACTTCCCAGAAAAGTTTGCCTAGCACCCATATGATACTCATTTTTGCAACAGGTGAAGACCTTCTTTTTCCAGGAATTTTTTACTCTTTAAAAAAATTCTATACTGCATTTTAAAATTGTGTACTGGTCCTAGGTTTTACCCTAGTTTTCACTGTTCCAACTAAATTCTTATACTGTATTTTATGTTTAGAAGTATTTCCAATTATTGTGAACCCTTCAGTTTCAGGTATTGGGGTGGCTGAAAGATATGGTAATGAACTCCACATCCTGTTTTACTATTGTTGGGTGCAATTCAGTGCCCCCCATGTTCAATACATGCAAGCCTCTGAACTTAAGAGGTCTATGTGTACCCAACCGCCAGATGGCCAATTTCCAACCCTGAAGAGCCAAGCAGTGTCTTTCCATGTCTGTTGTGAGGGAGGGGCTAAGTTGGGTGAATTGAAGAATCCTTTGTGGACCCAGCCTGACATATACCAAATTTCTGTTGCTGCTTTCCACTACTTAGCTGCTGCTTAAGCAGAGGCTAAGATAACAGCAGTACAATGTATATGAATTAAGTGAAGGGTTTTTTGGGTGGAGTGTCAGATTGGAAAAAGGGAGAAAGTTAAATAAGTAATCTGAGGTATGTATATGTACAGCAACCTTACAAAAATATGTTTTGTGAATGTATATGCTTTAAGATGGAGTTGCAACAAAGTGAGTGTGCAGTGCTTCTTTTCAACATTTATCTTGTAGGGAAATCCTTCCTTCAGGATATTCCATACCCGCTACACCTCCAAGCTTTCTGTCCCCTGCCCCAACTGACACTCAGTATTGTGTGCCCAGAGAGAATGTAGAGTCCTTAGGATTTTTTTGCTATTTCTGCAGGCCTTGGAATATTCTGAAGCATGTCAAAACTTTCCTCTTGTTTTCAGCCTAGCTGTTTTGATTACATGACCATCGTAACCCATCAAATGAGTTTGCTAGTAGCATGCATAGTATGTAAGAGCAATGATTTCATAAAACAAACAGACAGACACAAGAGCAAACAGCAACATGATAATCTCCTCAAGAGTGAAGAACCTGGGAGAATGAACAGTTACTTGGCCTCAACAATATCAGCATAGAGATCAGGTGAGTTTTCTGGAGCAGAGAGGCAAATTTCTTCAGGAATACCCCTAGATAATTACAGACTATATGGCAAGTAATGTTAGTGTAAGGAAAGGATGATCTTCAGAAGCTAACATTCTATGAGAAAGTGTACAGATATGACTGTTAACTTGAAAAATCACTAAAAGGATATTTTTTTTATTGAATGATATGATGGGAACAATGACATGTTCTGCCTTTGTAGCTTCCAAGAAGGTCTGCGACAACAGGCCCACACTCATAATTTCTCCATTCTTGGTGAAAACAACCGCATCTTTCCCCAGGCGCATAGATCCTGATTTAAATCCATTTCCATACAAGCCAACTGGAACACGACCATTCAGTGTAACTTTGTCACTGAAGCCAAAGCTGCAAAACACAATATGAAGGATGAAAGAGGAAAAGTACCATATTGCTCAAGATTAGAATTAACTAAAACTTAACCTTTCAAATTAAAAGTTTACTCCAACTTGTGCTTAAGTGGAATAAAATATGCTTGTATATGCTGTTCCAAGAAAGCCTTCTTCTAAAGTAAAATAAAACACAACTTTATTCCTGACCAATTAAATCATAAACACATTTAGAACCTCCTTTTAATACAACTGAAATAACCAAACATACTTTTCTTCTAGATGATGGCCCTTAACCCCTAGTTTTCTAGCTCTCCTTTTGTTTTGTGATGCTTTTTGGACTATTACGAAGAAAAACTGTAAGCTAAACCGTGTGATCGCTTTTCCTATTGCAACCTATGGTTGTGAAAGTTGGACAATGAAAAAGTTAGACAAGAGGGAAATTGACTCATTTGAACTGTGGTGTTGGTGGAGGCTCCAGCACATTCCATGGACAGCGGGGGTGATGAACAAGGAGGAGCTAGAGCGTATTAAACCAGACATGTCCCTGGTCGGCAAGATAGCAAACCTGAAACTCATGTATTTTGGCCACATTATGTGGCCACTTCAAGCTCATTAGAAAAAGATATAATGCTTGGAATGTTCAGCAGCTAGAGAAAACCATGTCACCAAAGAGTGAGGTAGTTTGACCCCAATCCACCATGGCCTTTCTTACGGTCTTATGTGCCATATAAGCATCTACAAGGTAGAATGCAGTGTGAACCAGCTAAGCACAAAGTGATACTACCTGCTTAGATTTAAAGCTTTTGAGAGTGGAGTTCTGCTCATCTAATATTAATTTATTTAGAACATTTCTATGCCGCTCCATCGCAACAAAGCCTCGGGGTGGCTCACAACACATAATACAGAAGTAATAAAATAAATAAATACTAAAATTATACAATAAATAACACCCCCCAGTGCATTCTTGGCTAAAAAACAACAAAAAAAAAACCCTAGTTAATAAATAATTAACAGTTAAAATAAGTTTTAAATAAAAAGGTCTTAGCCTGGCGCCGAAAAACAAATAATGACGGCGCCAGGCGGACCTGGATATTAGTGCTCTCCCTGGATATTCCTGCCCCTTGCATCTCCCAAAGGACACAGACTGGGCCCTCCTGAAGCTCCTTCCATGGAGTGGGAAGAGCGAATTAGCAAGCCACACTACCCCTGTCCCCCACAAATGGAAGACATTTCTACTTGTACAAAGGATTCTTTCAATTCTATTTGCACTTGTCCAATTACAAAATATGTTTTATTATGAAATGTATGTTAAGATTATACAGAAGTGTTGCAAGTAGTTATCCTGTTCTCTGTTCTATTTGCCTTGATAATAGATACTATCTATTATTTGCCTTGAAAATTTTATTTCCACATGATTTAAGTGGGAATAAAAAGATTAGTACTATTTTATATTGTGATTGTTTTATGCCTAAAGATCAATATTTCTCCACAAAACTTGATTGTGCAGTCAGCAATTATGACGTTGGCAGATAGCAATAAAACACGTACCTCAGCATCTTATGTAACTTGTCTGCATTCATACCGTTTCCGTTGTCCATGAATGTTAAACATGTGTTCTCATTTATAACTGTTTTGTCAATCCACATTTGTTTTGCATTCACATCTGGATCGTAAGCATTGTCTGAGAGTAAAGAATATAAAGCAAAAATAGTGCAAAAGAATTAGAATTACCTGGAATCCCTATGAAATTTAATGCAATGATTTAAATTCTCATATTGAATTCAACTTCAAATACACACCCATTCACTGTAATGCTGGAGGACTTTAAGAATTTATATTCAATTATACCTCTTCTTTCTTAATTCTATATAGACACTTGTGTACTTCAATGGTATTACAGAATTAATTTTATGCTGTCCAATAGCCAATGTGGTACAGCAACTCACATGGTATCACCTGAACTATTATGATTCTAACTGGATGTTCTTAAACACCACACAGTAACTATTTAAATTATACAAACTGGTCGTTAATGATTATCAACAAATAAAGAATATTCCAGAAATGCACAAGAAAGATAGTGACTGTCATAACTCTTTAGAAACATTAAGTATCTTACATAGATTAATGACTGACAGCAAGCAGCCTGCCATTCTATAGTATATGCTGATCAATTGCAGAACTTAATCTTCCATATCCCACAGCTGATCTCTGGTCAGCAAAATAAACTGCTTGACATGAATCCAGAATATAGGGGTTTGCTTGAGTCAGTGGATCTGGCACTGTTGCAAAGTTGCTTCTGACAAATAGAATATGTATACTTTTATAGATTGACTGTTAAACACATTGTTAGTAATGAAGTATAGGTGTGTGGAATGTCTAAAACTGACTTGTACAATTTTATGATGTTTGTAACTATTTTTATTCGATTTTATTCTCTGAGATTAATTCCTTTGAGTAAACTAACTAGGCTTATCTGTACTATTTGAATGTATACCTGTTTCTGTTCTTGTTTCATAACTTATTATTCATAGAATGAAAAGTCCATGTCTGTAAGACAGGCAGAGCTGTGTTGATTCCTTGTACCTAGCATTAAATGACCAGCAACAGCCCTTATTTCGTATCTCACATTGCACACATCCTCTACAATTTACAGACAGGCACTGGCCATTGAGGAGAAGGGGTCAGTAGGGCTCAGATGATAGTCCTTTCAGAATCTGTCCCTCCAGTCCCACAGAATTCCTTTTGTGCTTGTCTGATTCTGTAAACAAGCTAAGCCTGGAGGAAGTCTGCAAATGCTTGCAGAGCCGTGGTCGTGCAATCGTTGGGTGTAGCTACCCAAACAGTAGTTTCAAGACACCAAGGAGGGACACAATGGGCAGGTGCACCAGACGTTGTTCCTGGTGACTCACCTTCTTCCCCATCACACAGCTGGCAGTGGAGGGCATGGAAAAGTGCTGTGAGTGCACCAGGTACCCTTCCTGGTGACCCACCTATTCTGCCCCTGTACATCTGGTAGGTTTCCTGAGGCATGAAAATTTCAAGAATTCTTCCAAGGTAAATGGGTTGAGAAAGGGTAACCTAGGCAAGTAGTTTTCAAGCACCAGTCCACAGACTGGTACTGGTCTGTGGAAGATTTCCTGCTGGCCCATGGCGGGTGGGGGTGCTGTATCCTGCTTGCCACAGACTGGCAGGGGGGCTGGCTGTACTCCACCTCTTCCTCAGTTAGCACTGTATTTGTAAGGAGTGCGCTGGTGCAGTGGAGGGTGGGGGTGAGACGGCTCAGTGGGAGTCACGCTGCACTGATTTCAGTATTTCGTTCTTTAGTTAGTTTTTTTTGTTGCTTGGTTTCTGGTTGTTTTGGAGAATTTATTTTTTGGTATTGTGTTTGGAAACTAATAACACAAAATGCTCTATTATGTGCATGGTGTTTTTTTTTCTGTCTCAGCATTTCCCGAGGTGGTTTTCCTGCTTTTGCCGGTTCCCAGCTGTGGAAAGGTTGAAAACTACTGACATAGACCATGAGGACGTGCTACCTTTCCTAAAGAAGGCAATCAGTTACTGCAACAACTAAGCAAAGATGAATATACGAAGAAGAAAATAAAGCCAAGAACAAGTTTGTGATCCTAGTTACTATCGTTTCAAGGTAAAAACAGCATTCTGTTCTGAAAAAATCAACTAGAAACAAGCTGAATAAGATGAGTGCTTTCCTCACCCCTCCATTTTCTGAACCATTCTTATTTTGTGCACCAAAACGAAATTGTTTTTTATAAAGACTATTTTTAAACATGTAATTTTCTTAAAGCTACGGGAGTCAAAACCTACACAGAGGTATGATTCATCTGTAACAACTCTTGTATGGGCTGTTGCTTTATTGAGAGCTTAATCTCCAATTTGTCAGTCCAAAGATCACAAAAAGTACAGATTTCCTCTACCAACTGCTTATTTCCTATATCCCAGATACTTTTGTGGCACTGTAATACCAGCACAAACAGAAGATTTTTTAAACTACTCTTGCTCACTGCCTGGATAGCCCGGCAAAAGAACACTTTGTTCAAGGTTTACATGTAAGACAGCAAACAGCCAGAATGCATAACTCACCAACAAACCATGGGCTTCCTTCCTGGGTTGTTTATGGTGAACAACCCATTGTTAACTCACAGTTCTGGGTTCACATGCAGCAACAACCAAGATTCAACTACCCATATGTATGGTTCTTATTACGAGTAAACCAGGTCAGAAAGTATAATTTCTCCAGGTGCATTTTTCCCAATTCTGTGCTGTAGTGATGGGTAAAAAGAGGAATCTTATAACAGATTCTTCCTGTACAGACTTTCTACCGCTGGCAACTGGAGCATAACAAACTTTGCTGTAAGTTTTCCAGACAGCTTCTGTTAGTGGGTGTTGTGAGGCCGGAGCACTCTTCCTAATTACTCACACAGGAACAGGCAATAAAGGTTTGAAGCCTTTTATTCTAAACAACTTCAAAGATACGCAGGCAATGAATAATACAGGAGCTGTTAATGGCAGTTCTAAGCAATATTCTGACCTATCTCAGATTTATGATGCACTTTTCACCGGACCCTCCCCACAGGGGCTAGATAAACTCTTCTCCCTCCTTTGACTTTGCCTCTCTTCTAATTGGCTCAAATGATGAAGTCTTCTCCTCAGCTGGGCATTCTCCATGGCAACAGGTTGTCCCATGGTCTGCACAGCTGCATTATCTTTTTGAGGAATGCAGCTCCGCCCAGGCTGGAGAAAAACTTCATCAGACTCAGGTGGCAGGGAGGGCGTTTGTGCCATGGGCACCAAATAGAAATCTTTTTGCTCTAAAGTCTGACTCTCGCTGGGAGCATCTTGCTTTCTTACCCAAGCTAAAGACTCCTCTGAGTAGTTAGGCAAGACAGTGCGTGGTACATAAATGAAATCAATAATAATATGCTTTGTAAATACTTCATTTTGGGTATAACAAAGAGGGTTGTTTCAGAAAAGAGCTCCTATTTAGCAGCCTCAAATAAACCCTATTGTATGTGCTGAAGCAACATGACCAAACAATTTAAAAAAACAAAAAACAAAAACCTTGCACCTCAGGTTCTCTCAGGACAATCATAAAAGTTCTACTGAATGCTACAGGGCAGACTCACATGTAACTCTGTATAGGACTGCAGTTGATTAAACATGGAAGGAGAATCCCTTAGGAAAGCTGTACCCACATATATACCAAGCAGACATGGTTTGGACTGAACGACTAAAATTTTTACATACCAATAAGTTCGGCCACGGCACTGAAAGGCCAAGTGTGACTGGTTGAGTTTGTGTGCAAAAACTTTGGGCACAGCTGAAAGAAAAGAAAAAGTGTTAAAATTGGAATAATTCTATTTCCACCTTTGTTTACAGAAGTTTACAAGGACTTCCCATCTGGTAATAGTCAAATACTTTGTTTAGATATATTTTGTACATTACCCATCAAAAATGTACTCCAAGAATGGAAACAATTATACAGAAAATTTCAATACCCTATTAATTTATAAAGTTTCTATTTCCATGGAAGGGGATTTGGGGATAGCAGCCATTATTGGATCGGTACACAGTAAACCTGTGGAATGCCTTGTCACAAGATACGGTGATAGTCACTAGCTTAGATGAATATATTTAATATATAAATAGGGGAATCTATCTAGCTAATAATCTATCAGCAGCTGCAGGTCATGATGTTTACATGCTACCTCCAGCTTCAGAAGTTGAATACTGAGAAATTCAAACCCTTAAGAGCCAATGACTCATAGCCCTCTACAAGGACAAATTGTTAATACCCCTCCCCCCCTCTAAATTCAAACTCTTTCCATCATCTTTTTCCAATAAATTTGCAAATCTTGAATAGATTCAATAAATTTGAAATTATATTTTACAAACTGAACTGAATTAATTTCTCAATGAAATGCATACTTTGAATTACCAATTAGAAAAACAGTGGAGAAAATGTTGTTGCTCTCATATGATGCCTGCTAGCTTCTCATAGGTAGCAACTATAAGAAACTAGATTCTGCTCTAGATCGTTTTTAATTACTAACAGTGTACTTATATTCTTCTGCTTTAACTAGAAAGCATATGAGAAGCAAAGGGACTGTTATAGGCCTTCCCAGGCTTGGTTCAATGGAGCTAAGCCTAAGAACAGGAGAAGCCCTCTGTTCGAGCCAGATCTATGAGGGAGTAGACTGAATTCAGAGGAAATTGACTAATGGGTTAATTCTACATTAGGGTTCTTTCCCTGGTGAGGACATGCTCTCTACCTAAGGAAAAATTCCTGGGTACAGAGACAGCCTATTTATGACACACTTTTCACCCGACCCTCCCCACAGGGGCTAGAGCATGGGGAACACCTTCCTGCATAATAAATGCTTCCTCTAAAGGTATTCTTTGAACTACAAAGGGGCAGTTCCTGAATCTTTTGGGAAAGAAGGCAGTGAGCAGGGAATCAAGGAGCCTACTTTTCTTCAATGTATCACCTAACTCTCACAGCCAAGGACTCATATGTATTCCGCACAACCCCTGGCTCTCCTATGGTCTAAAGGCTAGGAAGAAGCAGTTTAAAAATAAATCACAACTTTCATGCATGTCTCACTGATCTTCCCCAAGTTTATAGGAAGCCATTCTTACTCTGCCTTCTCTGCATAGCAGCAGTTTATCTGCATACCAGCTATCTACTTTATGAAAGGAAGAAACATTAAGTCATTGTCCAAGTCTGGTTCTCTAAATGAGTGTCTACCAGTTGAGGCATCTAAGCAGCAACTTCATCGGTGCAGTGTTGCACGAGTTTTTCTCTGTAATTGTGGTGTAGTGGTTTGGATGAGGAGTTTAGATGTAGGAAACTCCTGCTCAGCATCTGATTTATACTCTAAACTACTACTTTAGCCTACAACAGAAAAACACAGATTGGGACCTTTCAATATTGTGTGGATCACAACAAATTGTGGCAAGTTCTTAAAGAGATGGGAGTACCAGACCATCTTATTTGTCTCTTGAGAAGGAAGGAGAAGAACCTAATGCTGGGAGCAATTGACAGCAAAAGAAGAAGGGGATGGCAGAGGATGAGGTGGCTAGATGGAATCACTGGAGCAGTTGGTGTGGGCTTGGGTGGATTCTGGGGGATGGTGGAGGATAGGAGAGCCTGGAGGAGCGTGGACCATGGGGTCGAGAAGTCGGGCACAACTTCACGAATAACATAAATGTAGAACTGATACAATTATATTTAATAAGTTGGCTCATGAATCTTTCTGATCTTTGAGATCTGATAAAAAGATTATTAGTCCTTCACATGTAGTAAAAGAGAGGTCCGCCTGGCGCCGTCGTTATTTGTTTTTCAGCGCCAGGCAAAGACCTTTTTATTCAAGCAGCATTTTAAATGTTAATATTATTGAATTTTTCTGGCCAGGGTGGCTTATTTTATATTGTATATTTGTAATTTATTTTAATGTATATATTTTAAAATGTTATTTAACTTATTTGTTGTAAGCCGCCCCGAGGCTTCGGCGAATGGGGCGGCATAAAAATGTTTTAATAAATAAATAAAATACTGTAAGACTTGGAGTACATCTTCCTTTGAACAATCATTACGGTTTTGGAACTGCCTAAGCTCCTTGTCAAGCCCCACCTCTGTTCCAACTAAGACCATATAGCAACAAGTTTGCTTTTATTTGCCTATACATTATCTTCATCCTGTTCTTAGAAAAACCTAACAAATGCTGCAACTGGGGATCTTTTTGGATCCAACAGAATATATTTACATAACATAAAATGTCTCCAACTACCAACTTTGCTTTTTTATCTTCCCTTTATCATGGTCAAGTGTATTTAAAATACCAAAACTCATATCTAAAAACATACAATATGTAACACAATGTGTCTGAATATGCATTAACCCCATCTCCTTCTTGTCTATAGAGTAACAGTCTATATTTCTTAATTTTCAAACAAATATGTTGTTTACAGTGAGAAATAAATACAATGTTTTTGAATCAAAGATAAGGAGCACCACCACACACTGGTATCGATCTAGCAACAAAACACTGAACATTTGTGTTTGTGGGGGGCAATTTTTCTCCCCCACCCATTCAAAACTGCCTCTGGGGAGGCTAATATCCCTATCAAAGGCTATTGTTTGACCTGATATTCTTCATATTAGGTTTTAATCAGCATAACAGTGAATTTCAGGTTTCAGCTAGTACTGGTCACCGAGACTGAATACTTCCAACATTAGCTTCCAATCAGCATAACAGTGCTTTCCCTTACAGCTCAACGGTTGAATCAATAATGTGAAGTAGCTGCAGATAAGGCAAATGCTGTTTTAAGCTGCATTAACAGAAGTATCACTTCCAAATTCCATTAAGTATTAATTCCCCTTTACTCAGCAGTGGCTAGGCTTCATCTGGAGTACTGGGTCCAGTTCTGGGCACTACAGTTTAAGAAAGATGCAGACAAGCTGGAAAGAGTTCAGAGGAGGACAACAAGGATGATCAGGGGACTGGAAACAAAGCACTATGAGGAAAGATTGAAAGAACTGGCATGTTTAGTCCGAGAAGAGAAGACTGAGGGGGAGATATGATGCCAGTCTATAAGTGCTTGAAATGCAGTCATAAAGAGGAAGGACAGGATCTCTTCTGAATCATTGCAGAGCGCAGGACATGGAGCAATGGACTCAAATTACACTGTCAGATTTCAGCTAGAAATCAGGAAGAACTTCCTGAATGTTAGAGTAGTACAACAATGGAGCCAATTACATAGGGAGGCTCTCCCACAGTAGAGGCATCCAAGATGCAACTGGACAGACATCTGAGAGGGATGGTTTAACTTGAGAGTCCACTGAGCAGGGAGGTTTGACCTGATGGCCTTCTGGCCCTACACGACTCTACTATTTTATGATCCTATGATAAGATAGATTCCAGATCCTGAAAAAGTTTCAGGTTTTCAGTTTTAATGAGAGGGGTTTGATCCTCAAAAAGATCAAAATGATATCTAGTAATATAAAAGGACAGGGAACATTAAGTCCAGTTCCCTTTACATCCCAATAGCCATTATTATTATGTAGATTTGCAGGCTATTTTATGCCACAGACATGTGGGATTACAGAAACAAAACTGTGAAAGACAGGTGACTGAAATTTGAGGACATCCTTTACTACAGTGCATGTAACAATATCTGAAAGGACTACAGTCAGAAAAAGGTCTCCCGAGTCCTTAGAAGCAAAGTCCTTTTATCGGGGCTTAACAGGTTACAAACCGCATGTGTGTCAAAGTAGCATTCACTTTGAGATGTGGCATAAGAATCTACCTATGTTTAGTTGATTCAAATTGAATCTGACCTTCCTTCCATCCCTTTCAGAAAGATTCTCACTCCATCCCCAGGAATCGGATACTAGCAGGAATGTTGCCTACTTGCTAATTAGTCCACTCACTTTGTCTGTCCTTTTCTTACAGGGTCAAGGTAAAGATGATAAGACAGGCTGGTTCTCATGTTCTATTTTCACTGGCAACCTTGAAACTTCAAAGTCATCTGGCCCCCTCTGCCCCTCCACCTTCTCCTCAAAATTGAACAAATCAATCTGAAAATTCTGTAATGTACAAAAGCCAGGTCCCTCTCTACAACTACACTACAGGACTATGGATGTGTAAATTACACAATAAAATGTGAGCCTGCAGAAGGAAGGTGTCCCATGATACTTGTTGAAGGCACAGAATAAACTGCAGCACATTTTAACAATTCAATTTAAGGACAGCAGTGAACAAGAAGAAACAAACTCAATCCAGATAAAATGAAATTAACATTGGTGGTAGATTGTTTGCCTACCCATGCATCAGGGCCTGACTGGTATTGGTCAAGCTGAAATCCTCTGAAAAGATCCAGAGTCTTGTGCATCCTGCTTTGCTCACCAGCTGAGGCTGGTGCACCACTGGCAGTCCCTCCTAGTCAGGGATAATCTGTTCATGCTTTGGTAACTATGGAGATGTACATAGGCTGCCTTTAAAGACAATCCAGAAACTAGTGGCAGTCTTAAAGTGCAGTATTAAGACTGACCAGTAGGAACACAACTTGCTTGGTCTTCAAAAGTTTCCTTTCCTAAGCACAACTGAAAACACTGGTTCTTTAAAGCCCCACACAGCCTGGTGTCTTGTACCAGGAGGAGACCCTTCCCCAACATAAACCTGCCTGTACACTAAGGTCTTTCTTGGAAGACCTTCTCTGGGTGACCCCCATGGTTCTAAAATCAGGAAGGTGGCAATCAGGAAAAGCCGTTCAGATTTCAGGAATGGCATCTAGCTATGTTCACACATAACACTAACAGTGAAATCCTACTGGCTTTGGCCCCAGTGATCATAAGGCCTTGAACTTGGAAGCTTACAGACATCCAAGGCAAAGCAGGAGAAGTTGTAGAAGTACTTTTTGATTCTCCATCCTTCTGCTATGTATTTTTCACAAGATAGGCTGTTTAGCCTGTCTAGCTAAAGAACTTAAAAGGGGGTAAAGGAATCTTGCAGAGGTTCTCTAATCTTCTCACCTGCTGACATGTTCCCTTTTCCTCCTGTCTGAAGCTGGGTTCCTAACCTTGGCAGGCAGCTGTCACAGTTGTTTCCTGCAGCCTACAAGGGGGAAAGGGTTGCAGCTCCAATTTGCCCCACAGAAGTTGGAGTGCTGTCTCTGATCTCAGAGCCAAGAATCTGAACAATCTTATGGCCCCACAATGATCACCTTAAGCATTCTTGTTTGGGAGACAACAGCTGTTCTATTTGCCAAATAAGTTCAACATGGTCACATGTTGAACTTACTTTCACTTTGAAAGAGGGAAGTTACCTGAAATGAAGTAGTAAAATAGGGGTCTCAAACTTGTGGCCTGCAGGCCAATTGCCGGGACGGGCAGGGCACGGGGGAGAGGCCCTGCGGCCTTCAAAGCGCCGGCGGTGCCTGGGCCAGCCGCAGGATGAGCGGCCCACCACCACCGCGGTGGTGGAATACTTGATGCGGCCCAGCCTCACCCAGACTCTACTTCCAGCAGCCCCCAGGTAAGTTGGTTTGAGACCCCTGTAGTAAAAGGAAAGTTGCAAGGGGGAGTCAAGAAAGTTAAACACCTTCAAATGCTTGGAGGTTACTCAAAACTAGAACAGAAGGCTCAACTAGAATGTCTATTACAGGCTAGGAAAAGTTCAAGGTATCACCAGCATGGTTAATAACTAATGGGATCAAGAAAGCTATTAGAAAGCTTCCTTCAGAAAATGGAAGCCTTGAGAAAATGAAGAAAACAAAAGCAAGCATGAACTTGCAGATAGAAATACAAGCATATAATACAAAAAAGCATTCTGAGGAACACATTGCTAACCATATCAAGGCCAGAAATAATGAATTCTTTAAAAATAAGAGGAGGAACAACCAACTAGGTAAGTAGTTGGAAAACAATGAAGGTAAAGGAGGATAAGGAGATTGTGGACTAGATGAATTAATTCTTTTTTAATATATAATCATTGCAAAAGACATGGAACAGTTACTTAGGAAGCATGTCTGACAAAATGAGGCAAACAGTGGTGGGGAAAGATTAAGTTCTTAATTCTATTGAAAAACTGAGGGTTAATGAGCCCAGATGGTACCTCAGAGTTCTTAAAGAATTCAAATAATTAATATTTTTAAATCAAAAATATATAACTTGTCCTTAACAGCAGCCTTAGTACTTTCTGTAAACTACCCAGGAAGCCGGTGAGTGGATGGGTAGTGAAGAAATGTAATAAATAAGCAGAAAATTGGTGGAAAATTTTTAAAAGAAATCTATAAAATGTAGGTCTGTTAGCTTAACATCTGTTGATTGAAAACATTACTAATGATAAAATTTTAAGCATATATAGGGACAAGCCCAGCTGACAAAGAATCAACATGGTTTCCATAGGAAATGCTGTCTCCTTAACCTTTTAGAATTCTTTGAGCGTGTCAATAAGCATGTGGACAGGGGTCCTCCAGTAGACTTTTTTACATGGACTTCCAAAACGCTTTTTACAAGTCCTCCACCAAAAATCCTTGAACAAACTTAGCCGTCATAGAATAAGAGATGTCCCCTTATGGATCAGTGACCAGTTAAAGAACAGAAAGCAAAGGGTAGAAATAAATGGGAAATTCTCCCTATGGAGCAAAGAAAACAGTGGAATACTATATTGGGAATATCTGTATATCAGTGGAATATCTGTATTGGGACCAATGCTGTTCAACCTATTCATAACCGATCCGGAATCAGCAGTAAGCCATGCAATGACCAACTCTGCTAATGACACCAAATTATATAGGATGGTTAAAACAAAAAAAATTGCAAGGAACTCCAAAATTATTTCTGCAAACTGGGATAATGTGCATCTAATTGGCAAATGTGGGTCAACATAAGCAAGTCTAAAGTGATGTATACCGAAAAAAAGATCTCAACTTTATATGACTGACAAGAGCTCAATGAAAATGTGAGCCTTATGAGCAGGCATTGTGCAAAAACTCAATCTCCATGTTGCACACAATTAGGAAAGGCGCTGAGAATTAAACTGCCAATATAATATTATATAAAGATATGATGTCTCCACACTTAAAATTCCCTGTACAGTTCTGGTCACCATACTTAATGATAGTGTAGAGTTGAAAAGAGTGCAGAGATGCACAACTAAAATCACCCAAAAGCTGGAGCAACTCCCCAACAAGTAAAGTGTATAGTATCAGGGATTATTTTTCTTGGAAAAATGATAAATGAGGGAAGACATGATAGAGACATACAAAATTGCACATGGCGGGGCTACACATTTCTATACTGCCCAAAAGCCCAAGATCTCTGGATATGGTCTGACCTGGTATAGTTTCTCCTACACTCTTGAGACTCTCACCATTTGTGAAACCATCACATCGTGCAGGGGAAGCGCCACTTTTTAGCACTCAAAAACAATACAAAGGTTTACAACGAGGAAAAGAGAAACTGGGGCCTAACCCATTACGAAGCACCCCCACTTTTCGCCAGCTCCAGATACTTAGGAAGCTCTTATGCCCTTAGAACTACACACATAATAAAATTTTACAAGACGTGGCTTTTCCGTTCATCGCCGTATTAAAAAGGGGCAATGTCCACCCGGCATGTCCCCGTTTACACAGTCCTGATGCATCCACCTTAAACGCGAAAGATGGTCCTAAACGATAAGCCGCAGAGCTCCTCAGCCCTGCACAACACAAGCAAGAGACAGAACGAAACCACGTCGTTACGGACACTTCCGTAGCAAGAAACGAAACCTTTTAACTTCACGGCGCTAGCGGATTCTCAATGAGAAAGTGAGAGCGCAAGAGGAGGAGGCGGGAATTGTCTGAAGCAATAGCAACCCTCTCCACCCCCCTCCCTGCTCTAGCGCTGTACAGAGGCGAAACGTCCACACACGGCAGCGGCCGAAGTGCTGCCTTTGCCTTCCCCTCCCGGGCCACGAGGGCACAACCTCCCCGCGCCGTGCGAAAGCCCTTTCCCACTCCTCCGCGCCTCGCTCGCTCTCACCGCACTGAGCAGAATCCCGCTCTGGGTCTGCGCCGCCGCCATTTTAGCTTTAATACAAAAGCCGCAGCTGGACTGGATCTTCCTCTTTCTCAAGGCCTTCTTTTCTAAACGAGGTACTTCCGGGGCGGAGCCGGCAGGGTGGCGAAGTAATGTTTCCCTTCGCTTTCCTTCTGAGTCTTGTGGCTGGCGCAAAGAGCGCCGTGCGACGTTTTCCTGGAATGCGGCTGGACTGCGGGAACGCATGTCCCAGTTTACTCTATATATGCATATGTAATGGCGAGTGAATAATCTGCTGGATCCTACACATATTTGACAAGGATTTCTCAATTTCACCAAACCCCACCCCCGAAACTGCACGATGCCAAAAATCAGTTCTACCATAAATCTGATGCAGTGCAATCCTTTTTTCCGCACTTACCTAGGTGCAAGCCCCAATTGCAAACAAGAGGCTTTCCGTGCTTACGAAGATTGTCGCAGTAGTTAATAGACCCATTGAAAATGTTGATCCTCCTGTGCAAATAGCAAATTCCATGCTACTATAACAAGGACAAGGAATCAAATACTAAACTCCCAATATCATACTACTCTTACACAAATCTGTTCTGTGACCACACTTGGAATACTTTGTAAAGTTCTGATCACTGCACCTTAAAAGAGTATTGGGGACTTAGAAAAGCGACAAGTTGAGTTGGAAATGCAGCTGAAATGATCCAGGTGTACAGGATTATGCATGGTGTAGAAGACATTTTACTGTAATACTAGACTCCAAGGTCACCTTTTGAAGCTGATTAGTGGAGATTCTAGACAGATAAAAGGAAGTACTCCTTCACACAGCACATACTTAAATCTATGAAATTCACTTCCTCACAATGTAGTGATGGTTGCTGTCAGGACAAAAAGAGCCAGAGCTTTGCCATAATATTGCTGCTGAAAGCCTTATACTGTAAGAACAACTTTGGATGCAAGATGGGAACTTGGTCTGATCAGGAAACCATGTTGCAAGTCTTGTTTCTTGCATACACATTCGATAGGTTAATGTATGCCTGTCCTGAAACTTCTTTTATGCCATTTATCTTAATCCATTCAACCTTTTTGTTTTTACTCTCATGTGCCTCATACATAATGTATAGGTTACACAAGCCTCCTATACAGACTCCATCTTTGTCGTCCCTGCTGGGGGCTATTTGTATGCCGCATGTATTTTCCCCCCACCCCCATACATCTGAAGAGACTGTAATGCTCTTTTGATTATACACCTCCAGCATATTTGATTTCACAATTTCTTGACACTGCCGCTATGGCTTTAGAAAGAGATCAGGCAAATTCATGAAGAAGTCTGTTAGCGGCTACTAATAGATAAGTGCATACTCATTGATGGCCCTTGTTGGAGAATGCTCCTGGTGCCAGTCTGACCTTACGTTCCATGTTTTAAAGAGTTTTGCTTTTGTTGTGTCAAGCCACCACTGAGTTCTCCTCAGTGGCAGGTGCTAAAATAACTGCGACTTTAGCTCCTGGCAAAGCAACAGGTTCAGTTACCCAACCACACCTGGGCAGAACAGGAGCTTCTCCTGGAACACAAAGGCTTTGGTCAGGGAGTGCTAGCACCCGTCACTGGAGAGGAACCCTTTGACCCCATGGGCTCAGCTCAGACTGTCAACCCAGCAGACAACTCCTTTCCTCCTGGAGGGAGGGGGCTGCTCTGGGTAAGACTTGAAGAGTCCCGCTGCCCCTGCAGGTACATCCTGCCTTTTCTCACACAGAACAGCGCCAGCTGCTTCACCTCCATTATTGGTATGCTCTTGCTTACCAGTGAGTGTGTGTGCAGGCAGGCAGGCCAGCACTTGTGCTGCAAAGGCTGTGGCTTACGGTGTCTTATTTTAGTTATCATCATGTTCATTGTTAATACGGTTTGAGATCTGTGAGTGTGTGCATATGAGAAAGCAGTTCTCTGCATTTTGTAAAGGGTTTCTCATATATACTTTGTGCCATTGTTCTTGGCCTCTCACAAAATGTTCTAACAAGGAAATGTTTGACAAAAATAGTTTCTATTTAGTTCAAACAATCTAATGATTTCCACCTTGATTTATTGTCCTTCAAACTAGCTATGGACAGAAATCAGTTCCCCAGAGGCTTTGGGAACAATATATTTAGGGACTGCTAGGTAGAAATAGTAAGATTATCCATTCAATTTTCATTTGAACTACACCTAACCCGTTTCCCCCAAATCATTTCTTGTTAAGTTCATTTGTCAGAGTGCAAGACAATTCAGGTCATTTCTTTCAGATCCATTCAGTGGAATCAGCATGAACTGTGGCAGAAAGAATGTTGATCAGATTCCATTTCCAGTAGCTTTACTGCACATATTGTGTGAAGCAGTAGTTTGTGCTTGTGAACAATATCTCTGATTAAAATTAAAACTAAAAGCGATTGTTAATGCATTTGAGATAGTACATTTGTAAACATTAGGAATATACAAGACTCCACAACCACCAGTTAGGATTACGACTGAAACTTTCACAGACATAAACTCCAAACCAGGAAACAAAACTTTAGTAATGGAGTACACACCTTCTTCAAGTACAGGTTAATGCATGCCTGTGTATTATGCATACAGCTTCACTTCCTAGTATCAGTGCAGTAAAACAACAAATAAATTATGTGACAGAACCTTTGTGCCACCATACCTCATTGAAACCAAGAGATGCCAACAAAGGTCTTAGAATGTCTAAATTAGAAAGTCCAATCCTAACCATTCAATAAAGGCAGCTTAATGGAATTGCAATTCCAACATTCCCTTAGATATTTTTTTAAAGTCTGAGCACACAAGATTAATGTAAGACACTCTGGCTTATAGCAGGAAAAAATGAAGAAAGCCTGCTTAATGACCGAGAGCCCATAAAGACTAAATTCCTAATTCACACATTTAAGACACATGTAAGTTGTACATGTGACAGGTGGGAATGGAGAAAATCATGGGAGGCTCTTCCATGGGTAGATGCTTCTCCTCTGCACACAGTTGCCATCCTGATGTAGAAGCCAATGAGAAGGGCAATAGAAGGCTGAGAGGGTCACTGAGCCTAAGCACACATCAAATCCCAGAAGAGTTGGCGTGTAGTTCTGGTTTAGACTAGTGATCTGAGAGTCACAACATTTAAGTTTTGCCTGACCTAGTTTTTCACCTTCCACCCTTCACCTTCCAAAAGTAGTGGTTTTCCTACTTTTCTAATTCTGCTTTCTTTCTGTCCTTTTCTGGGGATTTCATAATTATAACATTTTGAGTTATAAGATCAAGAAATGACAAAGCATGATGACTTATGTGACAAGGGCAGCATCTCAACGGTAGACAAGCCACCTGGAATCAAACCTTTAGCTCCAATAAGCTTAAAAAGGAACTCCTTCTGAAATATGTCTTCTATCTCATTTTAACAAACACCTCTCATAGTCCTATCTCTTAGAAATAGGAGTGAATTTCTAACTCCAACCACTGTCCTATTTATTACACGCAGCTTTTTAAAAATGAAATTAACAGTAATGGAACCACACAAAACGTTTGTAAGTATTCTGGGAATCTTTGTTTTAAAACTAGGCTGTGACTTTGTTTTTAGATTTGTTAATTTGATACTTTACCTTTTTAAGCTGGTTTTTTTGTTTAGAGAGGTGGCATACAAGTATTGTATTAAAAGAAAAAATGCAAGGAAATTTTAGCAGTATTAATAAACACTTGCTATTTTAAGAAGTAATTCAACATATTTAATATGAACTTACAGTCAAAAACACAATATCCTTAAGCAGCAGCCATTACCTCTTATTTATAACATTAACATTGACTTTTCTTTGGCAATCATTTTAAATAACACAAACATATTCTCAGTTTCTTTTTATTGTACTAAAGTGGTAGCAATTCAATCTGAAATTTTAAAGCAGCAGTATCCATTAAAAGTAACAATCAAATTTGTATTGCCATTTTAAAACCATTACTTAAAAAACAAAAGTGTTACTAAGCCAAATCAAACCTTATTTCCCCAGACTAGGTTATATTTTTTTATATTTTGGAAGCAAACATTAACTAGTTAATATTCTTCTGCAGTTATTATGCAGCTTTAAGCCATGTACAGCAAGTCTTAATAGCCCAGAGGATATAAGTACAATTCCCATACACAAAACTCACAACCACTTGAGATAAAATGCAAAAGAATAAATAACCTCAGAAACAAAGATGTGATGTTTTTTGTAAAGCTGAATGGGGATCTAAAGTATGTGCTAAAGAATTATCTTGAGACATCAAGCCACAGTATGACCTGCTTTGCACGTAGGGCTTGTAGTTGAACCACCATTTGGAATATGCCTACTGTGCGGCTTGTCTTGTCATACAACTGCAGACCACCATGGTGTCTACTCACTGCAGCTTGCATATTCACAATGGCAGCTGGTGTGCATTGCTAACCGCCCCCTATTAACATATGCTGGCTTGTTTTGATGTGCAGACAAGCCCCTTGTCTGATGAAGAGGTTGCTCTAATTTGGTGGTTTAAAAAAGTCTTAGTATATGCTGGTTAATTTAATGTACAGGATAGTTTCAAAGGAGATTGGACGCTAGATGGGAAGCAAGTAGAAGAAAAGTTGAAGAAAACTTAATTGAGGGTGTCCTCTTGAATGCAGTGGTAGTTGCATACACAATGCCTGGGTTCACATGACATGGCAAGCAACCCAGAGCACAGATTTTGTTCACATTTACCAGTCAGATGATCACATAGTTGCCCAGGCAGCACAGTTGCTGCTTCCTCACACCCTAGTCTTCACCATGCATCCTGGAGCCCCAATAAATAGAATCCTCATCTTTTCCTATTTTTGCCTATGGACTACAGCAGCCTTCTTCTGATTGTTCTACTGTGGTTCTGAGGTGGGTTCCCCATCTCCCTCCTGAATGTACCTGCATGTCTGCAGCACTTCCTAACCACCACAGCATCCATGGAGATGTTTATTAAAAGAAAAAAAAATTGCCACGATTTCTCATTTCTCCCTCTGTATTTTTGCACTGTTTCCATTTCCAAAAGTAAACAGGGAAATGGACTTATCAGCCAATGGGAATTGAGTGAGCAATGACACATCTGTTGCTAGGTTGTTGGGAGCACTAGAGATCAAAGGCTAGAAGTGGTCACTTCCACAGTGCTCTTGTCAAGGGACTCTATGGTGTTTCTATACCAACAATGGTAAAATGGAGATCCTGGGTCCAGAAAGCCGTGAAGCATGGAAACCTTAGAACATGCTGTTGATATTCTCCGTGGTTTCAAAAAACAAACCCTACCATGCAGGTACTCCAGAGCTGGGCCCAGACAACACAAGATACCCATGATAAGATTTCTCCATGGTTTCTCATGTTGTGCAAACCCATTTAACACAAATCTCCTCTGCAGGTTAAAATGGGCTCCTGGAGTTAATTGCATGGTGAAATATCTGATATTCAGGAGCACTAGCAGAAAAGAGCAATGAAGAGCAAAGGAGGTACTTGGAGTCATACTTGGAGGTATTTCTGTCATAACAAATGGAATTGCAAATGAAGATTATATAGTTTCCCTGAGTGTTACCAACATTTGCTTACATTTTGAAAATGTTTCTAATTCCAGATGGTAAATTGGGCAGAATTTTATGATTTATAATGGATACATCTTTATTCCTGTAATTAATATTTACTTCTTTATACCTGTATGAAATATTTTACATTCAGAAGAGATTACACATTCAATTTCACATTCATAATAAAAAAAATAGAGCACAATCCAGTGGAGTTGTAAGTAAGCCTTTGAACTTGGAGGATTATAGGCTTCCTAAGCTGGGTGGGAGAAGTGTAGAAGCAATTTCTACCCTGTGTTCCTCCCACCCTGCACGTCAGTTGGATGGCTCATTTTGGCAGTCTCGTTGTGGTGCTTCAGACTGGGAGGGAAGGAGGATGAAGCACCTCCAGGATGTGTTGTGCTCCAGTCTCCTCTCCTCTCCCACAACACCCTTCATTAACCCTTCCCAGTGGGCACTCTTAAAACCTCAGAGAAGCAGCCCATGTGGTACTTTCTGTGGATTCCCAGCTCCAAGGTTGGAGCTCTTTTCTAACTTCAAATCTCAAGAATCCTATGGGAACAATAAGACTGCTCCGCTAGTTTATGAGTTAGATTGCATCAGTTAACAAATATATTAACAAGTGAATAATGATTCATTTTAGATCTTTAACATAATTACAACAGAGCATGTAATGTATGTTTAGGATTTCATCAGTATCAAAATGCTAACATAAAACCCATCACTAATCTGTAGATAAGAATACACAGGTAGCTTTCTATATAAAATGTTGAAATAGGTCTGTCTACATTGCCAGACTTTTGCACCGTAGAGCAGCTACTGGTGGAAACTAAGGAAAAGAGTGACACAGGTGAAATTAAAAACAAAAACAATTCTTGGCATTACATAATTAAATCCAAGTTTGTTGCAAGAATATTGCACAAAAGATCAAACCCCAACCTAGCCAAACTTAAGCACTAAAATTTCCAATGATTTCATTGATGAAATTTGAATAGATTCCTAACTTTTACATTGAAATAAATAGTAATTAAAAATGTTCAAGTTTAGCTGAATTTTGTCCATTCTGGGGTTTTGTTTTCTTATTTTGGAAGTGAAGGTGCTAGATCTACCACAAGTAGTCAGTATTTGGAGGTGGGGAGAAAGAGAAAAAGCAGACCTGTTAATGAAATAGAATTCTTTACATGAACATACAAAAATAGCCAAGTATAATATCCACTAAATTTAAAGAACAGGCTAACATTTTTTAAATATATAGATTTGTTTTTTCAACATTTATTTTCCATTTGTAGCCATTGGCATAGCACCCATACAACTAACACCTCCCCGTTTCCCTGATTTTACTCGTGCGTTACCAATACTGTGCTGTAAACAAGGCGCTGGAACCAAGAGCCTCTCCATCCTCCAATTAATTCACAATATAAAGAGTTGTCTCCAATCTTATGCAACACTGAGTAAACATCCAAATCTGCTCAGATGTTTAAGCACAGAATTGTAAACTATTTTCTTAGGAAATGAAGTATTTAAAATGCAGCATAGCAATATATGTGTGTGTATATATATATAATACATATGTGCGTAAAGACACACACACACACAAAGAGAGCTTTCAAGAATTGTACACACACCTTATGCACACATTCTTTAAAAATTCTCATAGCCCTATCAGAATTAAATTCCAATTCAACAATTGTAAAAGGCAATCATGATTTTAAAACTAGTCTAGAAAGCTTCCAAATAAAAAGTTTCCTTCTTAATGTTAGAAGATTTATTCTTCTACAGATCCTATGCAAATGTAAAAACTTAAAAAGCCCAATCCTAATGGATTCACCTAAAAGTAAATCCCTTTAAGTTGAGTGAGTGCTGCTTACTGGTAAGTATACTTATGCTCCAAGTCTTGGATTGTTAAAGTATTGTTAGAAAGGTGAAACATACATTTTATTAGAAGAATGCTTTATGGATTTTTGTACAACATACTACAAAGCTTACTATGAAGGACATGCTTACAGAAAGAACATGTAAAAAGACTTGCTCCATCAGCCAATTTGTTTGCTGCACGTGGAACATATTCTTGGGGAGTTCCCTTAAAAGTTTTACAAATCCAAAAGCCTCTTAAAAACAGACTTGTTCAGATACAGCAAATCAGTTGCCTTCATTATATAAACAGCTTAAGTATTTTGGGGGAAAAATAGTTCACTGAAGAAATATGCAAATTACACTAATTTGCCCCTGAAAAATATGTGGCAGCATTTTTCTAATCAAAAAAATAAAACCAGTGTAGAGTGCATTGGTAGGAAAAGTAAAAATGAGCTGAAATCTGTAAACGGTTTAGTATATTACCCTAGTAATTTACATCTTAATTAACCTGAAACTTGGTGATAACAAAAAGCCTCATACTATGAACTCTTTTTTAACAAGTCTAACTTTCCATATTTTCTATAAAATCACGTTCCACGCACTCCTCCAGTAGCTTCAAGGTCCTTGTGCTACTGCCAATGGGATAGTCCACTGCAGGAGACTCTGAGCTGTGTGTGTTGAGTGTCTTGTTGCTTTCTGTTTTAAAAGCACAGCTTAGTATACTGAAGAATGATATTAACTGTGTGATACTTGATATGGAACGAAGGTCCAAAAGAGGAAATCTATAGGTTTTTGTTTCTCTCTCATGGGTATTTTGTTCCTGCAAGAACACAGAAAATTCAAATTGTTAAAAATGTACACATTTTCAAGAAATTTTGAAAGTATACAATGTAAGTAGAAATTTGTACTGGATGCTCTCTTCATCTGAACACCACAATTTTTAACCTTATATAATTAGAATGCACAGTAAAACCTTGGTTTGCGAGCATAATTCGTTCTGGAAACATGCTTGTAATCCAAAGCACTTGTATATCAAAGCAAATTTCCTCATAAGAAATAATGGAAATGCAGATGATTCGTTCCACAACCCAAAAATATTCATATAAAAATGATCACAATACTGTAATATAATGCAAAATAATAAATACAAAATATAAAGAAAAATAAAACAAATTAACCTTTGAAAACCTTCGTGGCTGGTGTGAGGGAGACAAGAAAGAGGAGGGTAATTGTGCAGGACAACTTTCAGTATCACTAACAGAATCACTGCTATCTATTGGCTCAATGGAATATTTTTCTTTTCGTGCAACTTCAACAAGGAACCTATCCAATGACACTTGCTTTTGCCTCCTTTTGAGAATTTCACAGAAATGTGACATTGCATTGATGTTAAACAGATTCATCGCTCACACTGCTACAGCCTTATTTGGGTGGTGCTTTTCTATAAAATTTTACACATCTCCCTAATCTCATTTGAAGTGAGGGATTCCTCCACCTTTTTTTCCTCCTCCTCTGTAGATGAGATCTCCATAACCTCTTGCATCTGTTTTACCTTTCAGTATCTCCCTCTGGGAGAGGGGGATACTGAAAGGTAAAGCAGATGCAAGATTCTAACCTTGTAGTACAACACACCATGTACTCCTCCCACACAAGCCTTGAAGTCCACAGTTAAGACCTGACATGATTTTTAAACAGATCTTCACAATAAAACACCAAATATACACCAAATCATTGGAACAGTTAAGTAGAACCTGATTTAAGTTAGTCAAAGTCAGTGTACAGCACTAAACAACCCAAGACTCTAATAAAACAACCCCTTCAGAATGAGTGTATGCCTTGCAGTAACCAACAAGGAAATGTTTTCAGCTTAAAGCTGCTTCCAGTGCAATCCTATGCATGTTTAGACAGGAAAACAGTTCTGTAATTCCCATCATACCCTCCATTCCTGGAGGGATGCTGGTAGTTATAGGACTACAGCGAGTGAGAGACAAGAACCATTGGCTCAGTTGTGATCATGAGATGTTTGGCGCAGAGATAGAGAAAGAGCACAAGTGTGAGCAAGCCAGCCATTGGCTTAGTTGTGATCATGTGAAAATCGGTGTTATGTACTACTCATATTGCAAGACATCACTCATTTATCAAGTTAAAATTTATTAGAAAAGTTTGCTCGTCTTACGGAACACTTGCAGAACAAGTTACTCACAATCCAAGGTTTTATTGTATTTCCCCCCAGTAAAGTCCAAGAATGCAGCTTCAGTTCAGTGTACATGGCCAAGCGGTATTACCTCCTTCTTGCCAGTTCCATTATTACTGCCAAGGCAGACATGTATGGCTGAGCTGGGTCATCCTATGCAACTACCAAGGGATAATGCCAGCTTTTTCCCAGTTTACACAACTGGTAGTGTTCGGAAAGGTCTCCTGCATCACTCCAAATGCTTCACTGTCATTTTGCAAAAGTGCTTGAACAGCCCTGTATTTTTCTTAACATGGCAAACATGAGAAGTGTTTCTTGTTCTTCCACAAAAATCTCCTGCCATTTATTTTAATCTAATCAAGCCAAGGCACCTCACTTTAGATTTGAGGATATTTAGGAAGAAACAATACCACCTGTGTTAAAGATGATATACTGTTTCTTGAATACAATGATGAAATATGGATGCAGATTATAAACAAACCCAAGTGCTCACACTTCCATTATCTATGGCTATTCCGGTTCTCTGAACAGGCCAGGGGATGTCCTGTAGGGCTTCTAAAGCTGCCTGCTTGAGCAACATGTCAATTCCTCTCCCCCAGCTGAGAACAAAAGAGAATGCCTCTTGCAATGGATTTTATAAGGTTTCTCTCTACTACTATTTCAGAGTTTGCTCAGTATATACCCAGGCTCTAACTCCTGTTCATGCAGTGGGGAAGCCAATTCAGTAGGTCATAATGTTTCATTCTCACAGCAAAAGCAGCCTTTATCTACAGGATGATTGGTGAAAGCAGTTTCAATCATCCTGTGAAACTGAATTATTTCCAGTTTCTTTCTAACCAGTTGTTAATATCAAGTTCACAGCCGTAAAGCCTGAGCATGGCGATAAGAAGCTATCCTGGCTTTTGGATACCAGGAAACTTCACTACACTGGCAGAACCTATACAATACACCATTTGAGAACACTTCTCCTTTGAACACTTTTCTTTGAAAGATATATACAGTGGTACCTTGGTTCACAAATGCTTCTGTTTGCAAACAAATTGGTTTGCAAACAGGAAGTTTGGCAAAATTTTGCCTCCGCGAACTCTGCATTGGGTGATGACCACGATAGCGGCCATCTTCCACTTGCTCGGGCTGCAGCAGAAGCTCAAGATGATGCTGTGCCGCCCGCCGAAAGGGAGAGCATGATGCGAGGGGGAGCTGTGAGGGTGTGCTCGCCTTGGCTGAGGCCTTCTTGGCTCCTCGCTGCTGCACCACTTTCGAGCAGGAGGAAGGTTCCCTCGCAGGCGCTCGCCTGTCTCCGGGAGGGGGAGCAGGAGGCTAGAGAGGCGGGCATGGGATGGCTTCCCCGGCCGGGAGAGGGCCACAAGGAGGGAGGTATGGGCTGCTTCCTGCAGCCCAAGGTGAGGGACGGAGCCACCTCCCACCTCTCCCTGCCTCTCTCGCCGGCGGCAGCAGCTTGCCCTAAGAAGGCTGCGGCAGAGGTGCGGGAGCCGTGGCCCTGCTCCGGCTCTGCCTCGGCCCATCCGCCCCTGGGCTCAGTGAGGGAGCTGCGGCTTGGCCCGCAGCCTGGGGACATGGCTCATTTTTGTGGTTTTAAAAAAATTACATATCTATTTTAAAATTTTATATGCCATCCTTTATGTATAACATAAAGTTATGGTTCAGAACAGAATAACCTTATTTACATTAAACCTTATGGAGAAATTTGACTCAATTCGCGACCAATTTGGTTCACAACCAGAATTGTGGAACGAATTAAGTTTGAGAACTGAGGTACCACTGTACTTGTCCTGCTTTTTAAACCAAGCATGGTGGTTCTGTGCGCAAAAGACTCAAAAGAACCCATTTAATGCAGTAGCCTCCATACTCTAAAAGAACATGCTGCTGAAATTAAGACATGCACCAAGAGTGTAAGCTTTAGGTGGATGCTAAAACCATTTCTTTTCATCCAAGAAAAGATGTTCAGCTTAGGTTTTGTTGGTAAAGTATGCTGCTGTTACTCTTCTAGATGTGGGTATGCTGAACAGCTGGGAGAGGTCATCAGGAGGTTTGGACTGCAGAGTCATCAGTATGCTCTCATTTTCAACTAACCCAGGTGAGGCAGTGGCTGTCCTGAACCGGTGCCAGTCCAAGGTAATGGGCTGGATGAGGGCCAATAAACGAAAGCTCAATCTAGGTAAGACGGAGGTCCTGTTGGTGGGTGATTCGAGCTCCTGGGTAGGTGACTTGGGCCCTGCCCTGGACGGGGTTGCACTCCCTCCAAAGGACAGGGTCCGCAGCTTGGGAGTGCTCCTCGACCTGGAGCTGTCCTTGGAAGCCCAAGTGACAGCGGTGGCGAGGAACGCTTTCCTTCAGCTTTGGCTAATCCATCAGCTGCGTCCCTACCTGGAGGAGGATTGCCTAGCGCCTGTAACACACACATTGGTTACTTCCCGGTTGGATTTCTGTAATGTGCTTTATGTCGGGCTGCCCTTGAAGACAGCCCAGATACTTCAGATGGTACAAAATAGAGCTGCCAGGATGCTGTCGGGGACTGGGCATTATTCTCATATAACCCTAGTCCTCTATCAGCTCCACTGGCTTCCCATCAAAGTCTGGGCTCAATTCAAGGTGCTGGTGATTATCTATAAAGCCCTAAACAGTTTGGGACCAGGATACCTAAAGGAACGACTTTTTCCCTATATGCCCTCCCACCCTCTGAAATCGGCAGCAGAAGCCCTCCTCTGGGAACCATCTGTGAAAGAAGTTAGGAGACAGAGTACCTGGAGGAGGGCTTTCTCTGCGGTGGCGCCCCATCTATGGAATGTACTCCCCAGAGAGGTCTATTCTATGTTTTTCGGCACCAAGACCTTTTTATTTAATCAATATTTTAATACGTATTAATAGTAATTGTATTTTACTGTTTGTATTTTATTAATTACAGCCAGCATGGAATAGTCAATTTATTTATTTTATTCTGATTTATGTTGTAAGCCGTCCAGAGACACAAGTAATGGATGGCATACAAATTTTATAAATAAATAAATATTTGTACTGAACTTACATTATGGATGAAGGAAGCAGTAGAGAGCAGCCTCCCGGGACACTTAACACCCCCATGATTTTCTTGTATCCCACCAATTCTGTTGTGCAAGCAATGGATTCCACTGATTTTGTTGCACAAGTAGGACACACTGCTTGCTCAACAAGAAATGAATGCTTCCTAGAGCAAGTCCAGAAACTTATTTCTGTTTGGTCTTCAGAAGAAAGTGCTAAATCTTCATTCTACAAGACACTTGTTTGGGATGGAATTGGCAAGGCTAAGGGAAATCAGTAGAGGTATAAGTTCCCTGTTGGGTATTGCCCACTCTCACACAGGCAGACCTCCTCCTCCTCCTAAAAGCAAACAAAGCTTAGACATCTTATTGGGGCTGTTTGCATGTAACAGTGGGAAACAGTTGTTTAATTAACCTACACAGCATGTATCAGGCCAGTCAGTTGTTATGTGAACCATATAGGTTAAACATGGGTTACACAACCCAAAGTTAACCTAATTACTAATTGTAGGTTAACTGTGCCTTGTTTGACCCATGATTAACCTATATTTCTTGGATATCACTTGGCAACCCTTGATCCAGGCTTGAATAGTGAAAATAGTAATGGAACATGCCCAATCTATGTTGTGGCAAATTGTGGATTAACCTTGGCTACATGGGTCTCCTAATGCATTACCCATTTGTCGTCGTTGTTGTTAATTGCATTTATATACCACCCCAATAGCCCAGAGGGCTCTCTGGGTGGTTTACAAACACATTAAAACCCCACCAATCCTAAAATAAATTGGCTACACCATGACTGAGTATAAAATAACATGGTTAAAATGAAATAAATAAACCATTAAATTTAACTTTAAAATATTGGTTAAATAAAAAGGTCTTGACCTGGTACCAAAAAGCATATAATGATAGTGCCAGGCGGACCTCTCTAGGGAGCACATTCCATAGTCGGGGCGCCACCGTAGAGAAAGCTGTACCTGTACCTTGTTTTATGCTGAACATAAGTAGTGGCACATTCCGTTCCCTTGTGAACACACAGCAGTGAAACTAAACACTGAAGAGGAAATCTCTGCATGCCACTATAAACCACTTCTCTCTCTTCTTGAATTCATCTATGTGTTGTGCCTGATTATATAACATGTGCCAGACCACTGTCCTGAATGTCTTTCATATGCATTCCCCAAAGAAAGATCAAGCAACAAAGAAACAGAAGAGTGTTTCTGAGGACTGGGGTTGCCAAATCTTAGGACATACAGTCTTCTTGGTGAACAGAAAGGCTGCACATATTCCTGTGTGTGCTCAGCAGCATACAGATTAGTCTGAGGCACATAAGTTTGCTGCAGCTAAGCAGGCCTGGTCAATGCCTGAATTCCATCATGGAAGAAGAAGAGCAGGATAGAAACGTAATACATCAAATCAAATCTGGGCTTAGATCATCTAAACAAGGCATTGTCCAATGATGCCAAGGCATGGCCCATCTAGACCACAAATGTCTACCCCAGATCACATACCATCTCACCCTGGCCCCTCACTGGAGAAAAAAGCTTCTAAAAAAGCTTCTCAGCAGCTGCTAATCAGTGCCAAGAAAGCAAGCCTTTCTCAGAGCCAGGCAAGGAACATGCCTGCTTCCACATCTGATCTGCATGGGTAATTTGCAAAGGTGGGGCTAGGGAAAATATGTGCATGCATAGTTGAAAGAAGTGTAATTGTGTGTGCATGTCTGTGTGAATGTGGGGTGGGCACACCTGCTGCTGGTTTCATCTGTCCCCACCTCTCTAAACAAGCCACAACATTGTTAACACTGTGAAAAATATATGACATTTAGTGTTTACCTGACATCTCAGCTTAAGTAAATCCATTATTCTTACAATATGTGGTTTGCATTCCTGGTGATTTTCCATTAGATCTGAGGTCACATTGTAAGCCTGCATATCTACTTCTGGAACAAATGCCCATCTGTACCTGAAAACAGAGGCATGTTGAGGTAAGAAATGCAACACTGTCTTGAAAACCTTGGTCAATATAGACAGAGAAAAGGAAACACTAATATCTATTTGTTCTGAGTTGTTTAATACAAAGAGATCAAGTAGCTGACCATTATGAAGTCAAGCACCTATGCATCATCGGCTCCCCTCCCCATTATATTAATTTAATATTGTGAGAAGCAGAAAATTACTGTGACTAACAGACTAGAACAGGCTATAGATCACTTAGTGATTAATATGATTATTGTGACTAACGGACTAGAACAGTTGAGGCTATAGATCACTTAGTGAGACGTGGCATTAAACTTTTGAACTTAGAATCCAAAGTATGGCTGCGTAATTAGCTAATGCATATTAATGATACCTCCTAGTATGACTCAGAAGGTTATTAGCATGAACATAGAACACCTGAGCAGGAGGGGGAACATACCAAGGAGTAGTATGATGAAGGCAGGCGGAGAAGATTGTGAACTCTTAGTACCCCAGCCAATGGGAGAAAGGAGGCAGGGACTTTGCACGAGAAGCAGGGAATAGAAGACTGTGCAAACTGCTCCTCCAGTGCACTGCCTTCGGGGTGAATGCCTGGTCTGGCCAGAACATATTAAACTGTTGCTGCTTAGTACTCTGTGTCTCGTCTGTTAAGGGAAACTTTGTTCCCCACAATATAAAGAACATAAGCTACACAATTCTATTTCCTCCAACGCTGTGCTTGTCACTTGGAGAGAAATTTTAGACAAAGTATCTGAAGCCCCTGATAACTGACCAGAATGCTGGGAGTTGAAGTCCTGAAAAATCTAGAGATCAACTTTCTACCCACTCTTGCCCTGTGGCTTTATGCAGAACATTTATGTTGGCTCTTTAGTTTCCAAGCTAGAAGCTCTGTTATACCACGTTGACTAGCATTTCTAGTCTCTGAACATATTGAACAAAATGAGAAACTAGTTTGGACTCCAGTGGCTGTTTTGGTATAGTAATCCTTCTCTATTTGTAGGAAATTGTCAATAAAGCTATGCTAGTTCACCACTGCAGCCACTTTATACAAGACGAAGTTTGTTCTAGGAAACTAATTCTGTGAAGGAAAATGTGGGAATTTTCCATACAGCTCTGTGTATGTAATATGTGTAGCTATTTTGCCCCACAAACTTATTGGGAAGGGGTACGCAGCTAGGTACCTTTTCCGATGTTCTAGAATGCAAATCCCATTGGCCCCAGCCAGCATGGCCATCCATCAATGATCGCAGAAGCAGTGATCCAAACCATCTGGAAGGCCTCTGGTGACCTATCCCTGCAAAGCAATTCCTGCCCTCTATATGTTCATCATACATGAGCAAACAAGCAGATACAATAGAGAACATCTCTATTGCCATGCTGCATGCCTTTTAATGTTTAAATAACAGATTCCCTGATCAAATATGGCCACTAAAAGGAAATGCACCAAAAAGCAGTCACAGTGGAGACATAAAAGAAGCACCACAATGCAGAGATGGTTGTTGGGTAGGTGACTGCCCAGCTCCCAACTTTCTGAAATGTAGTCCATGAGCAAAATTGCCACCCTCCACTCCCACTGCTTCCTCCCCTAAGCCTGAACCAAGGAATGTTCATGGTCTTTCAGAATGCAATAAGCTAATAGTAATAAGGGTATGAGCTGATACACATAATGTTCAGTTCTCTGCTGAAAATTCTAAACAGTAGCAAGATCAAATGAAAGGCTCCAATTCAATACTGATGGCAATGTAGAATAAAGCACACACAGACATGTAGATTATTTTCAGTTAGTAAGGGGCAAAACCATATACAAATAACAGAAAAAATGAAGACCAAACGGCACCAGTAGCCTCCCCATTTCCTTATACAAACCCAGGCCCTTTACAAACAATCTAGTAGGCTGGATATCTTTCTTGGCTTCCAGAAGGGGTTAAGTGAAATGAAAAGCTCTCGCTGTAGCCCAGCTGAAATCAGTCAGTGTTAACCTGGCAAGAATTCAGCTCTGACCTTGAGGGTCTGGAGACTAAAACAGCAAGAGATAATGCATGTATTTTAGGGAGTGCATGCAGGCAATAATGAGGTGTAGCCTCATTCCAGGCAGCTAAATCTTAACCAGAAAATGGATGTCTTGATAATCACTAAAAATGAAAATCCACTCAAATGGAAGAAGCAGCAAAAACACATCAAACTAATAAACTTAAGAAGAGCTAGAGCTGAAGAAAACAAATCCATGCAGCAGAAAGATAAAAAAATTCTGAAAAAAACAAGTGCTGAAGTGGTAACGATGCCCAAGTAAAGAAGAAAACAGCCTGGGTCAGTTGTACATACTGAGTGACTCCACTTTAGAAGGGCCTCAAGAATCACTGGAACAAAGTGATGTGAAAGAGTTTCATCAGTTGTTTTCCTTTCTCAAAATTCAAGAACATCAATTAGCACACTTACATTTGAAATAACTGCATCTTGTCAGGTGGAAAGGAAAGTGCGGTGTCCAAGAACTTACAAGCTGATAAATACAAATTCAGTTCATTCTGCTGAATGTCACCAAACAATGGATCATTGTCATCTGATGATTTCTGTTTGTTTATTTTGCTGCTGTTTCTGTAACATTCATAAAAACAGAAACCAAGTATTGAAAAGCAAACCTAGTGAACTGTAATTTTATTTCTGATATTTTAGAAATGTGAACATTGAAAATAGGACAAACTACAAACTATATACAATACCTCATGGAATTCTGAAATACAGGTAGGTCTGTCTCTGAAGCACTACTGGAGAAAAGCAGCTGAGAGGTGATTTTAAAGGTGAAAAAAAGTGAATTGGCAAAGGGCTAAGGATCCATTCAAAGTCTCAAGACACCATAGCCATTGTTGAAGGTTCATTCCATGTATTTGGGTGTAACCTGTAGCTTGCATCAAAGACTTCGAGCAGTGTTCCTAACATGGTGCTCTCCAGATGTATTAGCACACAACTTCCATCATTCCCAACCAGCATGGCTGACTGGAAAAGGCTGACTTGGAGCCAACAGATATTACAAATGATACTGCCAAGTTAAATGAGCTACATTTGGCAAAGCTGTGTGAGGCAGACAATTCCCCCCAGCACCAGAAACAGGGCTTTTGTCACCAGCCTATTAACTGAGAACACCTGCCTTGATTTTCTCTTATGTAAGTAAATGGTTTGCATGCACTCCTATTGTTATGTGCCATCAAATCATCTCAAACTTAAGGTGACCATATGAATGAATGCCATCCAAAATGTCCTGTGCTTCACAGCCCTGCACTGCTCTTGTAAACATTCACTCTTATAGGAAAGAGTAATACTGCACTTGGCCTGCGACTTCAGATCTGCTCCTGTTACTAACAATATTCCTTAAAAGATGTGAATTTCTGATTATGCAAAATTTGACCTTCTCAGTTCATCAAATACTCTGTCCTATCCAACAAAGAAGAATTATTCTACTCCATATATGTTGCTTTTCAATATTATTACAACTTTCAGTCAACAATCTGAATTATAATTGTGGTATTAATATTTTGTCTACACCTTTTTTCCTTTCTACAAATTTCAGTTGATCGAGCCTAAGAATATGGACAAGACACTCACAGTGATGCAGCTGACCATATCCCTTATTTATCTTTGCCCATCTTGACTTGTTGGGACTATTCAGAGTGGTTTGCTGGGAGGATCCAGGGACTGGTTAGTATATATTTATATTAGCAAGTAGTATCAGCTGCTTTTAAAGCAGCAATTATGTGACCATTCCTGAAAAGGCCTGCTGAATCCAGATATTTATGGCAACTACCATCTAGGTAACCCTTTCTGGTTAAATTGCTTGAGAAGATGATTGTAACACAGCTGCAAAGGCTCTTGGATGATGGGGACCCATTCCAGTCTACATTCAAGCACAGATTTGGAACAGACTCAGTCCTGGTCATCTTTACTAGGAAAATGACTGGGGAGAACCTGCTGCTTCTACTTGATCTTTCAGGAGATCAAGCAGGTAGCCTTGTGAACCCATTCCATGAGGCTGAAATAGGATGCACTCCATGGTGATATTGGAAGAGATACTGCAGTCATTCTGTTCTTACCTGTGAAGTCAGTTTCAGGGAGTGATACTGGGGGATTGTGACTAAGCCCCTTGGTTATTATGCTATGAGGTACTATCAGTGCTTTATAACTTCTGTGATAGGCATAGTCAGGGGATTTGGGATGATGTGTCACCAGTATGCCAAGGACACTCAGCTGTGTTTTCCTGTTATAGCTGAATCAGGTGTGGCCATGCATGAATTGGCCCAATGCCTAGATGCAGTTGTGAGCTGGATGAAGGCCAACCAACAGATGACTACAATAGCAAAATGAGTCATCACAGAGCTCGTATCATGGAAAGAAACTTCAAACAATTTCCAATACAATTCTGTATTCACACAGTCAGCTGCTAGTCATCAAGTGCTGAGTTGCCAAATGAGAAATAACCTCCAGCTGAGGTAATGGGCTGGATGAGGGCCAAGAAACTGAAGCTCAATCCAGGTAAGAGGGAGGTCCTGTGGGTAGGTGATTCGAGTTTCTGGGTAAATGACCTGGGCCCTACCCTGGATGGGGTTGCACTCCCTCTAAAGGACAGGTTCTGCAGCTTAGGAGGGCTCCTTGTCCCTGGAAGCCCAGGTGATGGGGGTGGCAAGGAATGCTTTCCTTCAGCTCTGGCTGATCCATCAGCTATGTCCTTACCTGGAGGAGAACTGCCTGGCAACAGTGACACATGCACTGGTTACCTCCTGCTTGGACTACTGTAATGTGCTCTACATGGGGCTGCCCTTGAAGATGGTCCAGATACTTCAGAAGGTGCAAAACTGAATTGCCAGGGACTGGGCGTTATTCTCACATAACTCCAGTCCTCTATCAGCTCCACTGGCTTCCCACTGAAGTCTTGGTTCAATTCAAGGTGCTGGTTATTACCTATAAAGCCCTAAATGGCTTGGGACCAGAATACCTGCCTTTTTCCCTACATGCCCTCCCGCCCCCTAAGATTGGCAGCAGAGGCCCTCCTCCAGGAACCCTCTTTGAAAGAGGTCAGGAGACAGAATACTCAGAGGAAAGCTTTCTCTGTGGTGGCGCCCCAACTATGGAATGTGCTCCCTAGAGAGGTCTGCCTGGTTCCCTCATTATATGCTTTTTGGCATCAGGTCAAGACCTTTTTATTTGACTAATATTTTAAAGTTAATTAATTTTAATTGTATATTCATTTAATTAATTTTAATCATGTTATTTTATACTCAGCCATGGTGTAGCCAATTGTTAGGACTGGATATCGTATTTGGGGTTTTAATGTCTATAACCACCTAGAGAGCCCTCTGGGCTATTGGGGCGGTATATATAATGCAATCAATTAATAAATGTATAAATATAAAATAAATAAAATTAAGTACATGTATATGTAAACCAGCACACTGTCTTATCTATCCTGATCCTTTTAAATGAATGAATTGATATCCTCCTTTATTTGTGCAAAACTAAGGTGAAATCTTAGTGCAATCTGCGAAACATAAGAAAACTATTATCAGTATTGTTTACTCTCACTGGCAGTAACTCTCCAGCATGATGTCTTCCATCATCAGCTGCTTCCAAATGCAGATATTAGGATATTAGGGCCTGAAACTGGGACCTTCTGTATGCATTGCATATACTGTGACCTAAGATTCACTCCCAAAGCAGGGGAACCTATAAAACTGGTCATACAGTTGACAATAGCTACCATCACCTTATCGAATGTCTCATCAAGATTGTTCATCTAATTTGACTCTGATTATTATTAATATTACATTACATTTCTATACCACCCATAGCTGAACCTCTCTGGCTGGTTCACAACGTTTAAGTCACCCATCCATATTTCAATCAGGGCTGACCCTGCACAGCTTCCAAGAATAGGCAGGCACTTTGTTGTTGTTGTTAGTCGTGAAGTTGTGTCCAACCCATCGCAACCCCATGGACAACATTCCTCCAGGCCTTCCTGTCCTCCACCAGCCCCCAGAGTCCACTCAAGCTCACACCAACTGCTTCAGTGACTCCATCTAGCCACCCCATTCTCTGCCGTCCCCTTCTTCTTTTGCCATCTGTTGTTCCCAGCATTAGACTCTTCTCCAGGGAGTCCTTCCTTCTCATTAGGTGGTCAAAGTATTTGAGTTTCATCTTCAGTATCTGGCCTTCTACAGAGCAGTCAGGGTTGATCTCCTCTAGGACTGACTGGTTTGATCGCCTTGCTGTCCAAGGGACTCGCAGGAGTCTCCTCCAGCACCACAATTCAAAGGCCTCAATCCTTTGGCGCTCAGCCTTCCTTATGGTCCAGCTTTCACAGCCATACACTGCAACTGGGAAAACCATAGCCTTGACTATACGCACTTTTGTTGGCAGGGTGATGTCTCTGCTTTTTAGTATGCTGTCTAGATTTGCCATAGCTTTCCTCCCCAGGAGCAAGCATCTTTTAATTTCTTGGCTGCAGTCCCCATCTGCGGTGATCTTGGAGCCCAGGAAAATAAAATCTGTCACTACCTCCATTTCTTCACCATCTATTTGCCAGGAAGTCAGAGGGCCAGATGCCATGATCTTAGTTTTCTTAATGTTGAGTTTCAAGCCAACTTTTGCACTCTCCTCCTTCACCCACATCAAGAGGCTCTTTAGTTCCTCTTCACTTTCTGCCATGAGAGTGGTATCATCTGCATATCTGAGGATGTTATTTTTCCCAGCAATCTTGATTCCAATTGGTGATTCATCTAGGCCCGCCTTTCTCATGATGTGCTCTGCATGTAAGTTAAATAGGCAGGGCGACAGTATACAGCCTTGCCAAACTCCTTTCTCTATTTTGAACCAATCAGTGGTTCCGTACCCAGTTCTCACTGTTGCTTCTTGACCTGCATATAGGTTTCTCAAGAGACAAATAAGATGGTCTGGTACTCCCATCTCTTTAAGAACTTGCCACAGTTTGTTGTGATCCACACAATCAAAGGCTTTAGCATAGTCAATGAAGCAGAAGTAGATGTTTTTCTGGAACTCCCTAGCTTTCTCCATGATCCAGCGTATGTTGCAATTTGATCTCTAGTTCCTCTCCCTCTTCGAAATCCTGCCTGTACTTCTGGTAGTTCTCAGTCCACATAGTGCTGGAGCCTAGCTTGTAGAATTTTGAGCATAACTTTGCTAGCATGTGAAATAAGTGCAATGGTGCAGTAGTCTGAACATTCTTTGGCATTGCCCTTCTTTGGAATTGGAATGTAAACTGACCTTTTCCAATCCTGTGGCCACTGTTGAGTTTCCCAAATTTGCTGGCATATTGAGTGTAGCACTTTTACTGCATCTTCTTTTAAGATTTTGAGTAGCTCAGCTGGAATACTGTCATCTCCACTAGCTTTGTTGTTGCTCAGACTTCCTAAGGCCCACCTGACTTCACATTCCAGGATGTCTGGCTCAAGGTCAGTAACCACCCCATTGCGGTTATCAGGGATGTTAAGCTCTTTCTTGTATAGTTCCTCTGTGTAATCTTGCCGCCTCTTCTTAATCTCTTCTGCCTCTGTTAGGTCCCTGCCATTTTGGTCCTTTATCATGCCCATCTTTGCATGAAATGTTCCCTTCATACCTCCAATTTTCTTGAAGAGATCTCTGGTCCTCCCTATTCTATTGTTTTCTTCTATTTCTTTGCACTGTTCATTTAAGAAGGCATTCTTATCTCTTCTAACTATTCTCTGGAATTCTGCATTCAATTGGGTATATCTTTCTCTTTCCCCCTTGCCTTTCTCTTCCCTTCTTTCCTCAGCTATTTGTAAAGCTTCCTCGGACACCCATTTTGCTTTCTTGCATTTCTTTTTCTTTGGGATGGTTGTAGTTGCTACCTCTTGTACAATGTTGCGAACCTCCGTCCAATGTTCTTCAGGCACTCTGTCTATCAGATCTAATTCCTTAAATCTATTTGTCACCTCTATTGTATATTCATCAGGAATATGATTTAGGTCATACCTAGTGGCCTAGTGCTTTTCCCTACTTTCTTCAATTTAAGCCTAAATTTTGCAACGAGAAGCTCATGATCTGAGCCACAGTCAGCTCCTGGCCTAGTTTTTACTGACTGTATAGAGCTTCTCCATCTTTGGCTGCAGAGAACATAGTCAATCTGATTTCTGTGTTGACCGTCTGGTGATGTCCATGTGTACAGTCGTCTCTTGGGTTGTTGGAAAAGAGTGTTTGCTATGACCATTGTATTCTCTTGACAAAATTCTACCACCCTGTGCCCTGCTTCATTTTGCTCTCCAAGGCCAAACTTGCCTGTTATTCCGGTTATCTTTTGGCTTCCTGCTTTAGCATTCCAATCCCCCATGATGATAAGGACATCATTTTTGGGTGTTAATTCTAGAAGGTGTTGTAGGCCTTCATAGAATCGGTCAACTTCAGCCTCTTCAGCACCAGTGGTTGGAGCAAAGACTTGGACTACTATGATGTTGAATGGTTTGCTGGATTTGAACTGAGATCATTCTGTCATTTTGGAGATTGTATCCCAGTGCTGCTTTTCCTACTCTTTTATTGACTATGAAGGCTACTCCATTTCTTCTGAGGGATTCTTGCCTGCAGTAATATACCTGATGGTCATCTGAATTAAATTCACCCATTCCTGTCCATTTTAGTTCACTGATTCCTAAGAAGTCGATGTTCAGTCTTGTCATCTCTTGTTTGACCACATCCAGCTTGCCTTGATTCATGGATCTTACATTCCAGGTTCCTATGGAGTATAGATCTTTACAGCATCAGACTCTCCTTTCACCACCAGATACATCTGCAACTGAGTGTCCTTTCGGCTTTGACCCAGTCGCTTCATTCTTTCTGGCGCTACTAGTACTAGCCCTCCACTCTTCCCCAGTAGCATATTGGACACCTTCCGACCTGAGGGGCTCATCTTCCGGCGTCATATCTTTTTGCCTTTTGGTACTGTCCATGGGGTTTTCATGGCAAGGGTACTGGAGTGGGTTGCCATTTCCTTCTCCAGTGGATCACATTTTGTCAGAGCTCTCTGCTATGACCTGTCCGTCTTGGGTGGCCCTGCACGGCATAGCTCATAGCTTCATTGGGCTACGCAAGCCCCTTTGCCACGACAAGGCAGTGATCCATGAAGGAGCAATTTGAAAGCTTATGTTATGTACAGTTAAAAAAATCCTTACTTTGCTGGTTCTTCTTCCTCAGCTAAATCATCCTCAAGTTGTATAAATGTTTGAATCTAGGTGGTAGAAGAAATAGATGGTAACAAACAGAAAAGGCATTAGTGTATGCAGTTCAGAAACAAATTAAGCTTTAAAGTTATTATGAATGCAGGAACTGTGCATCTTCATGTATTTAAGGAAAAAAATCACAAGGCTCTACTGTCAATCCCATTCTATCAAACAGTATGTTTCAGCGCAAAAGAAGTCTATTTCTGTTTAAGAACATAAGAAAAGCCATGCTGGATGAGACAAAAGGTCCATCTAGTCCAGTGCTCCATACACATGATGGCAAACTAGTTGCCCAAAGGATCCCTGAAGCAGGATGGGTTCAAGATGTCCCACAGCCCAAGTTCCTCAGCAACTGGTTCATGCAGGCATGCCACCACTGGTAAAGGAAGTAACCCATACCAAGCAAGGCTAGTAGCCTCTGATAGCCTCCCCACTCATGAATCTGTTCAATCCCTTTTTAAAGCCTTCTTGACTGGCAGTCACTACCATTTCCCATAGCAGCAAATTCTATAAATGTAAAGAAATACTTTATTTCATCTGTCCTAAGTCTCCCACCAATCAGCTTCATGGTATTACCCTGTGTTTCAGTGTTATGAGAAAGGGAAAAATGTCTCCCTCCCTGCTCTTTCCATATCATGTCTCCTCTTACTTGCCTTCTTTTCCTAAGCTGAACAGTCAGCTGTGTAGCTACTTCTCGTAGGGAACCGTGATAATTTTTGCTGCCCTTCTCTGTACTTTTTGTAACTCAATGTCCCTTTTTAGCACTTCTGATTTCTATTGTGAGGGGGTGTCACATGGAGGTGGGTAGATACCTGTTCTCCCTGCAGAGGAAGGCAGTACGCATTCCAAAGGAGCCAAGCTCAAGGAACCAAGGTTCACTTTGGATGCCGGGAAGTACTTCCTGACAGTTAGGACCCCTAAGGTATGGAATGGGCTTCCATGGGAGGTAGTTGAAGCCCCATTGGTGAGGGTGTTCAAGGACAGACTAGACTTACACATGGTAGGTATGTCATGAGTGCAGCCGGCTGGAGCTGGGGGTCAGACTAGATGGCCCAGGAGACCCCTTCTGACTCGCTCAGTTGCTATTCTGTTCCTAATTATGCCTAGCATGGAGTCTGCTTTCTTCACAGCATCTGGGCACTAGGCCAACCTTTTCATCAAGCTGTTCACCACCACCCCAAGATCCTTTTCTTGTTCAGCCACTGCTAGTTCAGATCCCATTAGTTCCCAGATCCCATATTTGAAATTGGGACGTTTTTGCCCCAACATGCATTACTCTACATTTGCTTATATTGAACTGCATTTGCCATTTTAATGCCAGTTCTCTCAGCTTGAAGAGATTCCTTTGGAGCGCTTTACAATCCCTTTAAGCTTTTCAGGGTGGTTAAAATTAATGTCATCAACATGACACCTCACTACTCACTCCTAATTCCAGATCATTTATAGGCTGAAAAGCATTGGTTCTAATACAGAACCTTGTGGGGCTGCACTGGTGACCTCTCTCCTTTGGGAGAAATTGCAATTTATTCCCACCCTCTGTCTTTAAGTAGTCAGTGATCCATAAGAGGACCCTCCCCATTTATTCTCTGACTGTTTAGTTTGCTCAGGAGCCTTTGGTGAGGAGCCTAATGATTACTTACCAGTTCTGTCACCATGATTGGCCATAATGAAGTGAGATGCTGAGGGGAAATTCTGAGTAACAAAACCCTGAAGAACAGAAACATCTGTGCTGCTACTAGGGATGTCTGTCGAACACGCAGGGTGTCAGTCAATCGCTCTAGAATAAAGTTGAGTAGATAAAAAAGTACACATGTATTGAAATGTAATAAACTAGAAGCACCAAATGCAATTGGCTTAGTCATACCATTGTGAATTGATCCAATCTCGCTGCAGTCATTACCCCAAATGCACAAGGGATGGAAGACAGGGACATGGATGCTCATTGCACTCTCAGTACATATGTTCTCCCCATCCATTCTCCAGACCTTTGCATAAGATGGTCTGAAGGAGCTTTCTACAGACATCAGGAACCCTGCTTGATGAGGCTTCCTGAAAACAGGGAAGCACTTAAACACACTCACCTGAAAGTGTGTAACTGTGCTAAGAGCAGGGTGCAGTGAGAATTATAGAAACAGAGCGAATCAGAAGGGGTCTCCCGGGCCATCTAGTCTGACCCCCGGCTCCAGCCAGCTCCGCTCACAACATGCCCACCATGTGCATGTCCAGCCTATCTTTGAACACCCTCACTGATGGCACCTCAATGACCTCCCATGGAGAAGGAGATGGGGCAGAACTAGTTTTAGCATCCCTGCTTTTAGCTCTCATGTGTTTAGGGAAAGACTTGAACAGGGCTCTGTTGTCATTATTGGAAAATACTTTTTGAATGACAATGCATTATTGTTCAAATAACAGTGAGTTGTCAGTTTTGGTGGAGCTTCCCCTTCATTATGGTAATTTTTTTTTTTAACTTCCTTCTGTTAACTCACTCTCTCTCTCTCTCTCTCTCTCTCTCTCTCTCTCTCTCTCTCTCTCATTCATGCCCCCCCACCCCCAGGTGGAGAGAGATAGCAATGGAGGATGGATATCTGAATTAGTAGCATTTTGCCATATATATAAAAAACACACCTCAGTGGATGGTAAAACTAAAAAGAAAGGAACACGAGAGCACCGTGGGAATCAAGAAGACTGGCTTCCAGTAAATGATCCAGCAGAAAAGAATGCAGATTGCTAGAGGACATGAGCAGGAGGGAGCTACTGCACTTGCATCCTGCTCTGGGAACAGAATGCTGACCTAGCCAGGGTTTTACTCATTTCAAGCATGACTCTTCTTATGTTCTTAAAATTGCCTTTCACTTAATCTTTTTCAGTGATAAACTGTCAGTTCATGGGAAAAGATGAAAATGCAAGAATATGTAAAACTGTGCAAGCGACAGTGTAACATGGGGCTTTTTCAGTCCTGGCGATGAGGATTAACTTTGGCAGATTCATTGTCAAAGCAGAAATACACACCCAGAAGGCCAAACCTCTTGCAAAATCAGCTGAGTAATGACCAGCGCCCTGTTGCATGCCATGATGAGGCATCATGATGAGGCTTTGTGTAAACCATGCTGAGGCTTTCGCAAAGGACAGCATACAAATATCTTAAATAAATAAATAAAACCAGCCAATCTGGCATGCATGATGAAGAGGTTTTCTCCTAACCACAGGGCTATAAAAGAGCCAGTATGGTGTAGTGGTTAAGAGCACGGGACTGGGAGTCAGACGATCTGGGTTCTAGTTCTCACTCAGCCATGGAACCAACTGGGTGACTTTGGGCCAGTTACAGACTCTCAGCCCAACCTACCTTACAGGGTTGATGTTGTGGGGATAAGATAGAGGAGGAGATGTAAGCTGCCTTGAGCCCTTTGTAGGGAAAATGGCAGGATATAAATAATAAATAAATAAATAAATGGAAAAAATGGATTTGACTCTGGACATGCCCTCAACTGAAGTAAGGCTCATAAAGTTACTGGACGTGGCAATGCAGACACCAACTGGAAAAAAGTTCTCTATCTCCAGTGTAAATAAAGCAAATTATGGGCGAACATTGACACTTCTGCTGCTGGAGGTAGATTAGAGTTGGAAGAAGAGGGATGGAATTACAAAGTGTAATATGTGCAAACAGTTGTATTTTTCTCAGGCTGTGCTATTGATCTAGCAAGATATCTGGAATACTCAGTGAAAGGATCCTTGGGTAAACAGAACAGTCTCTAGTTTAGCTCAGCCCATACTAACCAGCTTCGTATGAAATCCTCTTAGCCAGGGAAAGTACTGAAGAATGGAAAGAGGAAGGCAGGAATTCCACCACAATATTTGTTTTTGCTCTGTGCTAGCAGAGTACAAGTGCAGAGACAAAACAGAGCCTCTGCCTCTCCTCCCAGGTTCTAAGCTGGAAGGGGAAGGCAGACACCGAGCTCGTCTCTGCAGCTGCAGCTGCAGCGGAACTGGCAGGCTCAGTCAAAGCTAGCCAACATGCCTCAGCCTCCCACAGTCAGCTCAGAGGTGGAAGGAAGCAGAGGCATGTGTTTCCTTTTTTTATTTTTTATTTTTTTGGCTTGTACCCAGCAAGTACAGTCAGTGAAGCCTCCAGGACCAAGCTGGAGGGGAAGGGGCGTGAGTTGGTTTTGCTTTGTACAGATTCTGCAACCTCTGCTCAGCTCCAAGCAAGGGGATGGAGGGTTATAGCAGAGGGATTTCTGCTGACCTTACACATTGTTTCGGACAAGGAACAAGACACACCATGTGGGGGACAGGCAAGGTCTTGAGTAGCCACAAAGCCATTTGGCAACCAAAAAGAAACAAAATTTATGAGTCTGCGGCTACAGCTATCTGTCAGGGTAGGCAAACAACCATCATGGAATACGAATTTACATTCCTTAGTTCTGGGAAAGTCAGCTCTTGATAAAAGCTACCCTCATTCTTATGAGCAAAGGATTGCGTTGTCAGACTGAAACTACCACTTGACCCAGTTCACTGTGGTTTGGTGGCAATTACTTTAGCGAGCGTCTGGCTCTGTGAGCCTTCCTTTTTCACCCCATCTTGCATGTTCTAATCCCCTCCCTTTTGCAGCAAATTATTGCTTTTACATCTGGTTTAACAAAATATGCTTTACGGTTAAACAACCGGATACTGAATCAGGTGTAACTTGTAATTACTTATGCATTTTATTGATGCATTTTCTTTGGAAATGTTTGAATGGATGATTTTTTATGTTTTCATTTTAACTTTGTTATGTTAGCTTTATTTTATTGTTATTTTAGTGGAAATGTGTAATATAAATATAATTGCAATTATGGGCTGGAGAGCAAGCACAAACTAAAGATTTGCAACTTTAAAGCTGATGCAAATGTGGAAGTGCCCAAATCTTACTCTTTTACATCTAGCCTATAGTTCAGCACTACATTTGAACTGAGCCTATGTCTTTGTAAGTTTGTAAACATGAAGGCTGAATTATAACAGGCTGGTCCAGGAGCTGTTAGTCCAACAGGAAAATTAGCCACCAACACATATATACTGTATATGGATTCTGACAATTAAAAACAAAAACATAAAACAAAACAAACCTCTTGATCTGCCTGTGCACAACTCAGGACCCCAAACTTCTATCATCTTATGTTACAAGCTATTGGTTGTTTGCATCTCTGAACTATAAGTTATAAATTAATTTTAATAAGCTTTAAAATTGACATCATTGAACATAGGTAAGCAGTGCAAAGTTTACGCTCACCTTGTATTAAAGGAAGGTAGAGGTGATATTGATCAATTTCTCCACTGAAAATAGCAAAGGCTTGACGCTTTATCAACATTGCCTTCTGTTCATAACTTGGGAAAAGTTTTAAGGAACTGCTCTGCATATCTGTAATCAAGATAATAATTTGTAGTAATATTAACTTGCAATAATTTTTGAAACACAGTTGCTACATTGACAGGTTGCCTTGACAGGTTACTAAAGAAATAAAACAAGAACAGAAACATTACATATCAGTAGCCTAGGTGGAAAGAATTAGGAAACATGTTTAATTTCTTGTATTCATCCTGTTTATTCGCATTTTACTGAAACAGAAAAATATTGATGTGGGGAAATACTTACTCATCAAATCTTTAAACATAGTTTTCTCATGTGTAAGAAGATGATCAACAATGGCTCGCCAACTGAAAAAAAAAGACAAATCAGAATTAGTCTAATGTTAAGTATAAACCTTCCATCTTCATGAAAGTAGATGATAAACCCTTGTGAATAAATGCATATGGGAGAAGAGCCATATGCATACTTCCCATATGGCAAACTACACAATAATTTCACACCATTAACTACAAAAGGCAGAAGTGACTTCTCTTCAGGAAATTTCCTCTTGTGTTAAAACAGTCCTGAGATACTATTTTTAATTTAACGTTCCAGGAAAAAATAAATAAAAACATACTTTAAAATTAGGTCTCAGGAAGAAATAGGTAAAATTATAAATGTATTGACCCAAGTTTTGAAGAAAAAACTTTCTCTGCACTGTGGTGGAATGCTGCTCTTTTAATAAAGCCCACAGCTGAATGAGATAATTCACATTCTGTTAACTACTTTTAAAAGAAATTTTAAATGCCATTTAATATTTATGGTTTGTGAGCCACCCCGAGGCTTTGGCGAATGGGGCAGCATAGAAGTCCCCTAAACAAACAAACAAATAAAAAAATACATTAGAATCCACAGAGGAGTGCCAGTTTGTTGATTTAGAGAACTAACACATGATTTCCCCCTCATATGTCTTACTGAATGCAGGAGGTGTCCATCTGGAAAAAGGCTGGATCCATATATAGTTCCAGAACATCTTTCTTCCATGCTCGCTTGGTATAGGCATAGCCACTTAGGGAACTGAGCAACTGACTGCTAGCCCGGAAGCTAGGAAGGTTGTAGGTACTGCAAACACACACACAATATATTTCTTAATGTATTTTATATCTATACAGATCATTTCTGCAATATGTCTGCAGCATGCTCCAGTGGCAAAAAGTCACGGCTCTTGGGGATCTTACCCATGCTGCGCCTCTAACATGCCTAAACAACACACTGGATGGAGTGCCCAGTGGTTGGTCACCCTTTTTCAATGTTGGGGTTTTTTTACACCCTAAATGCATGTAAAATTTGTTCATAAAGTGCCAGGTTTTTGTAGGTTTCATTGGAGAAATTGATCAGTATATCACACTTACCCTCCTTTCTTATAAGGAGAGTTTTAAGATTGCATTGCTTAACATTTTCAATGATACCAATTTAAAAGCTAACTAAAATTATTTACATAGGTCAGAGATGCATGCAATCAATAGCCCATAGTATGAAATAATAAAGGTTTGGTGCTTTGGAGTCCAGAGTTGGACACTGGCCAAAAAAAGACTCCAAATGATTTTTCCCCTCAAGTCAACCCAAACTGCAACTGCTCATGATGGGCTAGGCACCATTTCCCCCCCTTTTGCATCAAGATCCCCATGAACCTCCCTTTTCACTAACAGTTGCTTCCTATGCCATCAGAAATAGCTGGGGGGTGGGGGTTGGAAAGAAGGACATCAGGCAGGGCAAAACAGGGTAATTTGGTCATGAAAGTATACAGCAAAAATTACTTGCAACTTTAGTTTACCTTGACAGCTCACACTTTAACAGCTGACTTGGGAAAGCAAAGTGAAAAAAAAATCTTATTTGGAACCTCTCTAGGTAATATTGTGGGTTGATACATGGTGAACTTTGACAGCAGGTGCCTTCAAGACATTGTCTGGGCATGGGATCCCGTTATCTGACCTGTGCAACTGCACACCTACACAGTTGTGCAACTCTGACTAAAAAGAACATCGAACAGGAAATCACAAATAAGTCTGTGAACACCGGGGCATCCCCCAATCCCGCCCCTTTTAATGTAGCTGCTTGGGCCCTGCACAAGGACTGGCACACACTGCATATTCTGAGATATGCACAATATCTGGGAAAAAAGGGGAAAAGCTGCAGTGACCTAAGAAGACTTGCCGTCATGACAGAGAGAGGAGACAAGGCAGCTTCATGAGGTATCAGCTGCAGAACCAACAGGGAAGCAGGGAGAAGAGTCAATCCATGGGGAGCCCAAAGGTCTTTCAGGCACACAGAGGGCTGTTTGCAAAATATTGCCAGGGTGGGTTACCATGACTTGTGAAGACTGAGAGGAGATATGATAGCATTTTTCAAGTACTTGAAGGGTTGTCACAAAGGAGGAGGACAGGATCTCTTCTCAATCATCCCAGAGCACAGGACATGGAATAATGGGCTCAAGGGACAGGAAGCCATATTTGGCTAGATACATTCCTTACTGTTAGAGCAGTACAACAATAGAACCATTAAGCTAAGGAGGTTGTGGGCTCCCCTACACTGGAGGCATGTGAAAGGGATGGTTTAACTTGGAGTTCTTCACTGAGCAGTGGATTGGACCCAATGGCTCTCTGGCCCCCCTCCAACTCTACTATGCTATGATTCTATGACGCAACCCACTGTTTCTTATCTTAATTCAGTACTGTCAGCTCTGATGAAAAAAGAGTATCTGTTTCCATAGATTATTCTAAATTCTTATGTTGCATATTACCAAATTCCCACATTCTAGGTCATTCAGTGCTGACCAATTGTTCATTTCCCACCATTAGAAAATGTAAAAGAACATCATTATTAAGCACTTGACTCTCAAGCTTTAGTAATATAATATGTGTGCTAAGATTTCATTTGATCAGCACACATATTACACACAATGAGTCTTAAAGTGGTGCAGACCTTATAGCCAGAGTAGGGCCCACTGTTTCACGGCTTAAGTTACTTGTGTATAATTGAAGGAAAAATTTACCTGTGATTACGTAAATAAGGAAACACATAATACAGCAAACGAGAGATTAAAGGAACTGCTTTCTCTTTTTCATCACTTCGATAAACCATATCCAGGAGAGAAGCAAGAACCTAGAAAAACAATTTTCTACATTAAGAAGGAGCAACACTTCAGAACAGTGAAAACTGGGTATCCTCTGTGGATATGATTTAGCGTTGCATGCAGGTGATGCACTCATATTGCCAACTACAGAAAAGTAAAAAGTGGTGTATGCTCAAGGAACTCCAACTGTAACAAAGGATGGAGGAAAATTCTGTGACTTTTGAAAGGTTGCAAATGTGATATAGATATGAAGAGCATATATATGTGCATACTCTATAGGTAGGTAGGTAGAGCAGCTGCAAAGAAAAAAGGCACCAGAACTCACCTCTGCAAGGAGAGAGAGGGCTTGAACACTATACATTGATGGGGCTGAGGCAGAAACCATTGAAGAAGGTATTGCTGAAGTATCTGTAGAAGGAAGACATTTAATTTGTTCTTTTTATTTTTAGAATGAAGCTAAGATTTTTACTATAATAATAGAAGTTTCGGAAATATGACAAAAGCATATAATGTAGCTTGGATCCAAATGCTGGGTGGGTGGGAAGTTCTGCAGAAAATAGAAAAGGCTGGAGACAACCAGTCATTTTGTTGTCTCAAACAAAATTATATCCAATGCTTTAAAAAAATAAATTAAAGCAGACCTGGACAATTACGAGCAGAGAAGCAGTGTATGAGAAAGGGGTAAACATTTCTCTCAACCAACATAGGGAGTTGTGCATTCAAAAAAAGTGCCAGGAGTTGCCCTATCCCTTCTGAATGAGGGAAGCAGTGGGCAAGCGCTCCTCACTGCTTTGTCTTTCAAGAGTGCTGGATCCTTGTTTTACAATGCACACGTTAGCATTTAAAGCTTGGTCAGGAGCTTGAGGAAGAGTATGTATGCATTCTGTGCTTTGAGAACAGCAGATGGTGCAATTCTGTTCCACTTATTTTTGCTTTCTGGAGTCAACATACCTACAAAGACTTGGTTGAAGCAGAAGTATGGACACATTTAGAACTTGGCTGGGTGTGTATTGAGGGGAGAGTTTTGGAGCAAAGAAGTGGCTGTCCTAGAAAAGTGTCCACTTCCATTTCTCTGTTCCACATTGCCCCACCCAGCCTACTGCACTTAAAAAAAAGTGGCTGTGAGTTTGCTAGGATCTGAATTCATGTTGGATGAACAGTGCTAAAGGAATAGAAATCCCAACCCCCTCTTTCCCACAGCAGCCTCTCAAGCTCCCTGAAAATGCTACATAGGGGAGTGCTGAATGGGTGAGCAGTGGGGAGGAAGGGAAACCCCAAATCAGATGAAAGTTCCTTTCTCTCACAGAGGTGAGATCCTGGATCTGGTCATCTGCATGCAATTATCAGTATTGTTGATACTGAGTGGCAGAAGCTCTCTAGGTATTCAGGCAGAATTCATTCCTAATTCTACCTACCTGGGGTCTTCTGCATACAGAGCATGCACACTAAGAGTGAGTTACAACCTTTTATAATACAAGGACATATTATGAATCTTAAAGTCTCACTGACTTGGGTTTGCACATAACAATAAAGCACGATGTACTTTGTTCTGCCTGAATTGATCCTTGCAATTAAATGAAGCTTTGTTAACTGTCTGTAAACCACAAAAAGAAAGTTTGTTTTTTTGTTGGCTAAAATGTCAGATTTGTTTGACCCATGTCTTCCTTTGATGACTGAATCAACAACAATAGCTTATCCTTACCTTGTTTATGGTACTGAAACAGAAGCTCCTAGTAAGAATTGCCTGTAAACAAAACTGCTCTGAAGGTTTACAAAACTTGGCAAGAGACAACCCAGAAATCAGGAAAACAAGTCATGTTTTGACTGCCTGTCTGCTCACCGCTAAAAGCAGCAAAACATATTTAACATGAACCATGGCTTAAGGTTAGTATGAACACATCCCATACTTGTATATGGCCTCTGCAATTGTCTGTTCCTACTTCCTTCATCCATCTTTAGGCCGGAAAGGTCTACAGGTAATACGTTAAACTAAGCACAACATACAATACCAAAGACACCATTTCTTCCTGCCTGTTCCCACTTCATTTTAACAGTCTGTCAGTCTGAAGAACTGTGTATTATCAAAAAAATAGCTTATATTACTGCATTTTATTCACTAGCTAATCCAAGTAACTTTATACTGTTTCTCTTACCACACAAATCATCTTCAGCGTTGGATTCATCTAAAGAAATCTGAGGCTGGGCTTTCACTTCCAGATTTCTACTCAGCCAGCTAGTTTGTTCTAGAGAGGAACCAGCAACATTCCCCACAGCTTCCAGTATTTTCTGGGTTACCTCCTGAAAAATGTGAACAGAGAAAGGAAGAAAACATTGATACAGAGGATGGTTGGTTTTGTGAACGTAATACTTGTGTTATTTTAATAAAGGAGAAATGGGTACAAAGCAAGACCAATTACTGCTCAAATAATCTTCCAAGAAGACTGAACATTTTGCAGAGGTATTTGTGAAGGGGGATGGCAAACCAAGGTTAGTAATTTCTCACTGGTGAATCCATAAACAGGAAAAAAGGGAAGAAAACTCCAGCTGTTGAAAGAGGACCGCAATAGGAGTCACTGGAGTAGTCCTTTCAGTGGTAGACCATGGTTGAAATCTTGACTCTGAGGAAGATTCACTCAGTGAATCTTTCAGCATCTGGAGTTTCTTCCCTATTTTTTCCTGATAAGTAAGGCGAGGCATTTTGCTGCCTGAACAGCAAATACCACCCCATTGCTCCAAGTCAAGATGCTGGCACCCAAGGCCAGTTGAGTTAGTTTGACACCCGAGGCTAGAAATCTCTTGAGCAGCTCTCCTCAATCCCCATGCTAATACAATATTATAATTATAATAAATTAAATAAATAAAGAGGAAAAAGGTGCCCTTCCATGGCACCCAGAACTGTTTGCATAAAGCAGTCATCTCTCTCTGCCAGCCCTGGGTAAAATCAGTGAGATACTTGAAACTCGGCTCTTGGAAAGAAAATTAGGTTAATCCACAGACTGAATCAATTAAATATAGGTCTTCCATACACTAGTAAGTTAGTTACCAGGTTAGCTGCATGACCAAAAACATGTTATGGAATACCTGAAGGTCTTTCTGGTCCTTCTTATTTTCCTGGTTTGGCATTCTAGTCACAAAATCATTCAGGGTGCTGTAGGAGAATAAACTCAAATTAGCAAAATGACATATTAAGACTTACTAATGCATATAGTAAAGAGATAACTACTGTCATACCTGAGAAGCAAAAAATGCCCAGGTGGCACCAAATTCAGTTGCACAGATTCCTTCAGCACTCCTAACAATGACTGGAAGTTTTCCTGCAAGGCGATGGCAGGGAGTCTGGGGGAAAAAAGCATCATATCCATTAAAAAACCTCTTAAAGGGTTGTTGTTGTTGTTGTTGTTAGTCGCAAACACATCGCAACCCCATGGACAATATTCCTCCAGGCCTTCCTGTCCTCCACCATCCCCCGGAGTCCACCTAAGCTCACGCCGACTGCTTCAGTGACCCCATCTAGCCACCCCATTCTCTGCCATCCCCTTCTTCTTTTGCCCTCTATTGTTCCCAGCATTAGACTCGTCTCCAGGGAGTCCTTCCTTCTCATTAGGTGGTCAAAGTATTTGAGTTTCATCTTCAGTATCTGGCCTTCTAAAGAGCAGTCAGGGTTGATCTCCTCTAGGACTGACCAGTTTGATCGCCATGCAGTCCAAGGAACTCGCAGGAGTCTCCTCCAGCACCACAATTTCTTAAAGAGTATTTCAGTACAAATGCTATACCCACCAAAAGCCCAACTGAAAAATTCTCCATTCACCATAGCTGATAAGGTTTTGATGTCATCAAATGAGTTGCCATTAAGTGTTCACAAACATAAATGGCTTAACCAGGAACTAAGGAATTAACAGGGAGCTATGTTTAATTCCAGCTCCTTAACAAGTGTGCAGGTCATCTATGCCTACATCAATTGTATCCAGTGGTGTATTTCCACCAGCACAAAGTTTCTACTAACAGAAACCACATAATTTTTCTATAATATTGGATATATCCCAATACGCTTAAAACATGCACGAATAAAAATATTTAAACAAATGCAGGATGGAAAAAAAGAATTGTCTCCTTTCCACTCAGCACTTATTATGCCTTTATTAATGTACCTGCCACAGGTATTTTGCAAAGGACAGGCCCTTAAATCTGTTGCCAAAAAACAAAAAAAAACAAAACAAAACAAAACAAAACAAAACAAAAACAAAACCAATGCAGAATTTGTGGCACCTTAAAGACTAACAAGCTGTGGTGGACAGATTGCTGAAAACATTAATCCAATGCACAGCTACTGTGAAAAAGGAAGCTCTGTGTTAGGCATATTTAAGAATAGAATTGAAAACAAAACTGGAAAGATCACACACTGTTTATACAAATCTGGTGGTTGCACCTGCACTTAGAATATTGTCTACAGTTCCAGTGCCACACCTAAAAAAGAGAAATATTGATTTGGAAAAAGTGCAGACATGATAAAACTAAATTAAACTAAAATGATGAAGGAGTGGTACAACTCCTATATAAGGCATAGTTATAACAACTGGGTTTGCATAGCTTAAAGAATATGGGAGTAAGGGAGGCATGATAAAGGTGTTTAAAAATATGGATGGTTTGGGAAAGGCGGAGAGGGAGAATTTTTTGTCCCTTCTCCCATAATGCTAGAATCCAAGGTCATCCCACAAAGCTGACTGATGGATGATTCAGGACAGAGCCGGTCCCTTCCCTCCTTTCTTCTGGTTATCAAGCTCAGGATGGTCCTTTGATAGTGCCATTCTTTTATCAGAATAGTACGACTCTAAATAATCTTTTGCGGCTGCCTGCTACTTGATCAAAGTAGTTCTAGTTTCCTGCAGCACCAGGCACAAAAAAATTTCAATTTTTTTTTTAATAAGATGCTACTGCTAATAGTTACTGGAATATGCTTCAAGAGAGAAATGCTTGTTTCTAGAAGCCCATTTACCTTTGTATGAAAGCATAGCAGAAGTGGAGCACTGGGATATCCACTAAGGAAGATTTCTGCAAACGAAAGAAATCAGTGTAATTCTTATGTATTCCATTACTAAAATGTATGATGATTTATTAAATATTACAGGGATTTAGACTAAACCCTAAAATCTTTACTTTAAGTAGGGTTGCTTATGTTGTGACTGTGTAGAGAGAAAGCTGTTTTCTTCCAGTTTCATTTCTTACAAATTGCTTACAAGAATAAAAACAGAAATCAGGAATACCTGAAATAACCTCAAAGATCATTATGCTCACAAAGGCTCCCCCAAATTAGCCAGCTAATTTGCCAAGAGTTTTGGGCACATTCTTTTGATTGCCATTTCGAGCAATTCAAAAGTGACTATGAGAATTGTATGAACTGTAAATACTACCCACATATACACCACACAATCATTTACAAAGCAACAAAAGGGGCAAACAACTAGAGTACCTATGCTACCCCTGCCTTTCAGTGTGTTTCACCCTTTCAACTATCCTTTCATCTGCCAAAGCTTACAATTGTATATTATGTGTTCTGCAGATTGCAGATCTGGGACTGAATCTGAAAAAGGTTTGTTGGGGATCACTGGGAGTTGCAGGATGTTTTTCCTACCCTATGCATAGGCTTACAGCCTAAGGAAACATAGAAAACTGATGAACATCTGTAACTCAACAGCACAGATTAATTAAAATTTTAGCAAAATGAACTTTTACCTCTTCACCCTTGATTTGGGATGGTTTCTTTACCACTTCTTTTACTAGCTGCAGTATAGTGTCAATCTTCAGAGTACTAAGTGCACAAACTAAGTCAAGTAGTACGAGCTGAGATGCACTAGCAACAGGAGAAATCTGAAACAAAAAAGGCATTAAGAAAGAAAAGTCCCTCATACACAGATCTGTGATACATATTTTCTGGAGTATATATAGTATCTATGTAAGCTTTCTCCAAACTGATAACCTCCAGATGTTTTGGGTTTCAACTACCCTTGGTTCAAGTGAGCATGGCCAATGGTTAGGAACACTGGAAAATGAGGTCTAGAACATATGGAAGGCACCAGTAAGCTGCTTTATATTATCTGAATAAATATTGTTAACCTATGGCATCCAGGCACAGTGAAAGAAGAAACCAGACATACCTGCTTATATTCTGGAAATAATCTGGCAAAAACATTAAAGAACACTTGAGGACGTAAAGTCGGTGCATTAAAATTCCGGCATGAGCATACGTGTTAGCACTGCAGACATAAATCTAAGGGATCTCTGGAGGAAATCTAGCCACAGAAGGCATGATCAAAGTATCAAAGAGTCCTTGTTCTGACAAAATGTCAGAAGGAGCCCACTTCAAGACTAATTCAGTTCTGCTACTAACATTGAAAATAAGGAGGAAATTAATGAATGGTCAGTGTAAATTGATTTTCTGGCTCTATGGACAAACCAAGATTTATTTTACAACACTGGAAGGATAAAGGCTCCCCTCCTTTAATGCAGGACCATACAATGCTTGTAATATTTGAATGGATAATGTATAGATACAACCTACAAATAGACACTTATTTGGCGATCTGGGGGAAAGGTATATTTACATATATTACATGAATATTATTCATTTATTTAAAGTTTTTCTATACTTTTATTCATTACAGAATCTCGTGATGGTTTACAATTTAAAAAAAATACAAACAATAAAACAATTATAAATTCCCTAGTGCCAGTTCCTGATGCCAAAATAATTAAAATACGATTTAACAATTAAAAAACCATGTAAATAAAAAGGTTTTTGGCTGGCATTGTAATTAATAAAGTGTTGGCAGCAGGGGCACTTCTCTGGAGGGTGAGTTCCACAATCAGGGTGCTATAGCAGAAAAGACCATTCTCGTAACAGCCCTCCTCACCTCTTTCAAGGAGGGCTCTTAGACAAGGCCCTCTGATTAATATACATATTGATCAACATTAAGATACATACTAATTGGTGTGTGTGTGTATAAACACTTCATTATATATATGTGGTGTTATATATCACACCCAGCCACCCACCCAATGTTCCCTTTGTTTTTCCTTATAATTCCTTTTTGGTTGGAGTTTTACAATAAAAATGAATTTTTAAAAAGTCATGGTGGGGTACAATGATTGTGTGAACTGGCTGAGTCAAACGCAAACTCGCCGCTTACTGAATGCGTCTGAGCTGCTTTCAGCACTTTAATCTGGAAACTGATGATGAGCATGTGTGGCTCCCTATCTACTGAGCAGCAGCCCACTAAATTCAACGGTTCCCTTGCATAGCCCCCATTCATACTTGGTAGACCATGATCTTCCTTAGTCTTGGCAGAATAATCTTTCATGATACCTTTCTTCTTTACCTTTGTTTTCTTTTGCCGCTTATGAGATCTCTTGCTGTTCCACACTGCTGCTACTGCAGCCATAAACTGCATTCCAAGATGTCCAGTAAGAGGATTCAAGAAGTCTAGGATTTTATTCTTTAATGTCTATTAAAAACAAAATATCAGGTTTCTCTTTTGGAATGGGTTCTTGTGGAATTTGTTTTCCTAACTGCTATGCATCCTGATAAAATGCAATGAACTAGATCATACTATTCCCAATCAAACTTTTAGTTCTCACATTGATAAATCCTTGTCTGTAACTTCCTGAGATTTTGACTACCACAACAAGAACTACACGAACAGTTGGAATTCAGATAAATCTTTTTCAAGACAGTGGTTTCTTTCTGCCACAATTGGAAGTGGTTTCTGAAACTAAGTGCTTCAGTTGCTGTTGGGAATGTAAAAGAATACTGCTGCATATCTGCAAAGTGAGCTTTACCTTTTTGAATTTGGGCCTATTTACTAAGTCTACTTACTATTCAGTAGGACTTTTGAATAAGAATATTGAGAGCTGTGCTAAAAGCAATTTACCTAAATGCAAATTACCACATATGCTGGTACCAGAGCCACAGCAGAAGGTGAAAATGGTACCGATGGTTCAATAATAGTTCTACAGCCATGGCAAAAATGGATTCTTCATTCACAGTGCACATTTGTATAATTAATATTATTAAAATAAAATTTTAGTATAGGAAAATTTATTTCCCAGGTGCAATGGAACAAAACCAGCAAAAAAAGAAAAAGATGTTTAACAAGACAAGCAACCTCCTCAGACAAAGAATCAACAACTACCTTGCATGCAGATAGGTACCAATATCTGAGTTCTTTCCTTAGGAAGCAGAATGTATATGCACAGATGCAGTTATTATGAAAAAGGCAAAACAACTGTGACTGTGTTACTTTAAAACCTAAGACAACCCTCTGTTTACACTACCGTGTTTAGAAATGGAAGCCTTTGCAATTAACCAGTAGAAAACAGAGTCAAGAAGATCACACAGTTACCTGCTTTTGATGTAGCAATAAGTCAGAATACCCATGGAACTCTGACTTGTTGTTTTACAGGCAGTTTGCTTGGCTTCTCCTGAAAGTGGGGACAAATAAACAAACCATGTCCATGATTTATTCATTATTATGATAGAACTGGAAATTCTGCTTTGGTTTGTCTGGGGAGAGACAATCCAAAATTCCTGGTTTGCACATAACAATAAACAAACCATGAAAAATGTTTTTGTTTATTTGTTAGGTCCCAGTTAAGAAGGAGCCATGCAGGAGACATAGGAACAGTGCAGAACATGTTCCTTGAGCATTAGCTTATAGCGATCCCTGAGCCAGGCCAATTTCTATTCAGAATATTCTCCACTAGAAAAATTCAGAATTACTCCAACAGTGCAGCACCCTGTCCACATGTTACCCAAGAGTGCTGAAGCATTCTTACTTTGGTCGCCTTAAAGTAAACGGAAGAAGAGCCTTTTGTGCCTAGGAAGTCAGTTGGTCTTTTTTGAGATTCTTCCTTTTTTATGACACTCCAAAGGAGAGACATGGTGTTAATAATTCGGGGGAGTTCTTCCAAAATGGCATTCCTAGCATTTCTTAAACTTGTAGGGTCAGCAGTCAAGGAGGACTGGGAAGATCAAAAAGTCCACATTACAGATATGCAATAAAGAATTACTGCATTCAGAATCCTAAACAATTTATCATTAAAAATTAAACAAGCTTATCCACTACAAGAAAGATACTGTAAATTAGCCCTGTTTTATAATATTTTACCAAAAAATATACAATATCTTATGCAAATTTTTATTGATACATAAAAAGAATGAAAGAGACAGATAAACATGGTTACCTTTTTAGTTTGGTTTGGATGATCCAAAAGACAAAAATGGCCAATAGTTGTGAGTCCTTCCAAAAGAGTTAGAGGATAATCTGGTGTAATGTTCTCTCGTTTAGAATGTATGCTTTAAGGGAAGAAAATTCATTCAGTAAATTATTTCAGTGAGAGTTTCAGGGATAGTCACTTAGATCTATTATAGCAAGAACCTTTTCTTCACACTCCTTTTCCTTCAAACTCCTAACTTTCCATATTCTTACATTCTCCTTCCTCTGAAGATAATTTGGAGTACTCCAACACTGATTTTCTAAGAAAGCATGCAAATACGGACTGACGCACAAGCCAGAAGCTAAATTAGCAAGACATGAAACAGAACACGAATAGGCATTTCCTTACCTTACAGACACTTTTGCTGACATCTTCAGAGTTTCATGTTCATATTGTTTGACAAGTTCATCCAGGTTCTTGCAAATCTGTACAATAAATGGTGCTACTGTCCACCCTAAGGATTTCCCAAAGTATGGCAAGGAATAAGCAACCAAGCTCACCCAAGCTGGATGCATGCCATAGCCATACTCGGGCTGCAAGCCTCGGACTACAGCAGATACAAATAATCCTTGTGAAGTTATAGGGTGTGGATGCACATACTGCATAGCACCAATTGCCTCCTGAAAGTTAAGAGCCCTTTGCCATTCCTTTGATAGGCCTGTCTGGTTCTCTAGTTCTTCCTGAGTCTGTCCAAGATGATGCTCCAAGACTATCAACACTTGCAGAAGTTTCAGCAGCTCAATTTGTAAAGGATGCTCACTCCAAATCTGATCACGACCAAAGTTGATGAGAGTCTCCTCAAGAACACAGTCTTCACTAAAGCCATTCATCTTATCAGCTGTCATATGTTCATAGCATTTTTGACTAACATACATAGATGCAGATAGAGAGAGGAGGACAAATTCTTGTACTTTACATCTTCCCAGCAAGTTGTGTATAAATTCAATGTTCTTGCTTTCTGTTGCTTTGGCCATTGTAGCCAGCTGGGTCATCATTCTGATCAAGACTTCAACGCTTTTGACTTGGACATCCCTATTGCCAAGCACATCTTTGTGGGTCACCTTTAAGTAACAAGGATAATAAGAACGCAGGAAACTCAGACAAAGGTACGTCAGCAATTCTATTAATAATGAATGTGGGCATACGGTTGGTGACTGAGTCTGAAGTTTTCCATAGAAACTCTGTCCAACGAGAGCCTCCTGGTGGCGAGTTAGAAGATTGTAAATGAGATTTAGATGAGCTGTGGAGCTGGTATCCATACTAGTTGTGCCTACAGCTTCGATGAACTCTTTAGGATTTGTTTTGAGCACTGCCTCAAGTACAGAAAAAGCGTACAGCACCCTTTTGGAATCATATGGCTGCAAGTACAAGAGAACATGCTTAAATAGGGCCTCAACTATCTCCTGTTTTTCCTTCTGCTGTTTTAGCAATCGGGATGTGGTAAATGCCTGAAGCTCCAAGTCCACCTCCTCATCACTTGAGAAAGATTCTGATGCTTGAGTTTTCTCAGAATCTACACGTACAAGGTTTAACATGGTGCTAGGGGAATAAACATTGGAGGAACCAACATGTTTCTTGTTTTCTTTGCCATCTGTAGAAGCACTATAGTTTTCCTCATTGCTCATATCTTGCTGGTCCAGAGAAGGAGAAAACGATGACGTGTTATCACTGTCAATCGGCCCAGTGCTTGTGTCAGCAGACTCCGTGTGCTCACTATCCTCCTCTTCACCCATCATTCCTGGAGCTTCTGCACACTGACAAGGATCATTTATAGACTGTTTATTTTTTAGCAGACATTTCTCTGGAACTTTTTCAACTTCAGCCCATATAGCTTCCCTGTCCACTGCTGTAAACTGGCTCATTGGCAAACTTTCTTCAGAGCTGCTTTCCTGTAGTTCACGGGCTCCCAAGGTCTCCTGGAAGGACCCTTTTTTCTTTTTATACCAGAGATGCATGTCTTCTGAAAAAAACACAACAGGTTTGTTTTTAGAAAATCTCACTTATTTGGCAATGACCAACTTTGTGACTGTCCTTTCAGACAACCACCACATTCCTGCCCACTGTCTGAACACTGCAGAACCTGGATCATGAGAGCAGGTAGGCCTTTTCCTCAGCCTTCCCAAGCTTTAGATGTTGTGAACTACAACTCCCATAATCACTGATCAACAATGCTTTCTGGGGTTGTAGTCCAAAACGTCTATGGGGCAACAGACTGGGGACAGTCGTTTTCCTCTTGAACTATGCCATCTGCACTGGGTATCCACCAAGACTGTATGCACATTTAATTAACTGCTTATACACCAGTATCTTATGGGCTTTTGCTCTTATATTCCCACCTGTCTTTAACCTTCAGACAGAAGGAAAAACCACAGTCCGGATAGAAATACCAAATAAAACTTTGAAAGCATGTAATAGCATGCTGCTCATTTTTATTTTTATTTTTAATTGAAGTACAGCAGCTTTAATAAGTGCTATATTTAGAAAGCTATGTTCACTTTTTCAGCATAATGCTTTATTGAAATAATTCAAGTGGAAGATAGGAATGTAACATTTTCCCCAGGTAAATTGATGGAAAATGGATAGAATTATCATTCACAGAGAAGAGCTGCTAAAGGAAGAATCAGCAAGGCTTTTGCAAGGGAAGTTTTGCATGATAATCTCATATATCTATTTAAGCAAAACACTTTTGATAAAATTACTCAACAAAAGGATTCTGAATACATTTATTAGTCATGGAAAACCATCTTTTTATAGAGCAGCTATACAATAATCAGCAATGTTTCCCAAATATCTGTATCGGATCACTGATATTTAATTACTTAATAAGTGTTCTGGAATTGGGGTTCACAGTGAAATAACCAAGTTTTGGATAATGCCAAATAATAAAGGATAGTGAACACCTACATGGACTGTGAAGAGCTCCAAAAGGATCACTTCAATCTGCGCACATGGAATTGCAGAAGACATTCATTCAATCCAGGCAACCATACCCTACTGATTTCAGCGGATTTATTCTAAACTTGACTAAGTCTGGAACCAGCCCATAGTCTGCAAATGTAAAATGTTGGCCGCGGGGCGGGGGGATCCTAATTCACATGTATACTAATACAGCAACAATAGTGGTAGCCAATCATGGGAGATCTTAAGGTCATGCTGAACAGTGAAATGACACACTGTCATGGAGGATAAGAAAAAATACATTTATTGTCAGCCCAGAATCATTGAAACTCTTGCTTAGCGCATCCCTTTATTCAGTTTGAACTGTGCTTTCCTGAGCTTTGTAATAGTCTTGATTTTACAAAAAAAAGGTACATAAACTTAGTTTTAAACAAGTCTTTAATGTTAAACATACTGCTGTGCAAAACTGGAAGCATGTGCAAATGTAAGAGATAACTGAGTGGTGTTTTCCTGGTATTTAAAGTCCCTTTGTAATCCACACTTTCTTCCTGCCACTCAATGTTTCTTTTACTTGTTCCTGTTTTGGGGTCCTGGGAACAGTTATTTGGTATACATGTGAGCTGTTCTAGAAGACACCAACCGTCTCCTATGTTTGCCTTTTAAAATATTTTCCCAAATATTTTTCAGCTGTGGATTCAAAAGGTGGTTTTACTGTGTTGCTGTATGGATCTCTCCTGTGCCACAACCCTCTGCTGTGTGTGTTCTTGTTCAGATCTCTCCTTCCCCCATATCAAGTACCAAGTGTTCCAAACATCAATTGCTCCAAATATCTTTTTCAAGATTTGGAGGAAAGTTTTGTTTCAAAACCAGACAAGCTTTGTTTTAAAAATTATACTTTGGAAAACTCTGGAGTAAATTTCCTTTTCCAAGCAGTGGTGTTTTCTAACAGGAAAACTGTAGCACTTGTAAGGTGTGGTAGAGCCAACCAATCCACACCCAACCTTTCTGAACCATGATAAGTTACTATTCTTCACTGTATATAGGTCTTATGAAATTGTAATATTTAAATTAAGAGTGCTTAGTGTCTTTGCAAGAGAGGAAGATAATTAGATCCAGTGGGCTCATCCAACTGTGACCCTTTATAAATGCCCTGTCCTCTATCCCACCAGCCCCAGTCTGAAAAGCTATGACTTGTCTATAAATGGCCATTATCCATGACAGTTAAAGAAACCACCAGGCTCAAAGGCAGCAAGCCACCAAATATCACTTGGTAGAGTGAGAGAAAACAACATTGTTTTGGATTCTGAGTTGTGGGCTTCTCAGAGACATCTGGCTTGCAACCACAAGAAACAAAATGCTAGGCAAGATTGCCTTTTGATATGATCCAGGAAGTTGCTTCTTAAACACAATCTTACCTGATGAGCTTTTCTGCTTGACACACTGAATGGAGGTACGCTGTGTCTTGGGATGAAGCAGAAGCAGAAGAACAGGTTCAAGAATTCGTGCAACATCATTAAGTGAGAGGGCTCGTATCAACCAACCCTGTGCTGCAGCTCCAATTGCTCCATCAGAATAATTAAGACTGTCCAGTACAACAAAAAGGGACCTGCATGGAGATATTACAGTAGTATTAATACAGGAAAGTCGAGCTAAAGTAAAAGATTACAGCATAGTTGATAAGGAGCATACATTGTTAGACTACTTTTGATATCAACAGTAAGCTTTTTCACTATCTTGTATCTCTCTCAAGGCATGGTGCTGTTTATGTATATTCATGAGTGGGTGGGTGATGGACCCTAACATCAGGTGAAGAGAAGACTACACCTGACCTGAAATAATGGACTAAAAGCAAACCTCAGATTGCAAATACATGGGCTGTTTATGTGGTAAATGTGTAGCTACAGGGAAAAACAAGCTAAGCGTAGTGGACCTGTTGAAATAACATTATTTTTTGGTTAGGTACATTTTTAATACACATGAAAGTACTGGGCTACATCAAATATTAAGAAGAGAACTTTTGCAGTACTAGATTATCTTTCACTGTGGAAAATCCATTTCAAGGAGAACCTAACTTATCTCCAAAGTCTGGTTCAGAGTTCTCCAACCGTCTGCAGCAGATTTTGCCTGAAGAAAGAGCTGCAGGGAGAACAGGTATGCACTCTCTTGATGGACACAACCTGATTTCACTTTTAATCTTTTTAGTTCAATTGACTCAAGTAAATATAGTTTATCAAATTATACAAATGAGGAATAGCAATACCTGTCAAAAGACCGATTGTGGGAAGTGACTCTGCTGCCTTGAATTTCTCTGGTCAAATGCCACATGATAGAGAATCGAAATAGTGCCTCTAGCCTTGTCCCCTAGTCGGAAAGAAATCCAAAACAGTTAAGAACAAAAGTAGATAATATAGCACAATGTATTCAACTACACACATTTCTAAGTTATCCTTGCAAGGTACATAGATCAATAACTGTGAGAAACATAATTCAGTTTGTTGAACAGTTGCTCTAATGTGATTTTTTTCCAGTCCAGAGCTGCAGGTAGCTCAGTTGCTGTTAAGCAGAATATTTCTGCCCCTTCTATTATTCTTGATAAGACTCACTGGTCCAAGAATGAAAAGAAAAGGAAACAGGGTTTTATTGTAATCCTAAATGGTAAGAATTTGGCAAATGTTAGTCATCCTAACCAATGAACTGTATTTTTAGAAGATCTTGTTTTTAAATAGCATTTCATGGAATTCAGTATTCACCATGAGGAAGTATAGATAATTCTGAAAGAAATGGTCACCCCTCAGCACTTGATTATCCTGTTACCAGTATTGTCGGCAAAAAGCTATTGCTAGTAAAGAATATGGAGAAAAAGGATGGTTTCTTATAAGCAAAGGCATCAGAAGAGGGTGCATTTTATCTCTCTATCTGTTGTTGTTGCTATTTATTTCATTTCTATACCTCCCATAGCTGAAGCTCTCTGTTCAATTTGTATCTGGAACATACACAAAGCTGAAGCAGGATCAGAGGGAAAAGGAGTGAAAATCAATGGAAGAGAAATCAGTGATTGAAGATATGCAAATAATACCATAATGCTGGCAGAAGTCAGCAATGAATTGAAAAGACTCCTGAGGAAAGTCCAAAAGCAGGACTGCAGCTGAACACTAAGAAAACAAAAATCATAAATATATAAGAATTATACAACTTTAATGTCAACAATGAAGAAACTGAAATGATGAAAAATTTTGTGTATCTGGCTTAATCAATTCAAATGCTGATTGCAACCAAGAAATTCAAAGAAGAATGAGACTTGGAAGGAAAGCAGTGAAGGAAGCAGGATCATTAAATGTACAAATGTTTCACTAGGGACCAAGGTTAAGATCTTCCACACCATTATATTTCTGATTGCTATGTATAGGTGTGAAAGGCTGGAATAACATGGTACTGGAGGAATGTTTTGTGAATACCTTGGACTGAAAAAATGACAAACTAGTGGATTCTAGATCAAATCAACCCCGAACATTTCCTGGGAACCAAAAATGACTTCAACTGAAGCTCTTGTACTTTTGAGTACATCATCAGGAGGTAACTCTCACTGGACAAAATAATAATGCTAGGGAAAGTTGGAGAAGAAGATGAAAGAAGAGAAGACCACACATGAGATGGATCGATTCCATAAAGGAAGCCACAGCTTTGAGTTTTGAAGAGCTGTACAGGACTGCCAAGGACAGGGCATTTGAAGGACTTTCATTCCTCAGTCAGAGACGACTTTATAGCATGTAACCACAAGTGTAGGGGTCACAAAAGAATTTATGTTCAAGTAAATAGATGTACAATTGTGATGCAGGGCTTCCAAACGCTCATGCACTAACTTAGGCTATGCAAACATTAGTAAGCTACTTAGAACAGTAAGACCTACTTTGTCATGATCTAGTAATGCAAGGCAGATGATGTCTTCACAAATATTAGCTGATGGAGCCAGGCAATGCAGATGGTAGAACAGTTCTACACATGTGTTGTGATGCTCTCTTGTCTCTTTGTTTAGCTGATCCCAAAGCACTTGAGCCACTCTCTGTAGTAAACATGAAATCAATGAACTATTTCAAGCAGATTTGGCACACAATAAAGAAAACACTGTATTAGTGAAAATATTTCAAGTTTTACTGTTAAACAGAACCACTTCATACATGCAAAAAAGTGAAAACACAAAACTAACTCTGAGTAAAATTATGTCACACAGCAGGTGTGACAAATAAGATCTCACATGAATAAATACATGTTTTAGTTCTTATTATTGTTATTAATTTTATTTTGTACTGCCCAATAGCTGAAACTTCTTGAGCAGTTTATAACAACACATAAAATACAATAGAATGCAATATAAAATACAGATAAAAATGACAGCATCATAAAAATTACAATATCAATCTTTTAAAGTTTTTAAATCTTCAAATTTTTAAAAAGAAAACTAATAATATCTTTTTAGGCCAGTGATATAATGCTCCAGTGTAATGTTGAAACTCTCAGCACAGTCTTAACCTGGCTGAGAAGATCCAGCTAGGCCTCAATGATAAGCTCATTCCCTAACTGGGGGGCCACCGCTGAGAAGATGTTGCTCCTTGTTACCACCAGCAGAGCTTCCCTTAGAGGTGGAGGTAGGCCCCACATCTTGATTGTTGTGTCTTGGCAGAGTGTAGGTGGGAGAGGTATTTCGTCAGGGACTGTGGTTCCAAGCTGTGAAGGGAGTCTTTTTGAAAGAGGAGAAATGCCTACTTGGTGAAGGAGCAGCAAGTATATGTATATGCAGGGGGCTGTGTGGCTAATAGGGTGGGCTAAAAATCAATTAATCATCAAACAAACAATAAATCCAATCAATCAATCAAATAAATAAATAAAATATATGCACTGTTGCTAAGGTTACATAGGAGATTCTCTAAGTTCTAGAAGTCCCTTTCACAATTAACATTAGCAAAGGAATGCAGGACTCACGCTTTCTATTTTTGTTCTTAGCCATTTGCAACAGCTGTCTATTATCATTGTTGACCACTAAAATGCCTAGTTACTTTTACCCAGTAGAGAGAATAGTGTAACACCCGACAGAGTTTGCTATTGTTCCTTGTACCTACAGAACCACCACTGCTGCTCTTCCAGCAGCTTAGCTGCCATTTCATTGTATCAAGTGGGTGTGAGGAAAAGATATTGCTACAGCTAAATAGTAACACCACTGAACCACTATTCAGCCAGAATGGTAAATACTGGTAGACAGGACAAGGTCATGCAGACAAAGTCAGGGCAAGGTCATGCGGATCTGAGAAAAAGCAATCACATTATGGCTTTGCATGCATTTTTCTTTAAAAAAAAAAACAAAAACAAGTAGAACACCTGATAGAAATCTGTTTTTTCTGAAACAAGCTTTAGAACTGCAGGTGCAATGGGAGGAACTGTGACCATCTGTAGTTTTCCAAAGAAGGGATTTTGGCCTGGAATTTTATACCGCTTTAGCCTGTCTTCAAGAACCAGTGCCAATGACTGGGAATGGTTTATTATTTCCAGCAGTACTGAGATGGAGACATTCTGAATGTAGCGGTCATTCTCACAGCAACATATTGTCATCAAGGATTTGAGCCACAGGGGGAAAGTGGGTTCACAGCCTCCTGAAAAAAAAGAATCAAATAGATTAGCTACAATTTTGCAATGATAATTAATGGCTTCTTTGATATAGTTGAAAAGTGATATCCCCAGGTTAAATATTGACTATTTAATGCATATCAGTAAGAACCACAAAAAGTTGCAATGTATTCTTATCTGAATTGTCGCAGGGTATCTGAAAATAAAACAAAACACAATAATACCACACACCAAATTGTGCATGGAAAGTGCCTTTGCTTCCTCCTATTTATATCTAAACTGTACAATCTCATGCATGCACACTCAGAAGTCATTATGCACAATGCAACCTATCCTCAATTAAATATGCATAGGATTGCAGCCTAAGAATATTAGCTCTTTCCGGGACACCCCATTCCTAGCATACTGATACCCTTTTTGGTACTGTCTGCTTGATCTGTCTATCACAGTTATAGTCTATCATTTAGCAGAGTTGAAATGTGCTCAATACATTGTGCACAGTTCTCATGAAAGTCTCTTGCTTGGCCAAGACAAGCTTATTTCACATTCTTCTGCAAGGGGAAGTTTCTGTATATTAGTCTAATGAAAATGTTCTTCTTACCAGGCACTTGAAAGAGGGAAGAATAGAGCTGTTCAGTTTCTTCGTCTGAAAGATAGACGGGGAATGTAGTACAATCCAGTAAGAGGTAGCACATTGCTGCAAAAGCCTCTCTGCAATCCTCCTTCAAATCTCCCAAGTCAAGCATGACTTGGTCAAAGTCCCATTCTTCCTCCTCTTTCTCTCTTTGATTACCAAGGTCATCCACAGGAGACTGAGGCCCCAAACCTTTCTGTTTAAATGGAGATCCCCGGACAGTGAATAAATCGGACAGCATCTGCTTAAACTGAGGCACAGTGATTTGCTTGGAGTCCCACGAGTGCTTTTTCTTGTTGGTAGTTTCCTTGTTCTCCCCTTGTCTTACACATGCTGTCTGAACACTTCCATTCCCGGAGTCTTGTAAATGAACCCCAAATACATATTTACTGGCAAACTTTGCAACCAGGCCCTGGATACAGTACAAGGTCTTCTGCATGCTCCCACCCTTTTTCCAAACATCATCTTTCTCAGGGATTATTCTTGGAATTCTCAGATGCTGGGACAGCTCTGGGGATGAAGCACTGAGAGCAATACCACTGTCTTCTGTTTTTAGTGGAGGAAAAGAAGCCTCTTCTTCATTCTGAAGTACTTTCACTTCTGACCTCAGCTCCTGGTTCTCTTCCTTTACAGGGCTCTGAAATAAATCAACAAACAGCATGTGCTTCTAAATGTGAATGCTGAGATTTAGTTCATGTAACAGCATTTCAAAACAACATAAGCAAGAAAAAAATTAAGTTATCCTTGCAGTTAAGGGTTCCACCCTTAAAGGCAGCCTAGAAATAATTTAAATTAAATGAACTGAAACACTGCAGGCACATGAAATGAATGCAAGGCTGGCAGAGAAAAATTGTAGTTTAGATGTGTCTAGAACAATTTTAACTGGTCAAAAGTTACAGCCTGTTTAGCATCTAGTATTGCAAGCAGGAATATAAAGTAGTCAGTCTGAAGGTCAGACCAGAGATAAGACATATGTCATGTAGTTTGGCGTTGCATAGCTGTCTGCTTGTTTCAAAGTCAGAAAGGATTCTCATGCACCTCCACACTATTTGCAATGCATGGCAAGTTTCCTTTGACAACGAAGTGTGTTCTCCCATTACAAATAGCATGCAGTGACCTGCGCAACTGAATCAGACTGAGACTGAAGCAGGAGCAAATGCGTAAAGACCGCCTTTCCCCACACACTGTTCTGATCAGCTAGGGCTATTTTTACTAGTTACATAAAAACAGCTGTATAGCACCAAACTATGCAACAAATGTCACCACCAGTTTGGCCCTGAGGTAGACAAAAATGGTATTGTATATTATACCATCATAGTATTAATAATGTGTTGTTGATATTGCATAATGTTAAAATGCATAGGCTCTATGAATATTTTACTATTGCACCACCTGACTCAGTTTCCATCTAATTTATAACTGTGAAGTCAGTTCTCTTCATTTATGAAACCACTGACAAAGAAAATAGCTGAAAACAAGACTAATCTGATACTAATCATTATAAAACCTAGAGACTTTTATTTGGACACAAATATTGGAAATACTTCCAGATGAAAATCATTCCGTTGCACCAGAAATCAATTGGCAAGTGAAATGCATTTTTGAGGCAAGTTCACTGCCTACATTTAGTAGACTATGTTAATTTTTCAGATACTGCAGTATTATTATAGCCAAATGTGCTGGAGCATGAATACCTCTTATAATGTATAAGTCTGAGCAAACTGCTTCCATTAGCCTGCCAACATGTAACGTCACACTCAACATTCACGTTGCTCTTCACATATAAGAAACATGCTTTAGAACAAAATAGTACTGATACCCAGTTTTATTCTTTTGAAGGATAAAAGTAGCATGAAATGTCCCATTATGACACAAAAACAACACAAGCAGCCTTAATAAATCAACTCTTTAAAGATCTGATCAATCCGTTTTAACAAAGCATATTAAAAAATAGACACATGTTAATACCTACAGTATCTGAGCTTCCTGTTTCAGTTCCTAGATAGGCAGGAGGCATTTGCACTTTGCTAAGCACTTTGAAGCATGTCCTTAAGGCGTGGGTGAGCTCTGGTAAACTAAGAGTGTCCATGTTTTCAAGGAGAGATTGCACCAGGCAGCTGAGCATCTGTGGCAGGTAAAGAGACTGCACTTCCGAATAAAGCTCCTACAAGAATAAGGGATTCCAAGTAAGCAAATAATTAAGGGTGTGGCACATTTCATTTATTAATTGATTCCTATGTACTTTTAAAGAAAGATTTCCAAGAATTTAGAGAGATCCTAGAATAGTTGCTTTACTGTAGCACAAAGAATGATGAAAGAACATAGTCTAGCTTAGACATTGTTAGGCAATGTTAATTAAGGATATGAAAATGTATTTCCAGAATATTTCAGAACTCCCCATTATCTGGCATAAAATCTCACCATAAATGTAAAATATGCTTAGTGAAGGCTTTGCCACATTTCTTTATAGATATGTAACACTCAGCAGTGAGGAAAATCAAAATACATGACACTTGACAAGTAAAAATTTGATTTTGAGGATTTTTAATTATTAATATTGGCAAGGCTCTGAATGCAAAACTAAACAAGTTCACTTACCAATGGTATCACATCTAAAAGAAATACCAGTAGTGTGCAGAGTTCTGAAACAGTTGCAAGGGTGGTAGCATTCTTAGTCGGAAGTTGTGTCTGCATAGACGTACTTCTGCCAATGAAAGGAAAGCATTCATTAGAATTTTACTGTGTTGATCATATTATTTGCTCGCTGCATTTAGTAGAAATGCGGTTAAAACATGTACTAATATATATGATACAGCAGCACACACAGTTTAGAACTATAACTGGCATTAAATTCCTCAAAAACAAACAAACAAACAACAACGAGTGAGGGTTCTCATATTCAAAACTGGATCTCACTTAAAAATAAATCTTTCTAGTTATTTTCCACTCCAGATAATCTCTTGTCGGATATAAAAACTTGCCACAATTTATAGGAATACTATACTCTGGATGTTCAATTTATTTAATGAAACATGAGTGATAGGCAAATAAAGAACTTCAGCTGATATTTGAATTATAGGGTGTGATAGTAGCCAATCTCACATTTATTTCAACCAGTTATTAAAGAATTTCACAAGGTATATTTTTCATACTCTTAAAATTGTATAATTCAGTACCTTAAAGTACTGCTGAGGGACTCCTAACCAACCATTAAATCTGGTACATAGTTGAACACCCTAAGAATTTTAGTTATCACTGAAACTCTCAAGCTTCACAGTTAGAAACAGTAAGTTTACAAGCTTAGCTTGGAAGGATCTCATACACAAGGTTATATTACATAACGAAGTATCTGTGGTAAACAGAAAGTCTAGACTCCTTGAGAAAAGAGAAACTTCAAAAGGATGATAATGTGGTCTAAATATAACAGTTTTAATGCACTTCAATAAATGTTCTTCAAAAAGCCTCTCTTTGGGAGAATGTACAGATATTTTATGACAATTAAGCATTTTAGTACAAGGGCTACTTTCTCCTTAATTTTAGGGGGCAGCAGTAAAACTGATTTTACTTGGTCTCTCCTTCAAGATCAAGGCTCCCTACCACTAAGTTAACTTTTATTCAAAAGGACAATTGAAAGAAGAAAAGTTAACAATTTTAAAAAATAATAAACTGCATAATAAATTGCACAACTGTATGTCAGCATATGCCCTCACAGTATGAAAAGGAATCAGCAAAGCTATGAAGTGTTAATTAAACTAGCTCTTTTAATTCATCAGACTTCAGTCTCCCTCAGTCCAGATCCTTCTGTACAAAGCAACATTATATGATGTATAGCTACCTGAAGCAGTCTTCAAAACATCTGGTCATATAATCCCAGAGAAAATCTGTGCTTAAGGATGTGATCAACAGATTAACCGTTTTAACTATTTCAGATGCATTCTTGTTTTCTTTGATTGCACTAAAATGAAAGAGTAACCAGACATGAAGTAGTGTTCTGAGAGGAAGTGCTCAATTCATATTGTAAAGAAAAATGTAACCTTAAGAGAAATAACCCATTTTCAGATATGATAGTGCCAAAGCTTGGAATTCAGATTAAAAAAGTAAAGTGAATCTTACAGCCCATTTCTCCTCTAATGTTTAGGCCAGACACACGGCCTCAGTGCCAATCCTCTTTCATATACCTAACCTCCTCATTTTTGCATTCAGACAAAATGGAAGGTTATTGTGGTACCACCGTTATCAAACCTGTGCTGTCACAGCAGCATTCCAGGTTGGTAGGTCAGGGAAAATAAATGTCAGGGGAAATGCATGTTTCTTAGGTTACTGCTGTGGAGGCTTATGATAGCATCATAAATGTGAACAATACAGTTCTCATCAAGATAAAGATGTTTTCACAGGATTCTTGCCCTTGAATGCAGGTGATTGTCTAACAGAAGCCCTGCAGCAAATCTTCCCTGTGCCATCAGTAGGGCTATGGCAGGACCTTAACTAGGAGTGGGCTGAGCAGGAGTGGGCAGTTAAATGTGCTTAAGAACTGAACTGTGGTCAGTGACATAATAATTGTGGTCAGCAGAATATCAGCACAGGTATGGCAAATGCAAAGGCAGTGACTGATCAGGAAAGGCATCCTGGGGTGGTGGAGGACAGCTCAACTTAATGAAAATGTTGACCCAGTGAGCAGCTGCTTATACAAAACCTTGGTGTGCCTGCACTTAGAATATTATGTACATTTCTGGTTGCTTTGCCTATTATTCAGGATATTACTGGACATTACTGAGTTAGAAAAACTGGGGAGCAGGGAAACTAAAATATGAAGGGATGGAGCAACTCCTCTATAAGGAACAATTATAATAGCTGGTTACTTAGCTTAGGGGAAAAAAGCAAGTAAGGGGAGATATTACACAGGTGTTTAAAATTATGCGTGGTAAGGTAGAAGTGGAGGAGGAGACATTTTAAAAAAGATAAAGGAAGTACTTCTTCAAACAATGGAGAGTTAAAAAGGAAGTTCCAATTTGGATGACTTTAAAAGGGGATTGGAGGAGGAGACTATCAGTGGCTAATAGCCTTTATATGTTTATATTAGCCTATATATGTTTGCTGAGGAGCCTGGGGAGACAGAGATCTTGCACCTATCCTGTTTGAGGGATCCTGTGTATGGCTGGGTTGCCATCATGTGAACAGAGTGCTAGACATTAGGCTTATCCAGCCTAATGAAACATTGGGATTATCCAGGAGGGACTTCCTTATGTTCTAACTTCCATAAAGGCAAATAATGTACATAAGAAGAGCCATTATCTGGCCAAGGATCCATCTTGTACAGCATTTGGTACATACAGTGAACAGATACAAAAATATGAAGATGCATGTTTTATTTATTATTTAGTTAGTTAAAACATTTATATGCTGTCCTATTGCAGAAGCCTCAGGACGGCTTAGAAGAATAAAAATCCAACATAAATAACAATATAATATTATAACTAATGTAAAAACAATCTAGAGTAATACAACTGACTACAATACATCCTCTCTTCATTAAAAGACGGAAAAGAAATAAAGAATCAAGACATTATTTTTATCAAGCAAGAAAAGTTTGAATAATGAAGGTTTATGGTTTACCTTATAAGGGAATTGCCAGTCTGGGTATAGCTGAGTTTAAGATCAGAACCCAATATATCCTTGCAATAACTGTAGAATGCTCTAATTACTTCAAGAAACAAATCAGCAATAACTGGCGGTCCTGCAACAAAAGGTAAATAAATTAATCCAGTGAACAAAGCCTGATTATAATTAGTGCTAAGATCTTATTTTAGAATGCATGTACAGAGAATATAAATCCAATATATTGATTCTACATAGGGGTTCCATGTAACAATGTAGATAATTTTCAAGCTTTATTCTAGTTTCACTGGTGTAATTAAGAACTGGAAAATATGACCAGAATTTGTGCCCCGAATGCCAGTGTTTTGAGAGCTTCAGCCGTGGGGCAGTACAGAAATAAAATAAATAATGCTGCTCAATGAAAAATGGTTTTAATTCATTCATCAGAAGCTGTAGATTCTTAGCTAAAATGCTCACAAAAATAAACTGCTTCAACTTTAAGCTGTCACTGCCACAAACAACAACTCTTCTGCAAGGCTTGCTGTAAATGCTCTAGAAACATCGGTATTTTTTCTTGCTCACTGCAGCAATTCATATAGTGAGCTACAGGGCCATACATCATCACACACTAATTTATAAGCATCACTCCATCATCACCCAGAGTTCAAACACAGCAGCAGATAAGTTTATTACTCCCATTTCCCATTATAAGCAAGCTGTCACTGCATTCCTGAACATTGAAAGAGTGAAATAAATGTTGTTTATGTAGCACTGCATAAGCTTTACATGAAAAAGGGGACAAAAAGCATTGAGTATACAGAAAATCAGGACTACCATGAATTGATTGTAGTCAAGTCATAATATGAATTTTCATGTAAAGCTGAAATGTGACTGTTACTCTTGGAAATTTGCATATCCTTGACACTTCCTTCAGAGTGGGTAACTGATGAGCTTTGATTAAGATTGAATGAAAAGCAAAAGGTAATGATTTTGGTCCATAAGAAGCCCCTCAGCCTACAAAATCCACAGTCAGGCTATGAAAACAACAAAGGATTATACCTGCAATAAACTTTAGCCTATTTTCTTTAATTTTTTTTAAACTGAAAGGAAATCTTGTTTGCTAAATCATATACACCAATTTCAAGCAAGATTTTAACAAAAGGTTCACTATACCAAAAAAAAAAAAAAAAAATTCAAGGTGTTGATCAAGGTTGTTTCAACTAAAATACTGCACTGGCATATGAAATAATGGTAGCATTTGATACATAGCAGGATTTTAGAAGTATCAGCAACTTGCTTTTACCAATGGAATGCACTTCTGACTTTCATAAGAGAGAACCATAAAAAGCAGGTATACAAAGCACCTTCCAATTCAGCCACAAAAGATTCTCCAAAAGCAATTTCTTCTAAATGTTTAGAGAACTACAAAAGGCAGCTGCAAGAAGTAACCAAGCACTGTCAGCCAGTGGCCACAAACCTGATATAGACAAAACTATTTAGTAATATTCAATATTCACTGCATTTCTTGGAGGCAAACTGAAGTCTTGTTCATGATCTGAACAGAACATTTTATCTGCACTCATAGAAACATGGTTGGAAGGGACATCTAAGGTTATCTAGTACAATCTCCTACCAATGGAGTCAATTCACAGTTACAGCATCACCAATAGGTGACCATCCAGCCTGTTCTTAAAAGCCCAACACCTTCAGTTCCACTATCAAACAACTCGTACCATCAGGACATTCTTCCAAATGTTTAGCCCCTTTCTTGTCATCTCATTCCATTGGGTCGGCTCCTACTCTCTGAAGCAACAGAAAACAAATTTGCTTCACTGTCTCTGTGTCAGCCCTTCAAATATCATATGATCATTATCATATTGCCACTTAATCATATTGCTAAACATAACTCCTGCAATTCTTCCACACAGGACTTCATTTCCAGGCCTTTCATAAGCTTTCCTCTGCACACAGTTGATATACTTCTCAAATTGCAGTGTTAGATATCCCATCTAGTTCTATATCATGTGCAAATTTGATGAGCATCACCTCTGTTCCTTCACTGGAGTTTCTTAGGTTGCTGTTCCTTCACTGGAGATACAAAATTGGCCCAGGACAAGAATAGTGTGGCATCCCATTTTTCACTTCTGTCTAGAATGATAACCATGCTTTGGATATGGTCTATCAATAAGCTACTAATCAGCTGTTTGAGTTGGTAAGCTAGAATGGCCATGTTTATGTGTAGTGACTAAATATGGGGTAAACAACCCATAGTTATTTGGTCACCCTGGAGTGAGTGAGTTGTCTCCCTTGCACTCTCTGCTTGCACTTTGCATCCTGTTTATTAAACAACCCAGGAACACATCAACTCTAAGTTGTTTGATATATCCAAACCCAAATGGTTGTTGAAGGACAAACAACCCAAAATTAGAATTGTTGGGTTAAAACTGTATAGTTTCTCCCTCAATGACTTATATTCTAGGTTTATACATAACTACCATTGTTCAAGGATAGGCTAGAAATGCACATGGTAGGCATGTTGTGAGTGGAGCCGGCTGGAGTTGGGGGTCAGACTAGAAGGCTCAGGAGGCCCCTTCTGACTTGCTCTGTTTCTATGTTTCTATAACAACGAGCACCCCAGAAATGGGCGTTCCTGGGTTGTTTGCAAAAGTGACTGTGAAGCAGAAGTGGCAAGCATGCTGGAGGTGGCAGGCTTGCTCACTTTGGTGTAACCCCAATTCACAGTGATAATCTATAGTTACATGCAACCAGGTCAGTGTGCCATGAGTCACCTGAATTCCAACACACTGTAGTTCATTATACTGATGCACAGGCTTTCTTTAGAGACTTGCCTCTTACCTATTTCAGGTTTGTCAAGCAGGCTTATGAGAATGCGGAACGGCTTCAAGTATGCATGATACTGTTCTTCCAAGTCAGATTCTTCAAGTTTTTGCTGTAGTATTTCAATCAATCCCTGTTAAACAACATGAACATATTGATATGAAACCCATATTGATACAGAACTCAATATTGATATGGAACCAAAATACTGATATTTTGGTTCCATATTTGGACCCAAATATTCATATGGAACGCATTATTGAAATGGAAACCTGAAGCCCATAGAAAACAATTGATTTTATTCACTGAAGTTAGTCAATGTTTAATATTCTTTCTACCAATAAAGTCCACCATGTTTTGTGTGTGCATGTACAAGTGTTGGGGAAGAGTGCAGTAGCAGAACTTAGGTTCTGTAATCTCTGTAAAGAAATATGTTGTTGTCATGATTGTACTGTTGAGAAGAAAAGAGAGTACCACTGGTGTGAATGGTTGCTTTTTAGGATAAGGCAAGTTACCTTACACAGGGAGTGTGTTACACTACATCAACCAAGATCTTGAAAGCTATATTAATATACATACCTCAACTAAAAGATCTTTGGAATATTTTCCAAAGAAGTAGAGGGCATGGTCTTCTGAAGACATGGAAATAGAAGAATCTGGCACTAAAGTAACTCCTTTGATATCAGAACCTAAAAATTAACCAATGCATACAGTAAATATAAAAATAGCTTATATAGGATTTAGTCTTAATATATTTTAAAATTAATGGCACAAAGAATTATGGCACAGTTGGTACAGATTTTATCCTCTTGACACCATAACAACAACAATACTCCTTGCCATCATGATTTTCTCAGTGATGTGCACTGTGGAACTGGAATCCTGGTTGTGTTTTGTTGTTGTTTCCTTTTAATTCTGCTGGCCACCAGCTATTGGGTAGCATAAAAGTGTAATTAATTAATTAATACTGCACCTCAGCATTAGGACTAAAGATACCATACTAGCATCAACCAGCACATGCATTACAAAGCTAGCGGTTTCTGGGACACTGGGGGAAAGTAGCAATTTGCCACTGCTTTTCCCTAGTGCTACTTATGTTGCACAAGCATTGGATTACTCTAGCACAGTAATTAACACAGTAATGGAGTATTACCTCTTTACTCCATTGGAAGGAGGACTCACCTATAAAAAGCAAGCATGGCACAGCCTCTAACTTTCTCTGGTCTTTTCCACACACACACACACACGCCCTGTTTTATACTGGAAGGGACAGAAACCTACCATGTCACCTTCTACTAGGTATAACATAAGGATGCTTCCTGTGAGGTATGTAAATGAGAAGAACTTGTTTATTAGCACACACACCATCAAGAAAAATGTGCATGAATCACTTGGGCTTCCATTGCACACAATGATTCGCAGTAGTAGCTAAGTCCACACACTAGCTAGTAGTAGCTAGGTCAGAACTTGAACAGAGATTAACATTTCAACTAGATGCCTGCCAGTTGTTTCAAAACACATGCAAGCTTGACATGAGAGCTTAACAGTGATTCCAAATTCCAGAAATCTTTGGTAGCAGAGAACTAGGTGACTTGGTTATCTTCCTGTGAAAGCTCACTGTGTGGCACAGGAGAGTATGTTCACACAGTGGGCCATTCACTAAAATAACTGAAGACATCCTTGCACGCTCAGAAATTGCTTTGAAAACATACTGTCAGGTCATCCTGCTATATTACTTGCTATAAGCAAATCCATCAGCAATTTCGTACACACCACTGTCAGAAGTTGCCAGTGTGCTGCTTTAATATCCTGACATATAACAAGCATTTTATATAGGTATAACACATTCTGTAATGGGCTTTTCATTAATTTAATTAAAATCCATGGCACTTAAAAGTTGTATTTTAAGAATGCAAATTCAAGCCCACTAAATTCACATCACAGAAATGTACACAAAAGTGGTATGACTCTAATTCATACAGTACCTAGTAACCATGCATATAATCTTCTGTTTAATGACATATCTCTTCTTAAAAGAGTTTGGGCAGCAGCTGAGAGAAGATGGACAATATCAGACCTAGATAATGGAACAGCACTTTCATTGGGATCCTAAAAGAAGTACAAACAAGTCAGTGATGTGCAGAAGAAAGAAAGAAACTATAGAAACAAAACTGTTCAGGTGATAAAACTCTAGCAGACGAATCCTTACTTCACCAACTGTAATTACTCTCAAATATGAAAGAAGCTTAGTAAAGTGTGTGCTAGTGACACCTTATCTGAAGCCCTGGCTTGACTTTGGGTTTTACTTGACTGAAATATTCATGATTATTCCCAAGCAGACATGATAAAAGTAAAGAAAAAGAACACTGTCACTTGCCAACTTCTCCTTTATTGACATGGCCTACACAGCAGTAAATTTAGTCACAGGTAGATGAAGCAAAATGTTCTTTCAGTCACTAGGTGGAGCAATGAGGTACTTCTGTATGACTGCACTGTGTCCCCCACCCCACCCCGCCTTCCCCTTTTAAACAACATAAGCCAGAACACACACACTCAGACCAAGGGTTTGTTTGCTATGTGGTGTGTGGAAGGGGTGGGGCTGGTATTTTAGGGAACAGCTTTATGGCTTCCAGACATTGTCTGATGGGCCATAGGATACTGGGGACAGTGCTCTGCTATTAGGAATTCAGAAATATATACCGCCCCTCCGCCCCACCCCAGCAGCTGGTGCAGAAATAATCTTGGATCATTTACTCACCAGTGAAGAGTAAAATGGAAAGAAGAAGAGAACCACTTCTAAACTGTTTCTTTGTACAAGAACATTTGAATCCAGCATTGACTCACAAAAAGCTTTAATCTGTAGCAATAGTGAAAACAGAAGAATTACTTTTGATGCATCAATGAAGCCACAAAGGTTCTCTATCAGCCCATAGCAGGCCAATTGACTGTATTTGATGGCAAATTTGAAGGATCCGAGCCTTTTAAGTTTGTTTTTCTAATAAACAGAAGCTCTAACAGTTTCATATCATCTGTTTCCATTTCAATGTAACAGTCAAACAATTGACTAGCTGCTATCTGAGTGAAGAAGAAAGAAGGAACCTTGCCCCCACTCAGTACAAGACACAGTGGGGTGTTTCTTCCTGGGTATCTGCTCAGAGTTCTATTCTTACAGTAACTGTCAAAACAGGAGGGATTTCAAATGCATAACCACCAACTGAAATAATTTGATAGCAAATACAAAGTGACAAAAGGTTGGCAGTCTTTTATTTTTAAATAGTACAAAATAACTGGAAGAGTGGTCAAGTTCTTATCTTGAATTCTTATTCTTTTTAAAAATTATTCACGATCAACACTTAATCTATGTTCCTAAGTACTATAGCCTGAGGTATCTGTTGGAGCTTTTGCACTACAAAATATAGTTACATGCTTGAATTGAGAACAGGCAATTTGAGGTCATCCAAATGTTTTGGCCTACAGTTTCCATCCTCCCTCACCATTGTCTATGGTGTCTGACAGGAGCTGCAGGCCAAGTCATCTGAAAGGTCATAGGTTGTGCACCCCTAGCTTAAATCATGAGCTTCTGGTGCTACTGCTGCTAAGTACCCAAGAACTGGTTTTGTGTGTATATTCCCAGACTGTGTAATAATCATGATAGGAAAAGAAGCAACTATTTTCTGTACCCAAACAGCTTGGATAAGCACTGAAGAATCATCAGCCTGCCTCCCTAGAGGCTGTTCTGCCATTACAGTCCACTACAACAAAGAGGTTGCACTCTTACAATGCTTGGCAGAGAAGAGTTAACTGGTCTACAGAGTCCCTGGGAATGCAGCCTGTGGAACTAGTTCAGCGTGATTTAGAATTAAAGGTTGGCAATTATTGAAGAAAGACAAATAATATATAAATTCGGAACTACAGCTAGTATGTAGTTACATTCTACTAACCACCAAATGTTTTCTATGTACAGCAGAAAAATTTTAAAAATGTTATCACTCTAAGGACTTATATTTAATAGCTTGACCACGTAACTTCATGCTATCGGTAAATGCTAAAGAGGAATATCATAACTTGTTGTAATTTGCTGCTGTCATGATCCAAACTAGACAACTTCATAACAGAACTCATTGCCACTAAACTGAAACAGCTGCTATTTGGTGGTTTAGCACCACTGTGTAAAGCTCTAAAATGATACACAACTGGGTTGAAATGGAACATACTGTGGATGACTCATTTAAGCCACTTTGGCCACAAGAGAACTAGGTGCAGGACTACAACTGTAGGTGCCTAATATTGGTAGGAAGCACAGAAGAAAACATAACGCTAGTATGATGAATTTCCCTTTACTAGGTCCTTTCACAGAGGATTTGCTTTGGCTGTGCTAACATGCAAGATTTCAAGCCTTATTCCAGATTATGAGTTCAAGCAACGTAAGTGTAAAAGTAATTCAAAACACAAAATTTGGTACAAGTGATACTACAAAAGAAACATCTTTTTACAAAAAGAAAGGGCAAGTTGCTCCATTGTTTCAAAATCATCTTGTGTGCATTCCCTGAATCATGTGATTTGTAGGGCACATCTGCACATAGCATGTTGCTCCCAGCCTAGAATTGTAAGGGAACTTGCACAGAACCCCATGTGCTAAGGGACTGAAAACTGGGTCCACTAATTTGGCATTTCTGCTTTCATTGGAGGCATGTCAGTAAAAGAAAGGTGAGGTCCCTTGCCAAAGCAATCAGCAGGAAAAGGGCTACCACCTAAATCTCTCTGCACAAATGCCACTTTAGAAACACAGAAACAGAGTGAGTCAGAAGGGGCCTCCTGGCCATCTGTCTCCCGGCTTCAGCCTGCTCCACTCATGGTATGCCTACTTGTGTGCATGTCCAACCTATCCTGAACCACCCTCACCACTGGGGCTTCAACCACCTCCCATGGAAGCCCATTCCATACCCTAGGGGTCCTAACTGTCAGGAAGTACTTCCTGGCATCCACCCTAAATCTTGGTTCCCTGAGCTTTCTTCCACTGGAATGAGTCCTGCCCCCTTCAGCAGGGGAAAAAAGGTCATGACCCACCTCTGCATGGTGCTTCCTCACATAACAGATCCCCCTGAGTGTCCTCCTCTCAGGGCTGAAAAGACCCAGCTCCCTCAGTCTCTCCTCATATGGTGAAAAGGGGTAAAATGTTACATCCAAAGATGGCAACATTACTTTCCCTGGGTATATTAGTAAATCTATTGTTTGTTCATGTTTCTCTCATTGTTTATGTACAAACACATGCAAGAAACTCTGCTGTGTGACTTACCATGAGCTTAGCATCCGTGCCCAGCATATACTTCTGCTGTTTCCCTGATAATTCTCTGTTGATATGACTAACAACAAAAAGGGATGCAGGTAGCCTTATAGAAGGACTAACTAGGACACTTCCCCACAGGGCAGAATAGAACACTTCTTTCCCAATTACTAGGGACAGCTTCACCAGCAAGGCATCTGTTCTGTTAAAAAAAGGATAAAAGAAATGAAGGTGAGCTAGGCATTCAAAACATATCACTTCTTTGATTTTCACCAGTCTCTAGGCTCCAGTCAAAGTGTTGGTTTCAAGATTTAAATCCTAAAATGTCTTAGAACTTGGGTACCTTAGATGCTGCCTTTTCCCATATGTTTCTTCCTGCATTTTTTGATCCCCATCCAAGGCCTCACTCCAGATTCCCCAGCTAACAGGCAATGGGAAGTTATGAGAAAGAAAGGCCTAATTTGTGGAATGTCCTTCCAACTGAGACTTGTCAAGTCCCAGCACTATATGCATTAAGGCACTAAAGCATGGCTTTTAAGAGATTAGGCTGAGAAGTGTGGTGTACACGCACATGTGCCAGGTGTACATGATGTGAATTCTGTTCCCTGTCGATTGTGGTTTTAAATTGCTGTTCTTCCTAATCACATGAAATGTTGGCTTGCTATATTAACCCTGCTTTATATGAGCACAGGCTTTATATTCCTTATGATCTTTTATTACTATAACTTCATTTAAAAAAAAAGGTAGGGTATATATTTTTTAAATTAAAAAAAGATTTTGTTCAGGAGGATCATAAATACCGAGCTAAAAGGAGTTTTTCATGTTGTTCTGAAATGCCTTTTAGTGCAGGAATATTTGCATACAAAGATTCCTCCCCACCTGGAAGTGCCCATTTCTTTACCCTCAAAATCCTCCAGCAAGAAGCATTTTCTGTTGAATTACTATGCCCCATTCCAAATACAGAAAAAAGATATCTGAGTTACAAGTCCATAGGGTCCTGTCCTTTCTGTTTTCTTTTGATAGTTTATCTCCCCTATCTCTAGAAGCTGTGGAAAGACAAGCCCTGCCCCAACACAACATCAGTGAGTAACTAAATGTGGGACTCCTATTAGACAGGGAAGTATTAAAAGTAGGAGAGCTTTGCCTGCCACAGAAGCAGGAGATAAACCCACCTGCCTAAAAGCAGAAGATACCAACCTGTCATAGATGTCTGACCCTTCCTCCAATCCAGGGAGAAGACCAATTAAGAAGGCTTGAAGGCTTGGCAAGAGGCACTTTTGGAGTGGAAGAAAATACTTCTCGTACAGACCAAGAAGAACTGGCCTCACAGACATTGCTGCATTTGCCAGCAGGGGAAACAAGCCAGAGCTGCGGAGGGAGAGATAAATTTCTGTGGTACTGTTTTCTTAAAAGGAAACCCTGTTGGCTGAACTTGCATCTAAACCAAACATAGTGAGCCACAGACTTGTGAGCTCCTATGCCAGTGTGGCCATGAAAAGTTTGGAAACTTTTGCTTCCCTTTTAGTTTAACCACAGAGTTTTGTGTCATCCAAGCCTAGATAAAGTATGATTAACTTAAGTATAGTTTATGAAATTGGTTACTTTCATTGAAGCATTGTTAAGCATAACTATAAATTAAGGTTCTGACAAAATGCTGATTAATCTAAAGCTGAAACAGAAGCTTTGGGTTTTTCCTCATAGCTGCAGTGCAGGGAGGGCAGACAGCAGAATGCTGCGGCTCATCCTTGGCAAGTGTTTGGCAAGATGTGTAAATGTAGCCCCAGCACATTATGTATGTCCCATTGAGTTCAATTCAGTTTACTTCCAAGTACGTAGATATAAGGCTCCAGTCTCGGTTAAACTTTGTCATTTAAAAAACAGAACAGAGCAGGAAAATGCAGGAAGCTTACCTGTACAGAAATAAGTCCTTTGCCAGCCATTTTGTCCCAACTATTTTAAATATTATTTCATAGGTCTCTAGTGCTTTTAGATGCACTCCACTAGGTAAAGCCGGGTGTAAACATTGAGACAACCTTTTGCTGATAATTAAACGTCTTGGTAAAAGAGAGTACTTCAGGTTACTCTGAAGTGCCTGTAAAACAGTCATAAGAATTAATTGCTCACATCATCTTTAGCCAGTAAACATATCAACGCTAAGCTTCTACTTAATAGAAGCACAAATGAGAATTCCATAAGTTGCATTCTATATAACTGTATAAACTTCTCACCAAGTGCCTAGGAATATCTTGGAAACATCCAAAATTAATATACAACTTCATCATACAAATAAATCCTGTCTCATCATTCAAAACCAATTACAAGATTAGTGTCATACCAGTCCTTTCCCTTCCCACAATCCTTCAAAACAGAATAGGGCAAAAGGTTTTCAAATAACAGTCTTCATTATGTCAAAGCCAGTCAGTCAGGCTGGTTCTGTAATATAAAAGAACAGTATTGCAGAATTCGTGACCACTGGCACAAGCAAAGTCAGCCTGCTGTCCACTAGGGAAATGTGGCTTGGAGCTGTCTTCACCTTCAGGGTTGTGTCTGGATCTGGGCTGTTCGGGGGCTCCAAACAGAACCACCACCACAGTATTTGCAGGACCAGTCCTAGATGCTGAGGGAGCTCTCAGGTTCCTGATGAGTACCAGCTGGGAGACATGAGGGAAGAGCTATATAAGAGCAAGCTCTACTCTATATAGCTGTCTGAGCTATACAGGTCTTTCTGCTTGCTGTGGTTCTGGTTCTTGCCTCACCTTGTCTCAACTTGCCTTGTCCTGTTTTGTCTGGCCCTGCCTTGCTAGCTCACTTTGCTTGACTCTGACTTCTCAATCCTGCCTGATTGTCATATCTCAAAGTACCTGCTCTTTGGTCTGTTGTCTTGTCAGCTCTTGACATATGGCTAGTTTGTGACTGCATCCTTGCCTTGCTCTGACACATACTTCTAGTTCCTGACTTGCCTGTTTATTTACCATGCCTCTGCATCTGATCCAGCCACCTAGTTCTGAGTGATATTTAAACTCTGTCTTGCTTCCTGTTCCCCTGGTCCCAGTGCCTCTGTCTTGAATCCTGCCACTCATGTCCCTGACCCTTACAGGTGGTTCTTGCTGCTTATAGGCCAATTATTGAAAATATCTGGTGCTTCTCAACTGGTTTGTCCCTTTTACTATATGTCATACAACTGGACTGATTAGTTTACTCCTACCCATCTCTGAATGTTCAATTGAGTTCCCTGCAGAACATGAAACTTTCTGGTTCTTCTCAGCCCTCTGAATTATTTCTTGGCATTTGGCACTTGCTTATTTCTTGGCCTTGACATTTCAGTGAAACATGCCAATCCCACCTCTTCCTATAGTTCTGATTCTGAATCTGAGGCAACAACCTTTGAAGCATGTATTTTGTGAGAAAAGGACCTAATCAGCAACCTTAAAAATAATACACATTTCAGCAAGTTAATCTCAGCAGAAAGAGCAACTGTGGTAACAGAAAGCTTGCCTAGGAGTAAATGAAACAGAATTTAACTTAATGGCTATCGTGGCCCATTTAAAGGGATGTTTAGGTATTACAACTCTAGATGTGCTGTGACACAGCTGGATATACAGGTTAGAAAAATCTGCTGTTTTCTTTGTAAGAATAGGGGCTAAGTGGAAGCACAAGACAGGGAATAAGCCATTTATTAGCAAACTATTGTCTGTTAATTAATATCCCATTCACAAGACAAATTGTGTATAGCCGCTTTGTGTTTGTCATTTCCTACAACCAAATTTATTATCTGATTAGAGAGGCATTATCATGTGACAAAACCAAAAGTATTTATTCTATAATTATTGGATACATCAGCAAATGTTTATTAAGGAGCTTTCATTGCTAGAGATGTAATTCAGGAATTGAAACACTCACATGTTCTATGATGGCTAGTTATTAAAGATGCACATATTTGATTAGGCCATATCCCTAATGTGTGGAATCTATATCAAATGTTATAAACATGAAGTTTGGCTAAGATAATTGAAATATAGCATTGGAAGGACAAATCCACCCCCAACTTACAGCAATGGATAGTTGTGTGTTCTTCACCAACATTTGAATTGGTTCTGTCTCAATGGAAAAGCAAAGAAGAAAACTTCCATTTAATGTGGTCTAATTTCACTGAATTGCTCACTTTTTAACACACACACACACACACACACAATTTTTTCTTCTTTCTCTTAATTTCTATTCATATATTACATATATTAATATAATAGATACCAGGCCTGTAGTCTTTGTAAATTTAGATTATACTGCCATCCAATGCTCATAATACACTGAAGTTGATACTTGTATTTTTGAATCCTCTTTCTATGAGAATTAAAATGTAGAAGTTCCATTTATTTTTGGAATCAACTTTTGGCTAGATGCCTGACTACCTTAGTGCAACCTTGCTCTGGTCATCCAGTGGGAAGGCTTGAGGCCAGGCCTTCTTTCTCCATTTTCTTATGGTTTGTCTTTATGCCTACTGTGTTAGCCAATTTGTCCTTGGTGTGCTGCACACAGGGAAAGACAAACCTGCTTGCACTCCTTTTCCCTCCCTGATATCACAAGACCTCTGTCTTTTCCTTCTCCCTCTCACAATTAGCTTTGGGACCCCAGTTTACTTGGGCTCAGCTCTTACAATATTCTCAAGTTCAGCCCAACCGAATCACATGCTTTCCATGCATAAGCAGCCCTCAGCGTGGACAGACACAGAATGGATTTTTAATCCTTTGCCCCACATTTCAGATGCTATGCAAATAGCTATTTATTGTATTTTGCTCTGTGCTTTACCTATTTGATACACCCTGGATTGTTCATTTTATACACACTAACTGAATCCATATTAGAATTTGCAGAAGTGCCTTACTATGATTATTGGAAGAATCTAATTCCCCATGAGTGATGATATGTGCATGCTGATTTCTGTTAAAAAAAAAAAATCAATCCTGCTGTTTTAATAGTGACTGTATGGGTTCTTTGTAGCAAATTTATCTAGATACTGTACAACCAACATTAAAAAGACAAACACAGATGTATCTGTATATGCATGCACAGAGAGGAGATTTGTTCAGTTCATACACAAGTTTGAGAGTCAAAGTTATACAGCTTTTGCAAACATGCAGACAATTATAGTATGGTTGTATGCAAATGAAGAAAATCTTCAAAACTGTTTTTTTAGAAGTTTAAATCCAAGAAATAATCTTGATTTAGTGGAATTTAAGATATTATGCCAACACAATATTTTGCATTATGATTCATAAATTAGGCTACTATTTACTGCAGCAGTTTGGGCTTTAGTCGGTTTACTTAAAATAATCGGAGCAATTCACACACCCTTAACAAACACTTTACACCTCCATCTAATGAATTCTACATTTTATAGCAAAGTTACTTATTAAAAGTTATAGTAAAATAGAATGCAAATTAAAGTAACTTTGCATATTTACTATGCAGTAGGTCCCCCTTTTTGCAAAGAGGTAAAAATGTGATTGAGCATAATAGGCCATTGAGCCTATTCTGTCTTGCTGAGATCAACCCCAGTTTAAGGGTGAAAAAGAAACAATATTCTTGGTCAAATACCTAAAATGGACCTACATAGTACTGACCAACACCTACTTGCATTGCTTAGTGTTCTGGCCTCACTCTGGGCCAATGGTGGGGGGAAAACTTTTGTGTAATCTTCAGGTGTACATTTATACCTAATCTTTCCAATTAGTTCAAGGATAGAGGACTCTGGCCTGTGAAAGCTTCTGCCACAATACAACTGTTTATTTATTTGGTATTTATGCAAATGAAAATAACACTCTTGACTGTTTAACCTTGGCTACTGAATAGTATGGCAATAGTGCTCATTCACTGAGTACACCCATTTAGCAATCAAGATGGGAAACCTTTCAGAGATCCATGGAGAGAAGGAAACATGCAGAACAACTTCATTGCCAAGCAAAACCTATTTTTTCCAGTCCATTCAGGAAGAATTCAGGCTTTGGCATCAATGCTGTAATGCGGATCTCAGCAGATGAAAAAACAAAAGTAGAGCCAGCAAACAATACAGCTAATGCTTCTTCCAATTGTAAGCTGCAGATAAGAGGATGTAGTACCAGTAGGAAAGGAAAGTCGCATTTGTGGGAGCGTAAAGCTGGGTGTGACAAAAGCAGAACGGTTCTATCAAATTAGTAGGTAACAATCTGTACCATGTGTAGAATACCTCGGTTACACCAAGTATTTTCAGCAACAATTACACGAGGACTAGATTACATGTTTTTAGGACTAGATTACATGTTTTACAACATTAGTATGTTGTAGCACACCTGACCCAAGTTTTCTAAAAATTAAAGCAAATACAAAACAAGATTCCAAAGCCATAATATCTAATCTTGCATAAAACCACCAGCAGAAAATAAGTACCACAAAGCTCACAGGTACGTCACAATAGCAAAGATCTGAAAACTTAACGAATATCCAAAGATCTCCAAGGAAAAGAAACCAATATAAGGTTTCATGACTGAAATGTCTGGGTAAATAAAGAGGTTTTCATCTGGCACCGAAAGGACTACAACATGGGCAACAGGTAACCCTCACTGGGGAATCACTGAATGATTTTCTCTCTCATAGCCACACACTGCTTACTGTTTTCACAACACTTGGACAAGGGTCTAGGGAGATATTTGCGGGAGGAAGAAATCCTTCAAGCACTGGATTGGCTAACCCTAAACCATTTAGGCCTTTAAAAGTTATTACCAGCACTTTGAATAGTTCTAGAAATGGGCTTAGCAAGCGTCAACATGATAGGAACATGTTGCCCAGATCTAGTTCATAACCTTGCTTCCATATTTTGAATTGGATGAAGTTGCAGGCTGTTTCATTGCCCAGTAACTTCAGCTGAGAACTTACCAGAACTTGCTTTACTATAGCATGCACGCACACCCACAAACACACACACTTTCCAGTCTCACCACCTCAATAGATCTGTGCAAATCTAGGGACATTTTGATGCCCAGAACTGAAAAAGAGTTCCATTCTCAAACCAGGCAGGAAAAGGGGGCATTGCTATTGTAGTTACAATTGTTTTAACGGTGTATTTTAAGCTATACTTTTAAATATATTAAACTGCTTATAATTATATTATAATAAGCAGTATATATTTACTCTTATTATATTTATTTATATCCTACCTATTCCCAATAATTGGACTCAAGTTGGCTCACAATATTAAACATATTATGAATACATAACTAAAAGTATGTCACCAACAGACCCCGTCTGAAGAAACTCAGAGGGGATCTGTTGGCAACATACAGGTATGTGAGGGGGTGTCACACGGAGGTGGGTAGAGGCCTGTTCTCCCCTGCAGAGGAAGCAGGACACGCTCCAACGGAGCAAAGCTCAGAGAACTCAGGTTCAATTTGGATGCCAGGAAGTACTTTCTGACAGTTAGGACCCCGAGGGTATGGAATGGGCTTTCACGGGAGGTGGTTGAGGCCCCATCGGTGAGGGTGTTCAAAGATAGGCTGGACATGCACGTGGTGGGCATGTTGTGAGCGGAGCCGGCTGGAGCTGGGGGTCAGACTAGATGGCCCGGGAGACCCCTTCTGACTCGCTTTTTTTCTATGCTTCTAAATCTTAGATCAACTGCCAGTCAGAGAGAAAACATATTGCCTGTGAAGGAAGAGGAGCTGTGGAGTAAGGTCATGGACTGGATAGGAAATTCTTGTGGTACTGATGTTTTTCATGACTGCTTTAGCCAGGAAAACAAATCGCTTAACAAGACCCCTCTTTACATGTTTTAAGAAGTGGTGAAACTCACCACTCAAGAAGAAAACAGGCCACAATTGGTAGCTGCAACTCTGCTGTCATGAAATTTCATAGCTTAACAGGCATCCACGCAAACAGTTTGAAGTCATGCAGCAGGGAGGCCTTCATGCATACAGTTGTTCGCATGCAAGCTTTCATGCTATTCTGAACCTCAATCACATAGGCTTCCACAGCACATGGAAACCTAACATGCAGCTGTGGGTGAGGCTATGAGATATGATATCAGGAGATACCCTGATCACATGATGAATATCACCATTTCTAATCACTCCTGAACAGGACACCAATTTCAGCAGCTATAGGACCTTTGTAAATAATACACCAAGGCAGTAATGGTTCTCAGCTATGAACACCTGCAGTTTGCAGTACAACAGCATCAGTTGCAGTCTTAATGGACAGTTTGTAGTTACTGAACTAACCATGGTTTGTTAGAGTGGCTGGGTTCAGACAGCATGATCGTTCACTGTTCAACATCAACCCATGGTTCAACTCATACGCAGCACTTGGGTGTGTTACCACATCATCTGAACCCAGACAAGTCTCACTTAATGTTCCTTTCTTCCACTTCCTACTTTTTCCCCAAATCTTCAGATCTTTTAAGTATGTTGTTAGTTTTTGAACTAAAATGAAAATAATGTTGTTCAAAATGATAAAAAGCATTAATGTACCAACCATGCAATTACACATCTACCATGATTCTGCTTTTTTCACCATGGAATAATATTCTCTAAACTGTTAAACAGAGACAATAAAATATGTTTGTTACTGATCAGAGATTTTAAACCAAGTATATCCTTGAGCCAAAATAAAGTGCTTTTTTGTTTTGAAATGCTTAAGTTCTGATATATTACTATAAAGCCCCTGGTAAAATCCATTATCTAGCAGTGGTTCCCAACCTTGAACCACCACATTTTGGACTTCAGCACCCATCCTCTCCAGGAGCATGTCCAATGGTCAAGGGATGGTTGAAACGGTCCAACATCTGGGGGTTTAAGTTTTGGACTCGGTGAACTAAAGATTCTACTGCAGTTCCTATAAAACTAAGAATGCCTTTAGTCTGGTAGTGTTTTTTAAAACTATCTGCTACTGCTATTCGTACAAGGAGAAAATAAGTACAAAGGAGCATGTGCAATCCAGACTTCTCTGAATGTGTCATACTTTCCGTAACATTTCCCAGCATAAATGTGTGTAAAATGTTGTTATGCTACCACAGGACTCATTCAACTTTCTTTTTTAACTTTATATGGCTAAATTCCTTCAATAGAATTGAATTGCTGCATGAAGATCTCCTGCTCATTTGTATTTTTCTAGAGAAGGTGGATCTAGTTTGTTAGTGTGGAAGGCTATGTAAGCATAATTGCACATATCTGATATTTATTTATAAATAAAAGAAAACATTATCTTTCCTATTCTACATATGTATGAGAAAAATACAATTTTTTCTGGGATTGTGAGTGATAACACTGAAATGAAATGCGACAAGCATGCTAGCCTGAACACTGCATAAGCAGATTAAGGAAATAAGAAAACTGTAGCAGATGGGCTGGTGGAACATAAAAGCTGAGTTTTGTAATCTAATCCTAGTCTTACTGTGTTGCTGCATATTTTACAACCTATAGATGAGAATAAGCTTCTTTAACTAGCAAATCAAATGCATATAACTTCTATTGCTCACTGAGGTAGGAAAACAACCAAAGAGGGTAGATCTCTTTGAGTTTAGCAATCTGAAAGGCTCTCAGTCTTGAATAAACATTCCACTGAAAGGCAGCAATAAGATTAACTTTTGACTGGGGAAACTTGATTTTTTTCCCCCCAAAAAACACATGTGAAGCTTATCACCAACCAGTCTTTGTGTGACTGTTTTCTATAGAAAACAGCAAAGGAATGCAACACAAGAAAAAACAAAAAGGTTATAAAAATCAGAAGTAGTTAATTTATTTTATTCTTAATATCTGTCTACCATTTTATTTGCCAATAAACCATCAAAACAGTGCACAGCACTTTAAAACAATACAAAATAGATCATCAAACCAGTAAAACATCATAAAATTAAAATGACAGAATTAAAAAAGCTACATCTTCACACCCTTTCTAAAGTGCCAAAGCTTAGGGAGCAAATTATAAATTCTTAGAGAGTATATCCTGTAGTTTTGAGAGTGAAGCATGAAAGCTTCTTAGAGCAAATATTTAATGGCTTCACTGGGGGCGCCAATGTAAGGTTTATTTAAAAGGTTTATTTAAAAGGTTTATTATGTATCAAATACTATTTTACTTGTTAAATTATTTTTAAATTTTGTACTTTGGAAACAATTATGGAGTTTTATTGTATTTTTATCACTTTCCAGGAACTGCTCTAACTGCCCCTGAAGTTTCAGCAAATGGGTGGTTTAGAAATGCAATAAATAAATAAATAAAATCTAAAGTCTAAAACATTTTAAATAAACAAATAACATTTAATTCTGCAACTCCTCTAAAGCACAATTTAAACTTCCTTTTTATATGTTTAAACATTTAGATTGGTTTAGCACTGCTTCCAAAAGGTGAAATTGAAGCTACAATTTCAAACATGAAAGATTTGTCCTGCTACATCCATGTCTAATTTGCTGGCACTACTTTCCCATTTGGGACTAAATTTAGGAAATTTATACAAACTTATGACACAGAGCAGACAGCTGCTGGTTTGTTTCCTGGTAAGTGTATGATCAATGTGTTACTGATTTTTTCATTAACACTTAAAATATTACAAAAGAACATTACATGCAGATGATTCAATCTATAGTTTTAATTTTTAAGTCCTTTCTTCTGCATGAAAATAGCTTTTTAAAGTTAGCTTTCAAAGTTAGCTAATTTATTAGTTTAGAAGGCCCACTCTTGCATCAGCTACCAGGATATTGCTAAAAGATAACCATCTACTCTATCCTTAAAGCAGCACAAAAGGACTACAATGTTTCAGTCTAAGGAACACCACTAAGATCCTGCTGCAAGTAGAAAGAGAACATTTAAATGTCAGCCAACCATACAGTACTCTTTCAGTATTGTAACAGAAACAAGTTCTATAAACAGAAATTTACTACCTATTCTTGTTAACTTTTATGTAACTTGTTTTGTACTCCTCAGAAAATTTTAGTATTTCCATCCTTAATCTAGTATATTGAACATTTTATTTCACAATTAACTTTTTCCTATTCTATTTCATCCAAAATCTGCTCATGAAAAGCTTGTCAGAATGATATGTAAGTTATAAACCTATCAATTAGCACCTAAATACCATACAAACTCAATTTCTAAACAAAGAAAACTAAGATATGGTACCTTGTTAAGTTTACCAAGTGAAGATATAAGATCTGCCCATTCACTTGAAGATTCAAAGTTCCTCAAAGCTTTATCAATTGCTGAAGCATAATTTCTGTATTTATAATCTCCAAGCAACTCCTGCTCCTCAGGGTCCATTTTAAGTTTTCATAGAGAAAATCTTCTGGGGAGCTGAAACCAACAAGCAAAAACCGTGATTTGACACTCTGAACACATTCTTGGTCAACACTCTATGCAACTATCTGTAATGGCACACAGTATATACAAAGTCAACATTAAGAAATATTAATTTTATATCCTACATGAATAGTAAAACTCTACAAAACAGTTGCAGCACTAAAGTTCTGGAGCTTAATTTCAGTACTTGGAATGCTCTGGAAGTGCAGGAACCATTTGCGTACTTTCATACAGAACCACAGAAGTCTGGATTTACTCATCAGTTTTACTGAAAATACTCAAGTGGTATTTGCATTAAGTACTAAAAATGCACTCTTTCACTAGGATACCCTAGCACAAAATACCAGCTAAACTTGCTATAAAAGTAACACCTATCTATATTTAATGTTTGATGTTTTCTTTGTAAAATTAAATGTAATTAAAATGCACTAAAGTCAAGAAGTTACTTCAGGGAGATTGACAAGTCCCTTATCATTCTCTGTAACTGCCCACAGACACTGAGCTGTATCCAATGTGCCTGTTCATCAGCTGTACAGACAGAACAGGTTCCTCCTCCTCTGGATCCCCCTCCATCTGCGTTCCAAACTATCAGTAGCAAAGGAAGATCATCCCTGATTATAGTTCGTAAGCCTACCATTAGTGCCTAATGCTAAAATCCTTCGCTATTAAAACCAAATGTGTTTTTGCAATTTCTTCAATGAACTTGAGATGAACTTCTATGTAAACTCTTTCATGTATATGTAATTTACAAATGAGTAGTTTGCTCAGTTAGGATATCATTCCACTTCCTTAACTTCAGAAATGGCATAAATATTACCTATCTCACTAAGTTTTTATTTTGAACATATTAGCAAAATCAATGTGATTACCTTAGATTACTTATTTCATTAATTCATTACCTCATTGATACGGAAGTGTTTTAAATGAATAGAGGAACATGGTAGCAGACACGGAACATTTTGCCCAAACCACAACAACCAGTTAATTTTAACAGAAGCTAAACCAAATCTACATAGAAAGGGCTGCTTTCCTAGATCAAGAGAGTTCAACATACTTTTATTAAGTCAAGGACGTTACAGAAATACATTGGTCACTTTAATTTTACAGGTATATTTTTAGTTGTCAGTAAACTAAGTATTTGCATTTAGGTAATAACCACTTAGTAGTTTTCAGTACCACAAATATAGTAATTTTCTGGAATGCCTGAACTTGATTTGAGACACCATTTTAAATTGTTTTTAGTCCTTCATGAAGGGCATGTTCTAGAATGTGCTGCTTGGTAGGAACTCCTGTTATTACAAGAGGTGTTGATCTATGGAATTCAACAGTGTTCTATTTTGCCCGTCATGCTATTGAAAAATATGCATATCATCAGTGGGAGAGAGTGTTCAGTGCCGCTAAAATGCAGATGACACCTACCTCTATCTCTCCCTTCCTATCTCAGTCCAAGGTTCAGGATTGGATAAGGATAAACTTACTGAAACTTAGTTCAAAAAAGACAGGGATGCTCTTGGTCAGAATGGGATATCAGGGAATAGTGCAACCTGTTTTGAATTCTTTTAAGATAAAAATACACGGTTGACTATATTCCTGGTTCCAGGAACATGGTCAACTGTGTGTGCAAGCTTGGATGGGCAGATCTGGCCAAGATGACATGTCTTAATTCAGTTATTGTGGAGTGTCCTGAGATATGCTCTCTAAAATTGCTCAGAAACTTCACTTAGCCAGAAAATAATAGAATCATAAAATAGTAAGTTGGAAAGAGCCAATAAAGTCATTAGGTACAGCTTCCTGTGCAATGCAGGAACTCCAAGTTAAAGCATGGCTATCTAGCTTTCTTGTGCCCAGAACTGGACGTGGTACCAAGATTTGGCCTAACCAGTGCCAAGTAGAAGGGAACAGTACTTCACATGATTTTGAATAATACTTCTGTTAATCTAGCCCCAAATATCATTTGCCTTCTTTGCAGCCACATCACATTGTCAACTCATTTTCAGCTTGTGCTCTACAGCCATTTCAAAATTTGTCCTGCTTGTAGTACTGTTAGGCCAAATATCCTCCAGTTGCATTTGGTTTCCTTTTCCAAGGTGTAGAAATTAGAATTTGTCCCTACTGAATTTAATTCTGCTGTTTTCAACCCACTATTCCAGTTTATCAAGATCACTTTGAATTTTGCTTCTATCTTATCAGGATATTGACCATCCTACCCAATCTTCAAACTTTTGCACCAATTTATTTTCTATGACGCTGTCTGATGGATTTAGCTGGCTGTTTTTATCTGCTCTTGTTTTTGCTTATCTGTCCTATTCTGTTTTGATCTAGCTTCTTTAGTTAATGCATTTTAAAAAAATGGTAATTGCTGTTGTCACCCATCTTGAAAGTTTAGTATGGAAAGTCAGGGCAAACATTTAATTAACAATTACTATTGTGATATTTATTTAAAATGGCCACCTCTGAGATGCAAGTCCTCCCAAAGTAGTATTATATAACATTATAGTGATAGAAGTGATAAAAGTAATAAATTAGTCATTATTTAATATTTCAAATTCCTTAACACTATCAAGAATGATATGATCATATTCATCAGTGTAATATATTCTGAAATTCTTTGTTATGATTGTAGTTTAGATCTGTTATTTCCTGAGGCCAGAGATAAGATGCCAAGAGCTTATTTTTATCAATGTATAATTTATTATCTAACCACTTGAGTATACATTAAATATTATCTCATCTCTACATTTCTAGAAAGCTACATCAGGCATCTCCCCAAGGTTTGGATTTCTGCCTTACTGCAGAGGAACAAGACTTACTGAATAATCCTATTCTAATTGACAGTTTTGAAATTATACACTTGTAGGAATATTTGCATACTTAGTATATCCTCAGTGCAACAGCATCTGAAAGATTTGGATGAAACAGAGCCACTTATATGTGACCACAAAATGGGCATCCTAGTTAAGCAGGTATTTGAACCTGTGGGCATCCCACATTCGGATTCAACAATCGGGTCACACAACTGTATCTATTTTATCCCACTGCTTTAGAGAGGGATAGAAGGCACAGTCATGGTCTGAAGCTACACAGAGCTCATGCAAAAAGAGCTATCTTATATTACTTATATCTTAACACTTATTGTTTTTAAATTTTGTACTATAAACAACCTTGTGCATCTGACAAAATGTTGAAATAAAAATTTTCTAAGACTGCATCTGTAAGTTCAGGTGCTTATCTCTAACATAGGCAGAAATAAAGAAGAAAAGAAGCAGGCAAGAATGTTGTGGTCAACTCTACCTTCAAAACCTATTTGAAAATTCTGATGGTCTCCCAAAAAACAGTTTGAAAACTAAGCAGCAAGTTAGCAGCACTCTGGCTGTCCTATGTAGACTCCAAGAGAGTAACCTTGATCTAATGGCAGCATTCTGAGTGGTCCGCAGTAGATTGGCTGCACTGGAATTTGGACACTCGATATTTTACCAGAAGCAACAAAACAATTCTTCCAACACCCTGAATTATATGACTGAAATTAAGAAGGCTTGAAGTAATAATCATTAGTGGGACTTTATGTGGAAGGACTGTGAGCTCTGTTCAGTTCTGCTACAAAGCACAATTCCTGAGCACAGCATTGTTTAAGAATGTAAGGTCCTATCTAGGCCAACATTCTGTTCACAAAGTAGCCAACTAGATGTTCATGAAAATGTTTTGATACTGCCTCTGATAGTGGAAGTACTATGTCCTAGCAGTCACTGATAATCTTACATTCCAGGAATTTGTCTAATTTAACTATATATCTTAAATTAGAAATGTTTGAGATACATTATAAAGAGATACAAAGAGAGAAGACAGCATCAGCTGCAGCTTCTTTAATCATAATAAAGCTGCTGCACCTAGTGAAATTCTTCCTTTCTTATGACAATTAATGGCACATAAACCATGCTTCTCTTAATCCAATTATTCTAAATTTTCCAGCCCACTATATGCATGGTGCTGGAGGAGGTTTATATAACTAAGAGAGAGTGTTGTGCAGCAGTTACAGCGTTAAGACTAGTTTCTGAGAGATCCATGATCAAGTCCTCACTCACCAATGCAGCTCACTGAGTGTTTTGGAATGGTCACTAGGTCAGCATGAAACAAATGGCCACTGTCAATTTTTTATTTCACAATGTACACGCTGAGCCATGCTTGATTGAGGCATATATGTCCATTCTTGAACCCTCAAACAACCCTTGGTGGTCAGGTTGGCAAAACACAGCACATGCGCTAATCACCCCAATCAGGGGTTGCATATTAAAAATGGCGACCATACATGCCTGGGACAAGTTGCAACTCATTGTGGGTTATTTAACCCGTGATAATCCACTCTGTTGTGCGACTCAGATCACTGACTCTTAGCCTTAGCTGTTAGGTACATTTTTTAGTGTAAAAGATGGAGAGAATTGTCATGAATGCTGCCTTGAGCTCTCTACAGAAAATGATGAATATACATATAATCAATAAAATAATTTAAAAAAATTGTGACAGCTTTGAAAACAAATAAACAGAATATTACAGGTACAGGATAAATATCAAGGAGAAACATGAAGCAGCGCAGAATAAAACAACTGCACTTGAACAAAAGATACCTTACCATTGTTCTTTAAATATAGTTTTTGGCAAATGCTCCAAGAGACTTTTATAGCTGTGGACAAACAAATACCATTCTTCTAAATATCACTGGACACATTTTTCACTGCCATCTTCTCTCCATTTGGCTTGTGGACGAGGAGAAACTGCAGCGTGCGGCAGTGATGTATGTATGCAGTGAGTATAGCCCCGCAGGAGTCAAACCAGTTCTAGAGGGCCTGTTTACCAGGAATGAATCCTCTCTCCTGCCGCCGCCCCCCAGCCACTTTCGTTTCAGATGCCCTGAACAATGGAAGCACGTGAAGCTGGGCAAATAAAGCCAGGCAAAGGAAGAGATCGCGTCGATTCTGCAGTTAGCAGCCTTTTCTTCTGGTCTCTGGCAGGCTGCTGCACCCACATGGCAAACACAGCCCAACAGCTGTTAGAAAGCGGTACCAGCAGCACAGACGACACAGCACGAAGCTTGCGAAAGCAGCTTGGGGCAGGCGGCAACCTGTGGAATCCGGGTACACACACACAGACGTGTACGCATTACACGCGTCGGTGCTTGCGTGGTTCAGGGGCTAAGAAGAGGAAGGCAGCACTTTCTTCGTCTGCCCGGCTGGGATAGGGAAGAAGAGCCCGTATTACAAAGGCAGGCAGGCAGGCAGGCAAGCAAGCAGGACACGCTCTCCCCCTCCCACGTCCTGTTCCGAAATGCACCTGGGGCAGCTCCGTCTCACTGGCTGGTAAGCAAAGCGTCCTCTGCGTGGAGAGAGGGGAGAAGAGGGAGCAGCAAAGAGGCAACCAGGGTGCACTGCCCGCTCGATCTCCCAACAAGGCAGCAGCATCAACTACCCCTCCATCTTCCCTGCTCACCATCTGAAGGAGGAGGCTGGGCGGAATGCCCTGCCCTGCTTTCCCTGCCAGATGCACCCACCGAAACAGAAAGCGCCGCTGCAGCTGATGTTTCTCCTGCTGCGACGACGTGTCCCAGGACGGGCGGGGCCGAGGCAGGCGCTCACACTACAGGAAAGGGGGAGAAAGTCGAGAATGGAATATGCCGTAACCATGGCGGCCAGTCTAGGGGAGGTGCCCCACGCCTCCTCCCTCCCGCCGCCTGCTGGGGATGTACCACTTCGAAGTGCGAAGGTGGTACAAGTGATGATAAGATCGATGGATCAATTTACTCTGCGCTCACTTCTCTCAACGCCATGAGCTCGGTGACTCGGACGTTGGCCTGCTCGGACGGACGGACGGACGGACAGCAGCCTGGCGAGATACATAGTACAATAGCGCCCGGTGGCAGGAGCGCGAGCTCCACCTAGTGTCAAAAGCGTGAACTGCAGACAAGCGGGAGACAGCTTGTTTCGGCGAGCGTCGTCCTGGATAAATGTTAATTTGAGCCGCAACTCACCTGGCTCAGTGCCTGTGCCTCCGTGAAAGACGATCGGTTCAGGAGCATACAAACAATAAAAATGCTTTTCCTATGACATATTCGATGTATATGGCGTGTTACAAGGGTGACTGAGGCAGAAAAATAACAATTCCTGTCGAAAAGACATGCAGTCTGAAAAGCGTGTTGATGAGGTCTTCCAGAGTGCCATGCTTTTCTTCTGAGTAAGCATGACCTTTCATAACTTATCAGAGATGGGGCAGTTTCGAGACCCTGCTTCTCTGTGTCAGCGTAGAACATAGCAACTGAAGGTGTCTCTGGTGGACTCCAGATGTTCTGGACTGCAGCCTCTATCCTCCTGGATGACTCTATATGCTGCTTGCAGCTGCTGAGAGTGGTAGTCCAAAACACGTACTGTAATGCACTCAGATTATGGAGGACACTTGGCCAAGAGACCCTCAGTGGGGCCCCAAGCTCAGCAACACTGCCTTCTCACTGCTTGCTGTGTTCAGCGGCTGATGTGCCTTCTCTTCTTTCCCATCACTGATGTCACTTGCGGCTTGGCAGGCAGAGAACAGGGGCACCTCCTCCTCCCCCCCCTCAGCACTGGTGCTGCTGGGACCAGTACAGCAGCTAGGTGAACATGGAGTCTCAAGGAATGGTCGGGGCAGGAACAAGTTGAGGCCATTCTTACTAGAGGGCCCCTGCAGGCCTCTCGGCTGGTGGCCTGACCATGCCTCTCTGGACATCAGCCCTGACTATAGCGTATAGACTTGTTCTTTTAGCGGGTAGCTATGCTTGTTTATAGGTCCTGTAGTCATGCAATATTGCTGAGAAACTTAATGTGTGACAAGACATTTACCTGGCTGGTCTATTCACACATTCCTGTGATTCAGTCATACCCACCATTCCAGTTCCACATTACAGAAAAAGTGGGACTCTGATGCAGTCCCTTCCCAGATGACTATGAGGTCCCTTCCTGATGTGCAGGCAAAATCACAGCTGGAGTGTTATGGGGTCTTTGCCTTAAGAATGTAAGAAGATGCCTGTTGGATAAGATCTAGGACCTATCTAGTACAGCATCCTGTTTCCCCATGACCAGCTTGGTGCCTCTAAGAAGCCCACAGACAGGGCATGAGGGCAAGAGCCCTCCACAGCTGCTCTTTCTCAGCAACTGGTCTTCGAAGACATACTGCTTTCTATATGAGAGAACACACAGCTCTCCCAAGCAGTGGTGCAGCTAGGACTGGACCTTGGGCCAAAATCCAGGGTGCCATTGGCTAGGCCAAGCCAAATAACCAGCCTTGGCAACTTCTGCTGCAGTTGCCAAGGGCAGCAGAACCTAACTCTTTTTTTTATTATTTGTGGTGCTATGCTGTTGCTTTAAGTGGGTTTAAAATGCAGAAGGGGTCATGCTCAGAATTGTTAAAGGGTTGTAACAGTTGTGTTTCTCAAATATGAGGAACACAAAAGCAGTGGTAAAGTATGGAGTGGCAGTTGTGAGGTGAGAGTGGGGAAGAAGACGAGGTGCACCCATAAGGCCATGATGTCCAGCAACTAAACATAAAGTTCAATTTGCACTGGCTGCTTACCCTTCACCATTACATGTCCTGCCATGCAGCCCAGGCCCTGTTACTATGCAACTGCCGACACTGCAAGTGCAAGCCTACTAGCAAGGCACACATTTAAAAGAAATGAGCAAATGGTATTCCTACTTCGTAGACCCACAGTAATCAATCTGTTTCTGGATGACTAGGGAAAAGGAATATGTCAACATTGCTAAAGGGCCTCGAATTGTATGGGGACAAGATTAACCTTGGTCTCTATTGTTCTGCCTTTCTGGATGAAGTCGTGCGCTTCTGAGAATTCAGAGACAAAATTCCTCTTATCAGCTTCATGATAAGTGTTCTTCAGTGGTAGAGCAGGAGGTGAATCTGTTTGTATCTGGAGGGATTCTACTCCCCCACATTAATGCCCATTTTTCTTGGTCATGTTACTGGAAAAACATATGATAACTCTTTAGAGAAGTTAGATGGTTAGAGATTGGAATCTAGAAGGGTTCTAACACAGAAATGCAGTTAGACCTCTCCTATATAGATTGCAGTGTAGAAGGCTACCATGAATGGTGGCAGCTCCTCTGTAGAGGAGGGAATGGTGTCCCACCCGCACAATGGGAGTAACTTCTAATCTACTTGTAAGTGATTAGAACTTGGGGTAAAAAGATTTCCACGACATCACTCAGCAGGGTGAGGGGAAATGCCTCCACAGACTGATTATGATTATGATTATGATTATGATTATGATTATGATGATTATTATTATAACATTTCTATGCCGCCCCTTGCCGAAACCTCGGGGCGGCTTACAACATGATAAAATACATTGAAATACAATAGTACATAATAAATTACCATTAAATATAACAATACAAAAAATACATTGATTTACAAATACAAAATTAAAATTATCAGTATAAAATAAAAATATAGGAGGAGAAAGAGAAGGAAGAAGAAGTTGCCCAGGCCAGATCATATGTTTTAACAATTGAAATGATGTTTAAATAAAAAGGTCTTTACCTGGCGCCGAAAAACCAGTAACGACGGTGCCAGGCGGACCTCTTTGGGGAGTGAATTCCATAGGTTGGGCGCCACCGCAGAGAAAGCCCTCCTCCGGGTACTTACTCTCCTAATTTCTTTCATGGAGGGTTCCCGGAGAAGGGACTCTCCCGCAGATCTCAAAGGGCGGTCGGGCATATACGGACGTAAGCGCTCGTTCAGGTAGCCAGGACCCAAGCCGTTTAGGGCTTTGTAGGTCATAATCAACACCTTGAATTGGGCCCGGGCTTCAATGGGAAGCCAGTGAAGCTGATGGAGGACTGGAGTCATGTGAGCATGACGCCCCGTCCCCGTCAGCAACCTGGCAGCTCTATTTTGCACCAATTGAAGTGTTCGGACTGTCTTCAGGGGAAGCCCCACGTAAAGCGCGTTACAGAAGTCTAGGCGGGAAGTCACCAGCGCGTGTGTCACCGTCGCCAGGCAGTCGTATTCCAGGTAGGGGCGCAGCTGATTAATCAGCCGAAGCTGAAGGAAGGCGTTCCTCGCTACCGCTGTCACCTGAGCTTCCAAAGAAAGCTCCGGGTCGAGGAGTACACCTAAGCTGCGGACCTTATCCCTAAGAGGGAGTGTTGCACCATTCAGGACCAGGTCAAATCCACCCTCTCCGAAACCCGATCCGCCAACCAACAGGACCTCCGTCTTGTCTGGGTTGAGTTTCAGTTTATTGGCCCTCATCCATTCCCTTACCTCGGCCAAGCACCGGTTCAGCACAGCCACTGCCTCATCTGGATTAGTGGAGAATGAGAGGTAAAGCTGGGTATCATCAGCGTATTGATGATTCCGCAGCCCACACCTCCTGATGAATACCTGTTTAAAATACAGAATCACATTAAATTTGTGATACTGTTCAGTTCTGGGATTCTGTAAATATTCTTGAACAGGCCTTACTTATGTTTAATCCAGCAGTGGATCAAGTTTAAATTTCAGATGAGTACTTGCCAACACTTTAGATTATTTGGTGTAACTAGCTGATGGATGCAAAATAACATACCAAGTTTCTCCTTTTCTTAGATTGCCTTGACAAAGAATATTTGAAAGGATAATCTCATAAAAAGATAATCCCATCATATTCTTATGACATAAGAAGCTCCAGGAAACTAAGTGGTTTTGATATTAGCTCCACACAATGGGCTCAAATCTTACAAAAGAATAAGCAAATAATTATTTGTCTGGCTATTATCAAAGTATATTTGTCAACCCAATATACCACATTCCTTTTGCATAGTAATTTGGCATGCTAATTAGTGGCAGGAGTCATGTATGAAGATGCAAAAAGGCAACATTAGGGATAAGATGCTATGCCTCCCCTGGAGGACTCATCCTCAAAGGTTGAACACAGGTCCTAAAGATGGAAGCCATTAGCTATCTGTGGTAGAAAATAGCAGGAACTTGGGCTCTTGAAGGAGATGGCTGCAGGTCCAGCCGTGTCAGTGTGAGGGGACTCTTTCCTTGAGGCAGAGGCTGAGCAATCTCCTGATCTCTGATCATGTTGTTGCCTGGACTGACAGGCCAGTGGGGCTCCAATGAGAAGGACTCCTCAGGAGAAAGACCCTGTAGGAGCAGCATCCTTGCAGGCAACTCTGATGGACTGCAGCTGAGACTCAAGAATCTCTGCTGTTAAAAACCTTCAGTTATTCCTCTCTGGCCCTGGAAATGTCACTCTTTCTCAACCCCAGAACACGCAGCTTTGTTTTCTAGACCTTGCCTTGATGATGGATGTTCTGTCTTCTTGACCCGTGCATTTTTAACTGTCCTTGTTTTTAGATTGTGTACATATCTGACTGTTCAGCAATGTTTTTGATCCCTGTTTTTACCCTGACCACTCTTGCTTCACTGAAACCTCAGCACCTGAGCATCTGCCTTGCAGAGTTCGCTGCAGTCAAAGCAAGGCAAAGCATCAGAGCAGCATAATGGTGCTCACTGGGACCGGCTGCTTAAAACTATGTCATGAGGATGGCTGTTTACTGCATATGTGGGAAGGCCAAATGCACTATATTCCTACAGCTCCCAGTTATCAGCAACCTTCCTCTTTCAGAGCCAACTGCAATATGGCAGAGAATCCCAGTTATTTCAGGACTAAGATAGGCTGAACTATTTTTTACTAAGGTATTGGGATTGAGACCCATCAGCATCAAAGGGTAAAAAGGCCAAATAAACTGGAGATTTGGTGGTTTTGGGACCTGTTGTGCTGGTTTTGACCTACCCAGGGCCAGAGGCATTCAGGAAAATACTATTGCCTTTCCTCATCTCATTCAACATTCTTGCCCGCATTCTGAGCAAAACCATCACTCCACATTGGACACTCCATAAGCAGTATTTGGCCAACCCTTCTGTTCAAGTACTCCCGTTTTGATGCCTTCTGTTGGACTTTCCATGCACTTCATCAGCTCCTCTTCAGTGATCATGTCATTCTGAAATGCCTGTTTTAGGACTTGGCTGCATCTGGCAGGTGCTATGATACTCAAGGGACTGGATATATTCAGTGCCCTTCTTGTGCCAAATGAGAACAAGGCATTCCATAGTCAACTATGCTCTGCAAAGTAAGGGCAGATGGAAACTAACCATGCTGCTGGCAAACTCACAAAGAATGCATGAGCAAGTAATGTTACGCATGCTTGGAGTGGAAACCTTTCTATGACTACCTCATAGAAATCCTAATATTAGAGCAATCCTTTGGAAATTTAAAATATGAATACATATTAAGTGCTGGGAGGATGACAATGTGAGCAGCAGTGCATGTTTGGATTACCTGGGCTCTTTCTTCTATGGCCTGGATGCTTTGTTGGCTCCTTAGAAGGTATCCAAACAAAAGAACACAAAACAAAGTCAGTGTGGTGTAGTGGTTAAGAGCACGGGGCTGGGACTCAGACTATCTGGGTTCTAGTCTCCGCTCAGCCATGGAGCCAACTGGGTGACTTTGGGCCAGTCACAGACTCTCAGCCCAACCTACCTCACAGGGTTGTTGTGGGAATAAGATGGAGGAGGAGATGTAAGCTGCCTTGAGCCCTTTGTAGGAAAAAGACAGGCTATAAATTGAAAAATAAATAACAAAACAAAACCACTATCTATTCGGAGTTTTTTTATGAAGACTTGCTTTTTGAGGATGGTGTGTTTGGAGACTGCAAGGAATGAAAGGACACAGGTGTCCTGATCAGGACAGAAATTCAAAGCCAGTAACATTCAAACAGAGTAGCATGGATAATTATGTTTTGCTTTCCAAAGAAGCTGCAATCACCCTACAGAGCTGTCTCACTCCTTTGTGTACAAAAATAGCCAAGCAAACATTTTCCAGACTTAAAATGAAGGATGCAGCTAATAAAATTAATACGTCTTCAACTGTCAAACGGAGACTGCCAGACAGAACTGTGGAGCTGTGGAGGAGTGCTGGGTGTTGACCAAACAGACAGTCCAAACTGTCTTTGAGCGTTTGGATTTCATTTTTAAGAACCTGGCTCATTTGGATTAGAAGCTCCAATACACGCTTATACCTCCAGTAACATAAGCTGAGGAGGAGCAGAGGATGCCTAATTCTGTGTTGCTAAAGCTAGAGAGAGCTAAAGAAGAGTGCCTGCTCTTGCAAAGTAGCTTAGTACTGAGATCTTGTGAAGTTGTTTTGCAATTTATTAGTAAGAGGGGATAAGTCATGATGGAGTTATAAAACATTATGCATGGTGCTGAGAAGATGTATAAGAAGTTTTTCTCTGTCCCTGCTAGAATCCAGAATCATCCAACAAAGCTGAGTGGGGGGTGATTCAGAGTAGACAATATGAAGTACACAGCACAGGTTTGAATTATAAACTACAACTTTGATATGATGGCTGCCAACTTCTATGGCTTGAAGGGAGATTAGACAAATCCATGGAGGAGGAGTCTGTCAACAGGTTCTAGACACAATGACCAAGGAATGCCCCTATTACATTTCAGAGGCACTCAAAAATAGTTGATGGGGGACAGAAGCAGAATGGTGTTATTGAACTCATGCCTTACTTGGAGGCTTTCCGTAGGCATCTGGTTGGTTGTTTCATGCAAGAAAATAGTGACATTTTACATTTCCTTTTGCTTTGATCTGGGCTTTGTTGTCATTCAAAATACACAATAAACAGTAAATGAAAAAGTGTGCTTTAATTCATATCTGGCATGGCTAATGGTCAGGGATTGTGAGAACTGTAGTTCCAAACAACAGGGAATGTTGGCCCACAAGCAGTAGGGCTATATGATTTCCTGTGAAGAACAGAGTCAGCTCTCTGCTGCTTTTCAGATTCAGACTCAGCATAGTCTAGGTGGCTTTCCTGGGGACTCGGTGGCAGCTGGAAGGCCTAGAAAAGGCAGGAGCAGGTCAGCTGTAGGCATCATAGAAGCCAGTAGTGGAGAACTGTAGGGAGCCAGTGGAGAGCAACCTGCGAGTTGAAGAGGGTTGTCTGAATGGAAGGGGATGAATAAAGTGTGTGAGAAAGTGAGGGGGGAGAGAAAGAAAGGGCTTGGGGAAGATTTTGCAAGAATCCCACAAAGTTTTTTCATGAACTTGGGATGGATGTGTGTGCATGCATTAGAGACACTGAGCAAACTGTAATATACCAAACAAGATAGTTTTATGAGCAAAGTAAGTTATGCATAGCATATTCTGGGTTCTTAGTCTATGTCTGACCAACAGGAATGTCAGCAAGTAGTTTGTGAAACATGACTCTTTCTAGAAACCAGGAAAAGCAGGAAAAAACTGAAGGCAGGACAAAATCTAGACAACTATGAAGGTTTATTGTATTTTGATATGGTGACTCTGCTCACTGAGCATTACTCAGGGTATCCCCAGATGCCTAAAAGATACACTAGATCAACAAGGAATGGAAGAAACAATAAATAAGAAGCTTCCCCCTTGGAGGGAGGGAGGTCTTTATTTCTGGATAGTTTGTATCTCTAGTCTTTCTATGAAAGTCTTATTACAAGGTTTTTTGAAATAATGGTGGGGGAAAGTAAATAGTTGTTAGCACTGTGATAAAGTGCTTAAGAGTTCTAGTTTCCCCTTGGCTATGAAGCTCATGGCCCAGTGAATCCCAGCCTCACCAACCACACACAGTTGTTGTGAGGATAAAGTGGAGAGATCCTTGTAGGTTGCCTTGGTTTCCTTGCCAAAGAACATGGGACATACATATTCTTATTTTAAAAACAAAATCTTTCATAATCCAAAGCTGTTCATTTATTCCAATCTTTGAGAAAAGCCCCAAAACAGTCTTTAAAAAATTTTCCCCTCCAAATTCTTCCAGGTCTTCACATCTTAATCTGTTCCACAATCTGCTTCTTGGCTTTTGCTCCTAACACAGACTTAGTCAGTCCCTTTCTTCACTGAAGGGGTGTGTACAAACAGGATGTTTTTGCCAAAGCATCTCTCACTTGAAGGAGGCAGCTCCAGCTGCTTCTTACCTGCTGTTAAAGAACGCTGACTCTGTTAATGCTCTCCTATCCAAACTGCTACAAAATGCTTGCTCAAACTGGGTCCTACAGAATACTGTGGAGCCCTAAGCAGCTCATGTGCTGTGGAAGGTAGTCTAGTGTATTGACACAGCCAAAAACTCATGTACCAAGGGGCGAATAGCAGCCCGTAAAATTGCTTTCTACAGCAACCAGAAGGAAGCAATTGATAGGAGAAACTTGGAGGCACACAGTGCTGCTTTTCACTGAAATAAAAGTAGTCAAGTTAAGCCTAGGGCATAGCCTGGCCCAGGACTTGAGAAATTGCAGTCTCTGTTTCTGTATGAACCATTGCAAGATTGCTCAAGGTAAAAAGCCTTTATAGCACACCTAAGGGTTCTGTATGTGTTTAAAAGGGAGAATAGGCTTACAGATTGCACAAACCTTCTGCAACAGTAGGCAAAATTATATCTGTGAAAATAATTTTTATTTGATGTTAGCATACAGTAAGATTAGATTTCAATAGCTTATCCAATATGCTATAAAAATAACCCTGACCAAAAATGAGAAAATTAGGCACACACATTTTGTAAAGAGTGAATGATTAACAAAATAGTAATAGTCAGGTGAAGCAATTGAGTGAGTTGCTCAAATCAACAGAAGAAAAAGCACTATAAAAGCCTCTTGTGGGTAGCTGAAAATATCATCTAGTGAACAGATGTGTGGACAGGCAGTCCTATATAACTTTTTCCCATTGTTATTTGCCACTGATCATCAATGAATGGTTTTCCAGACAATGTGGGACTGCAACTCCTATCAGCCCACATGAGCATAAGCAATGGTGAGACATGATAGGAATTGCAGTCCAATAAATCTGAAGGACCATCTCCCACCCCTGCTACGTGCAATTTTCTCTTCTCCTACATAACTTTTTCAATTTGTTGCACATTTTGATCAAGCCAAGTATCTAGAATTTCCAGTGTGTATATCCAGGAGCATGACTGAACAATTACCACTTCTGTACTTTCTTTTCACTAACATGCTGTCCGTGAGGCCCATCAGCACCAGGAGGTAAAAGAGCCAAATAAACTGGAGTCTCAGCTCCCTCATCTGGAGATTTGGTAGCTCTCGGACCTGCCATGTCAGTTCTGACCCACCCAGGGCAACAGGCGTTCAGGAGAATGCCATCACCTTTCCTTGTTTCATTTAACATCCTTGCCTGAATTCTTGACAAAACGGTCACTCCAATTTTGGTCACTCCATAAGCATGATTTGGCCAACCCTCCTTCTCATGCACTCCCTTCTTAGTATCTTCTACAAACTTTTCCATAAGCTTCACCAGTTCCTCCTCAGTGATTGTATCACTCCGAAACTTCTGCTGTAGGTCTTGACTACATTTAGCCAGTGCTGAAATGGCACACATGCTAGAGATATTCACCACTCGGCCTATTAGAAGAAAAAAGTGTTACAGGAATATAAGCTATTTTTTGGCCTTAGTTAACGTTGCTGCCTTATATCAGGGTTGGTAACATGCCAGCCTAGCTAATGGGAACTGCAGTTCTACAACCTCTGGAAGGGCACAAATTGCCCAAGCTTGGTCTTAGGTTATTTTCAATATTCCAAGGCTACCTTTTAAGATCAACCCCCCTAAAGGCAGCTTACATAGAAATAATAAAACTTAATTCCAATAACATAATTTTTATGAAACTGAAGTCAAAACATTCCAAAAACATGTTTTATAAGAAATGTCAGCATCTAAAGATACAAAACTGGCAACATTATAAGCCATTAAAAAGTTTGGTATGATATCTTAACTAAAAACAACTTGGAGTAAATAGGTCCATTTAAAAGCCTGCTAAATACAGGTCCCTTGGGAGAGAGGTATACAAATAAAGGCCACCAGTGAAATGTCCTTCTCTGCTCATGACCCATTATACCTTCACCCCACTACCTGTTGAGATAAAGAGCAGAATGATTCTTTTTTCTTAGGGACTGCAAGATTGGCTAGGAGTCTTGAAGGGATTTTACTTCCATATGAAATGTGATGTACAGCTAAGGGTACAATGCAGTGCTCAGAAAAAGATCCTACAAAAGGCCCTACAAAAATTCATGGCAATGTAAGCATTTGGACCAGGTAACTTTCAAGTCCGCATTAACAGCATGGCATTGGTACATGGTATTACATATCTGAGATAAATGCTTTCTTTGGCAGAACATGTATTCATGAGCTAAATGTTCATTAGTGGATTTTAGAGCATCAAATTCATTCCAATTTAAAAAGCCAAATATTTTCCCCTTTCACAAACATCTTGTAAAATGGTTCCTTTGGCCTAGAGCCAATGATGTGCAAACACACTGCTGATCATGCAATGCCATTCCTTATCCTCCTTTCCACTGGCACACCACCATCTCCCAGTCTGCTCTAGACACGGCAACCTCTTTTCATGAGTGTCTCATGCATATGTGTGGGGTCAGTCTGCAATAATCACAGAGGATGGTCTGTCTATGTAAATCCATGTCATAGCACCAAGGCTGTGAAACCTAGACTAAGCATGCACAGTAAGGGTTGTCCATTGCCTGGTTATTTTGTTGAGGGCAGACTGCCCTAATCAGCTTGTAATTTTGCAGTCCAAATAGTCTGAAGTCAAGGAGGTTAGTAAACTGAGGGACAGAATTACACACCTCTCCTCTGCAGAGGAGGAACTCCCCCATGGAAAAATGGAGTGGAAAGCATCCTGCTTCATGGTGCTTCCAAAGAAATGTGGCTAGGAGCAGGGGTCTAGGCATGTTTAACATTATATGTTTAAGAGATGGGAAAAATCATTATTGTTGAATTTAAAACATTTGGCTTAAGGGATTTCTTCTATGATGGTTTCACCTATTTGCTGATCGTGGTGTTTGTGTTGCATTTTACTTGACAGATGAAAGGAAGCTAAAGCACGATTAGCTAATAGCTGTCTGTATTTGGTGCAGTGCACTTACCGTTGGGTTTCAACAGTGGTAGCAGCTCTTTGCAAACGTTTCTGGTTGCAAAAAAGTTTGTTTTCATTGTGACTTCTGCTTGCACAGCAAATGGTGCTGTATCCGCAACTTGTTTTCCACATTGGATAGAAAAAGCAAACAAGAGTCAAGATTGATAATAAACAAATACAAACTTTGAAACCCCACCCTTTTCTTTCTTTCTGAAAAATTTAAGGGTGGTTTTAAACATTATTGTATATGTATCTGAAGAAAAAGACCATATATCAGGAAGCTTATGAAGCCAGAAAGGTGTTCATATAAAAATATCTAATCAGCTTTCTACCTCCTAAAGAGCCAGTGACACAATTTATGCCAAAATATGGCTTCCAATGATTGCTTCATAGAAAATGACTTGGTGAGATTTTAAACCAGCATTCTTATACCCAGTTTCCTGAGAATAATCCCTACTGAACTAAATGAAACATCCTTTTGAATAGACATGTTTCATATCACACTCTATACCAAGTTAAGAAAGTGGAATCTGCAATAATCAAATATGTCGAACTCCACAGATCGAGGAAATGTTATTTTTTTAAAAAATGAGCTACGCATTGCTTCATCCATGACTTTCTAGCATCACTTAAGTCTGCATTCAGAGTTCTCATGTGGCCAATCAAAATAAGGACCAGTGTGTTGGTTTTACCATTAAAGGCAGCCTACAAATAATGTTAAAGTTGCTGCCAAAACATGGTAGAACAGCAGGAACACAAAATGGGAGGGGGATTTTTCTATGCCACTAACATTTGACTGAAAACCAAAATTTACTTTCTTTATGTCAAAGCAACTGCCTTCCTTTCTAGCTCCTGCCCTGCTGAATTCCAGTGGACAATTAGGAGGTAGTGTTTGTACAGGGCAGAAAACAAAAAAAGCCAGCATGTAACCCATATGCTGCATTTTGCACAATATGCAATTTCTGAATAGTCTTTCAGGGCAATCCCTCACCAAGTATATTATAGCAATCTAGTTTAGAGATTACCAGAAGGTGAATTATGGAAACCAGGCTATCCCCGTCCAGACAGGAGCATAACTGGGCCATTAGTCGAAGCTGCTGCAAGCCATTCCATGCCTCTGAAGTCACCTGCGCCTCAGTTAACAAAGATGACTCAAGGAGTGCTCCAAGCTACGAATTTCCTCCTTCAAGTGGAGTGCAACCCCAACTAGAACAGGCTGAACACCTTCCATGGGTTTAAATCCCACGTAGATTTACGTAGCATCACTTGGTAAATATACCTAGACCTTGCAAAACAGAAGGTGTGTAGCAAAGTTGTTGTAATGGGTCTTGCCTCTGGTGATCCATCCTCTGTTCTACCAGCCACAGTGAACAGCAGCTGCACTGAAGCAGCTCAATAGGCAGTATTGCAAGTGATACACCTCTAGTTTCCCAAGAACAGAGATGGCCAAGACTTCAGTCTGGAGTCAATTTAGGCTGCTTAAATCCTGCAGCCTAAGGGTACAATCCTCTGAATGTTTACATAGGAAAGGACCTACAAGTCTTAGCATGCCCAAGCCAGCATGAGTTTTTCTGTCCAAACATACATGGGCTGATGTCCTACCGGACAAAGAAAACTTAAGTTTAAAAACATAGCAATAGTTAAGTTTTTATTTTTACCCTGGAAAAACCACAAGGGGCCTGTTCTAGATTAGGACCCTAGTGGGGTGTTTAGGGGGCTTTCCTCCTTCTCCCCTTCTATTGGCACACTCTGGATCATGTCCAGTAAATATGGTCCTTGTGTAAGAAAACATCTAAAATTAGTCCTTTAGTATGTAATATTTTAAATGTCCAAGATGCTTCATGAGCAGCATTTTACCTTTGAAAGCAATCCCTGCATTGTTGACTAGCACATTTAATCCTCCATATTTCTCCTTCAGGAAGTCGCGAAGAGTTTGGATACTCTGCTGATCATCGATGTCCAGCTGGTGGAAGAGCGGCTTCAGTCCTTCCTCCTGCAGCTTAGCCACTGCTGCCTTGCCCCGTTCAATGTTGCGGGATGTCAGGTACACATCTCCAGAAAACTGCTTGCATAGAGCCCGTACAATGGCGAACCCAATGCCTTTGTTGGAGCCAGTCACCACAGCTACTGGAGTGTTAGACATCCTTCCTGCTAAGTGAATACCAAAGTATAGTGGTACTTGGCTCACAAACTTAATCCGTTCCAGGACTCTGGTTGTGACCCAAATTGGTCGTGACCCAAGTTAAATTTCCCCATAAGGTTCAATGTAAATAAGGTTAACCCGTTCTGCAACTATTTGTTTTAATCAGAAAAATGTGAAGCAAAGTGACAAAGAACAACAAAGATTGTGGCCATTCCCCCCCCCCACACCCAGCATGAGCGTGGCCATCTCCCCAAACCCCCCAGCACAACTGCGAATGCGCCCATCATCCCTGCATGTGCCCATTATCCCAGTGTGCTGGGGGGGGGGGGAGATAGGTGCAATCGTGGGCACGCTGGGGGGAGAGACGGGCGCAAATGCAGGCACACCTGGGAGGGAGATGGGCGCAATCTTGCTAGGGGGGACGGCTGAGACTGCGGTTGTGCTCGTGCAGGAAAGATGGGTGCAATCACAGACGCACTCATGCAGGAAAGACGGGTGCGTTCTCAGCCATCTCCCCCAGCATGATCGGGGCCATCTCCCCACTTGGGGTGAGGGTGGGGAGATGGCCGTGATCACGGTCACCACCCAATGTGGAGTTTGTAATCCGAGTCAAAATTTTAATGAAATTTTTGTTCGTGACCCGATTTGGCAGTGAACTGAGGCGTTCATGAGGCAAGGTACCACTGTAACTCCTTAGCAAAAATTTAAATGAAAAGGATCAGAAAATAATTTGCTTACCACAAGATGAGTAGTGTTTGATACAAACACCTGTGTTTCTAATTGCCTTTAATCTAATACATGAAGCAGTAGGGGAAAAAAACTGGAAAAGAGCAACAGTGCAACACTAATCTGTCTACTGAAGTTTTCATTTCAGGAAGCTTTTCTTGCTTAATAATGATTTGCTGTTTTTATGGGCTGCTGTTGTTAAATGGCTATGATTTCCAGCTACTGGCTGTGGCTTTAGTATTCAGTGTGCAGTTTTCCTTTTAAATTTTGTTTGAAGTTGATCATATCATTTTCAACATTGAAGAGCACAGGGCTTTGGAAGCATACAGTGAACTGGCCAGCCCATGGCATTGGGTAAAAGAAAATTAATGCAAACTGTGCTGCAGTGTTTACCAGAACATACTGTCCAATATCCAAAGGGAAGTCAAGAGAGACTTTTGGCTATTGCACAGTATAGAAAAATAAGATTAAGTCATCCTAACTTAGAACATAATCCTGTATCAGACATTCCCCAATATCTCACTGCATGCTTGAAACACCAGGAAACAAAACCCGGGCCCAAGCTAATGCAATGCTATAGAAGAACAGAGAGACCCCTGTTTTGTAGTATGCACTTTTCCCCGTAAGCACACAGAACAAATGGTAATCCTGCAGCTCATTTTATGTAATTCAAAGAGATTTGGACTTTAGTCTCCAATCGACCAGGAAGCTCATTAGGTTTGGCCTGACTCTCAGCCTAATCTACTCCACAGGATTGTTGTGAGGACAAAGGTCACGAATGTTGTTTTGTGTTCCTTGTAAGAGGAAAAAGAGCAAATAGAAATGCAATGCAATTTAGTCATCATTGGAACTACGATAAAAAATAAGCAAAAAGGCGATAACAGCGTTTAAAAATTCCCGTGTGCTTTTAAACCATTTCACACTAGCGGCATATTAGAAAATTAAATCTTATAATGCAGGACTGGGGTCAAAAGAAACATCACTTTAAATGTATGCTGAGCAGCTACATCCTCCCCCGCGCCGGCATTTTTGCTCTAAACTAGCTGCGAAAGTCCAGACTAGATCGTAAACCCGCCTCCCCACCCTACACCCTCACGGTCTGAATAGGCCCTTGTGCCTATTTTAGAAAATCCCACAATGAAAGCAGCAACCCTAAAAAGAACGTGGGGAAAGGAACACTGCAAATCAAAGGAAGCTGCAAACCTGCCGAGGCGGCTCCGTTGCGTCACGGCCCTGCCGGAGGAGCGTTCTCACTGCGGGAGCGACGCCCCTGCCCAATGGGACGCGGGCCTCTTGCGACGTTTCCCGCAGCCAACGGGCAGCCGCGAACGCCGCGCTCGCCCCTTCCTGTTCCTTGCAAACCGGGGAAGTTCGCTCGGATTGGTTTTGCTGACTGGGGGGAACAGCAGAGGAACGTGCCTCCAGCCCCGGAGGGAGAGCGTGGCTGCGGAGAGCTCGGCCGCTAGGCAGGAAATGGATTTCGCAGCATGATCGTCGCCGTGTTTGCTTCGGCTTCTTCACCCTCTTCTGCGAGATTGATTCGCGAGAGAGGCTGCCGTTCTCCGTAGGTTAACTTCAGAGTAAGCCCCATTGATCATATTGGGACTTGCGACTGAGAAACATGTGCCTGTGTTCGGCATTGCAGCCAGCGGAGGGTTTATATTTTATAGAAATGCAGCTGTTCATCCCCCCGCCCTATAAATTCTAATAACACAAGAAGAGAATGTGCATGCCGAGCGTTGCATCGAGTTAACCTAACCATTGGTGCATACAGCCCAGTGTTATTGCTACTGATTGGCAGGTCTTGCTCGAGTTTCAGGCTGAATCCCCTTCTTTGTCTTTTTGAAGATGCCGGCGATTGACCCGGCGATCTTCCATACACAAAGCATGCATACATAGCTTAGACTGGCATCCTCTTTAATTCTGTAGTCAACCAGATGCCTCCAGCAAACACACAGTCAGGGCTTGCAGTGAAGCAGGTAACAGTCAACCTTTGCTGATGCTCCTCAGAAATCAGTGTCCTGGCATGCTGCCTCTGAACAAGCCCTGCTGGGCTCTACAAAGCCACAGGTGTGTTTAGTGGCTGCATGACAGCAAAAGTGATAAAATATTACTCTTTGTCTTTACATATTCAGTTTTCCCATTGCAAAATAAATACAACCATGTTTAAGTATGTAGCCTATGCAAGTTTTGTCCCAACATATTGTTAAAACAAGGCGGAGTGAATTTTTTGTGTATCTATAGCAGTGGGATGAATTTTTGTAAGGAATATGTTTGTTTTTCATGTGTCTCTATGCACAGGTTGCATTCAGAATCTGGAGGCCTTTGGTTAACATGAAGAAAAGCAGAGGACGGACATGCCGAAAGAGACTAAGAAAACAAGCTAGAAATTTTTCCTTAAGTGGTGGTAATGTGATTTAAAAAACAGCAATTACTAAACCCCCTTTGGTTCCAGAACATTAATTAAAATAGCTAACCTCTCTCTCCTTCTCCTGAGATAGATAAGGACATTGTTTTCTGCCTTAATATGAATAAGATTATGGCTTTAGAGTCCTGTCTTAACATGTGCCAGGACAATGTATAATTGCTTGGGATATTTATTTATTTATTCTATTTGTATGCTGCCGCATTAACCATAAGACTCTCTAGGCAGCTCACAACATATACACAACAATTAATACATCTCACAATATAAAAACAATAAAAATCAATAAATTTAATAAAATAAGCAATAAGATAAAGTGAAATGGAATGGAATGAGAGGAGGACATACAATTAATATACAATATAATGAACCTTTTAAAACAACCTTGAAATAAAAAATAAAAGTATACATAATTAAACTAGATAAAATATATGGTGCTAAAGTCATAACATGGCAGCAGCAATTTAACAACATAAAACAATTAACTGTTAGAACCAAACAAATCTTCCATCAAAATAGTTCCAGAAGTGGAATCTTTGTAGTTGGCATCTATATTGTATTTTTATGGATGTTGTGAGCTGCCCTGAGGCTTTGTTGTGATGGGGGCGGCATAGAAATGTTTTAAATAAATAAATAAAAAACAAAGGAATGACGCCAAGTGAATTCCACAGGTGAAGTGCTATTGTATATTAAAGATACAATCCCAAAAGTATTTATTTATTTAGACATCTGTATGCCGCCTCCTACTCCAAGTGGAGTCTCTGGGTGCTACTGAAGAAATATACCAGCCTCCTGCTTTTCATTGGTGTAGGGGTGGAATGTTAGGCCATCACTGTCTACTGCTATACTTGGCTTAATATTTATGAAAACCAGTGGGCTGATACAATATAATAAGGTAACCCAATACATTCTTTCTCAGAAATAAGTCTTCTGTATAAAAGTTTTACTAACTTATTGTATGGACTCTAACAACAGAATTGGGACGATTGTTAAGGGTCAACAGTGTCCAAAACCCAGCATAATTTCATAAAACTATGTTGAAACTATGTTCAGCTTGTTGGGAAGACCACCGGAGATAACTGCCTCAAAGTTGCCTGCCCCAATCATTTTACAGGCATATCTCAGAACTATCGCTGGTTCAGTTCCAAACCACCGCAGTAAGTCAAACATAGCAATAATTCGGGGCACATATAATTAGACTGCTGGCTTCCTGTTCAGTGCAAGAGGCCTGTCTTGGTATTCAACATGCCTTCCTCACTAAGATCAATCATTTCCACTGTAGGGCTATTATAGTAATTGACCTAATTTGCATATACATTGTTGTGTCTCTGAATAGGGAGGCCTGAAGGGAGGAAAGGATGTGGACGAAGGTCAAAAGACCCCCAAAACAGTTACAAAGATCACCGTAACATCAAAAGTTGCAGATAACCAGAGCAGATAGACAGTACAATAATTAAAAAAATTGAAATACAGTGCAGAATGGCAAGAATTACATTACCAAAACAGGCGACAAAGTGAGTGACCCCTGTTGGAAAAATGGCACCAATAGATGTGTGCTTGCACAGGGTTGCATCCTGGAAGTGGAGTGCAATAAAACAAGGTATACCTGTATAGGCAAGGGCCACTATTGGTGTGAGAATGAAACCATTTGCCTTTTTGAAGTGGCTTTGTCAGGAAGGGAGGTTGGCACCAGAGTGCCTACTGAACACCCTGCAGTAGTGGGAGAAAGGAACTTGACAAGGTGCTGCCTTTTATTCTTGGCTTAAGGATAAGAATTTCAGTGTGGACAAGATTGTTGTCATAATGGGTGTTTAAAAACGTAAATCTCAATTTGCTGTGCTTATAGGAGCAGCCATATGAGTATTATGTACACTGTTTGAGTTAGGAGGCAAGAATTCCTATCTATTTTCTTTTGAGTGGAGAACAGTTTTAGAAGTAAAGTTTTAGAAGTGAAGAGTTCAGTATTGTGTATTTATTTTCTTATGCTAAAGGGATTGAATTGCACTTACCTATTTCAGTATCTGTGGTTTATGGTTTATTATGTGTAGTACTTATGAATTACCTTTTTTGTAAATCAGTGTGGAGACGAAGTATGCCTTGAAATGATAGATTTTTTCCCTGCCACGTTTAGTAAATCTTGGACACAAACGTGAATACATACTCCTTAAGAAGTGGCTGAAAGAAAGAGGCTATAATGATAATCAGTTAAAGCCAGCACAATTTCCAGGTAATGTATTAATATCTTTATAACAGACTGTGTGTTTTGATTAGTAGACAAATGAGACCACATTGTCTACAGCATGCTATCACCTATCCAGTGTAGATGAAAGTTCAAAATGATCTGGAGTAAGCAGTGAGGCAGCCACGTTTTTGGACAGCAAGTAGAGCTCTAAAACAATTTATCTTAACTTTGTGAAGAAAATGGAAAATGAGATTCAGGGTGTAATCCTATATATGTTCAAAAAAAGTCTTACAGTTCCCAACATTTCCCGGTCAGCATGGAGTTGTAGGATTTTTGTCTAAACCTGAATCGAGTTGCATGTTCAGTGTAAGTGTAAAATCCTGTAGACTGAAGCAAAATACCCTAACTTCATGTGTGCACTGATGGGATGTGAACTGATGGTGGCTGACTGGAAAGATACCATGTCAGGGATGAGTGCAACTGGGACAGCCCAAGATTGACCCAGTGGGCAGCAGCAATGAAAAGGACAAATCTTGTGCTAGGGTTTATTTCATGAAGAGTAGAAATTACGTGCAATCTATGGCATTCTCTTAACCCCATCTCAAAAGTGAAATAAGAGCTGGAAAGGTTGCTAAAGAAGGCCATTGTGGCTGCACTTATGCACTTAGGTGGGAGCAAGACAATTATTCGGGGCAGTTCACAATAACGTTTAATAATACATCAAAATAGATACAATACTATATAGATTGTAGTTGTTGCTAGTTGCGAAGTCATGTCTGACCCATCCCAACCCCATGGGCAACATTCCTCCAAAATACAGTGCAAATTCTAATATACAAAATTTAAAAGCTTTAATTATGTATCTTCCTTATGAGTAAACATGCCTAGTATTGTGATGCAAGATGACTGAGGGATCAGAATTTCCCGTGTGAAAAGATTTAAAATTTTTTTTTAGAAAAAAAGGACTATTGGGAAATATAGAAAATTATGAAGAGCAGAACTATATTTTTGCCCTTTCTCAAAGGATATCTTAGAACTTAGAGTAACTACATGAAATTCACAATAAAGTACTGACAAAAAACATCAAAACAGTGTTGTGGCACCTTAAATTCCAGCTTAAATTTTAATACAATTATTCCAAAATGTCAAGACCTGAGGCAGCTTCAGGCCTCCCTCTGCTGGCCGAGGACTAGCACAGCAGCCCGGGTAATTGCAGGATTACTACCCCCTATCTACTGCAGCTGCCAGGGCTCTCATTAGCTAGATAAGAACAGACTGCTCTCCACCCGAGGAGAGTGCCGTGCTGTGGCAATAAAGATTTTCTGAGTTGTCAGGGTGCTTCTGGTTGTGGACTCTTGGACTTTGCTCCTGGAATTCTGCCTGTGATCTTGCTGCTGGCCTTGTTCCAGCCCTTGAGGTACCTGTTTCCCTTGGCTTGTCTTCTCAGTTCCCTGACTCTTGGCTTGTCTGACCATGCTTCCTTTGTGAACAGACTCTGCTTTGTGCTCTGACCTGTTTAGTGTTTAACTGTGCCTTCGGACTGGCCCTTGTGCCACACCCTGGTTGCCTGGGTCTCGGTGCTCCCGTCTTCTAGTCAACTGTCCATGCCCTGGATGGTGACGCAGAATAAGCTTTCATGGACAGTAATTCACTTCCTTAAATGCACGGAGTAAAGTGCCTTGAGGAAGTATTCATCACCCATTGATTTTTCCTCGCCTTTTGTTGTGTTGAAATGAATTTAATTAGCATTATCCATAACTTGAAGTATACAAGTTATACAAAATATGTATTTGTGAAGGTGCAAAATAAGTTTACTGTGGCACCAAAGTAAATCATGTAAACGAAAATGAACTGATACCCAACTAGGACCCTGAATGTTTTAGAATGCCAGAATCAAATCCCAGACCTCAATCTGATAGAGAATCTATTGCAAGATGTGAAGGTTGCTGCTCACCAGTGGTCCCCATACAACCTGACAGACCTGGAGTGGTTTTGCCAGGAAGAATGGGCAAACAAGTTCCGACCTGGTAGAGGCTTACCCAGGAAGGCTCACTACTGGGATTGTTGCCAAAGGTATGTTTACCAAGTACTGATGGTGTCACAGTCTGGAGCTTGGGTGGCAAGAGTCTTGGCAGAGGCTGCAGAACCTGGGCAGGGTTTAAACACTGTTCAGAGCCTGGTAGCTGGGGCAGAGGTGGAACTGTGATCACAAAACAGGCCAAGAACCCTGAGTGCAGATCAGAACAAGGTAAGGGTATGGGTGTGAACAAGCCAAAGTTCAAGAGCTAGGAAAACAAACAGAGCAGCATGTGGGTACCTGATGCAGGGTAAGCAGGCAGCATGCAGGAGAAGCAGGAGGTATAGCAAATGTGGACAGATAGTGAGGCAGAATCTGGCAAGGTAACGCAGGAGCCTGATCCAGCAAGGGTCAGGCAGGGTACAGGATCTGGAACACACTACAACTAATAGGAAGACCTGTTCTGCCAGGAGAAATACCAGAGCTTGCTCTTCTATAGCTCTTGCTCATGTCTCCCAGCTGGTGCTCATCAGGAGGCTGCGTGTTCCAGCTGGGCCTGGGCCCAATCCTGAAATCACTATGATGACCACTCTGGTTCTGGCCACCAGATGGAGACCCAGGGTTGTGTGTGAATACTTAAGTAAACAAAAACAGAGTGATTACCTAACTTTTGTGCCAGAATAACAGTATGTGCCTTCACAGTGTTGAGTGTTATGTGTACATCAAGTGGTAGCAGTGCCAATTACATCCCTTTTCAGTTCCAGATTGTGGCACAATAAAATGTGGAAAAGTCAAAGGAGGTGAATACTTTTACAAGGCACTGTATTATGAAGTTTCAGGGTTTTTTTTTTTTTTTATAATACATATAGTGCTGGGGAAGAATTGTAAGTTCTTGGAAATTTGATGCAGAAAATACTGTCAGTGACAATCGCTTTACTATCAGCATTCAAATTGCATTTGTTGCTGATGCCACAAACATCCTAGTGCTAGGAAAGACAACTAACCCATGTAATTTTATTAAGATCCTTTAATCCTGCTGAAGCGTTTTCTGCAGAAAAAGCATGTTTGGTTTATGAGATTTGCTGCTGCTACAAAATGCAACAATGCTGCCCTCTGTTTTAGATGACTTTAAAAAGAAGTTAGACAAATTCATGGTGGACAGGTTCTGGGTACCAGCCAGTGCTGGACAACTCAATGGACTTCTTTCTGAATATTAATTACTAGGGAATAAATGGGAGTGCAGTTGCCTTCCTGTTCTGCTTGTGGGCTTTCCTGGCACCTGTTGGGAATGGGATGCTAAACTAGGTGGAGCTTCTGTCTGCTCTTTTATATTTCTAACCCATCCGGTTCAGATGTGCAACCAATGTGATGGAAGTATTGAAGCTGCCTATGGCTTTTATGTAATTGCTCATCTGTAAGTGTGTACTGAATCATTTGCTGGCCAGTGCAGACTTCAGGCTCTTGGGAAGTTAAGGGACCTTGATTCTAAAACACATTGGCATACCTGGTATGTACTTGTATATTCCATCTCATTTATTCTGGCTACAAGCCAAAGAACTATGAAAAGAGTTGTGTTATCTGATGGAGCATTTTAGGATTCTGTCTAATCATATTTGAATGCAAGTAATATTGATTGGACTGAGTGTACTTAAAGTAGGACACATATTGGATAAAACCCTACATCTTGTTTTCCCAGAATGGGACCGGGAGCCTATCTGTGCAGTGTACAGTTCATAGAAGATTTTGCTGAGCTGCTGCAAACCCTCATCTATTTCTGTACTTGAACTGCTCCTGGACACCTTTTTATGGTGCCACTGTATTCTGATAAACTGGGGGATCAATCCCATGTGTGTTTAGACAGAAAAAGGGTCTGCCAAATTCTGGCATTCCCCAGCCAGCTATGCTGGGAATTGTAAGACATCTTTGTGTTAACATGCATAAGATTGTAGCAAAGGTGAGCTTTTCCATATGAAGGCTATAACATTATGGACAATGTAAAGAGAGAAAGTGCAGCAAATCATAGTATCACTTCAAAAATGCAGTGCAGGATTGCCATACATTTCTAAACCACTTCTGTATTTTCCTTATCCCGTTTTTTTGAGTCTAAGCATTCTGCAGTAGGATTCTGGGGAAGCTAGTAAATTTCACTGAAGCTTTTTCTCTTATTTTTAGAAACAGGAAGAGGGCTGATGACCACAAAAACTCTTCAGGTTAGTATTCCTATTATACATGGATGGAGAAGTACATGGATTGAGAAATGAATATTTGTTTGTGGCATTCTCCTGCATTACTATTAATACTTCTGTAGTAGTCTTAAAACTTCTTAGATCTACAAAATGAAATTCTGAATTGTTAGGAAAATGTATATTAAATTACAGCACCATTTTCAAATCTGACTTTTGTACAATTGTTGTTTAGTCAATGCAGCCTATCTATTTATGTTTGATATTTCACTCCTGGTCAGTCTTAAAAAGCAGCTTACAGTAATTTAGAAACACAAGAATCCTTTACAACAATAAAAATTTCATAAAACTGTTCCTGACTGTGGACTGTGATTGCTGGGGTGGTGGGAGCTGAAGTCCGAAGCATCTGGAGGGTATCTGGTTGGGTAAGGCTAGAACAGAACTTAAAGGTGAGTGTATGAGCAGGGCTTCTAAAGCGAAACAGAAGCCCTGGAGAGGTCTGCATGGTTGTAAGCCATCTTTCAGATAGCCTGTTCCCAAATCATGTAGGGATTAAGAGGTGCTTCAATTTTTTTGGAAACCCAGTAGCAGTCGGGTATTAAGTATTCTGGGAGGTTGCATTCTTGCACATTGGAGTTCCTGAGTACTCTTTGAAGGTAACTTCATGGAGAGCACACCACAGTAGGCTAGTCTGGCTGTTTTGCTTCTCCACATGGTATTTGTTATGCCAGCCAAAATGATTGCAAATTAAGAATTCATGGTGGTGAATTTCTTAGAAAGTTGGCATGTGAAATTGAAAACAAGAAATCCTCATGACTTGACTAGGTTAAAAGTCAATGACTGGGTTTGGATAGGATAGAAAAATGTAAATAAATGAGTAAATAGGACTTTGTATTCAGTAAGTGATCCTTCAAGGGTCATTTTGATTATTATTAGGACAAATAATTTGAAAATGGTGGTATAATTTTGTATATACATACAATGAACTATGGTACCTGCTCAGACTTTGAGGATCATTTAACCCTTGCATAACCTATGCTTTCCACATTTATACTATGGTCACTAAATAGGTGTTGCATAGTAAATGCAAATGGCAGCCCCACACACCCCACAGGAGTGCTTTTATCCAGCTGTAAATTGAAGCTGAGATATATTTGCCTATTTTAAGTCTAATCAAGTTGTCTTTTCGAGGATCTTGACAGGAAGACATATTTTTCTTAAAGGTAAGATAATTTAGCATTTAATAAACAAAGGTTAGCTCTTGTTGCTAAAAGAAAATGATATCTTTATTTTAAAATTGAACTTGGAAATATGGAATAACTCCTTCATGGTAATCCGTTGTTTTGGTGTCTTAGCTCTGAGGTTGGTCAGTATATTCCCTCTGATGTGGAGATAGAGTTGTTTGTGTGTTTTAATATTCTATAGGAAGAAGAGTTGATTATTTCATTGCCTGAAGAATGCTTGCTCACCACTAAAACTGTACTTAACAGTTACCTTGGAGAATACATTGCAAAGTAAGTTGATAGTCACTTAACAAAACCTTGAATTGCCTGTTGGGAATTCATAGATCACTCACTGAAGCTACTGTTGGGATGTGTTACCCCTTCTTAATGATTTCTGTTGCTTTCAACAGAGCTGTGCAAAAATTGCATCTTTCACTATAGGTCAGGGATGGGCCACCTGGACTGCAGATGTTATTGAACTGCCTTGGGTATCACCTCAAAACACCTAGGCAATATTGATGGATGATCCGGAGGGCTATAATTCATTTACCATTTCTCTTACAGCCAGATAGGTGATGGTGTATTAAAGGCAAATATATCAAAGGAATGCTGAAAAGGAAATCAGACATTTAGAGTGCCATCAGGTGGTTTCCTATAACCTTCCAAATCTGGCAGATTACTGGACATCTAATATTTATTTAAAGCTTTTCTTAAACTGTTCAATTGGCAATAGCTCTCAGAAGGCAGGAGGAGAATAGCAGTCGTAGAATGGCACCTATGCTCCCTTTGCGCTCCAAAAAATGGAGACAGATGATTTTGGCCACTTAAATGTTTTCCCCTTCTTTGTGAGGAAAGATGGCAGAAGCACTAGAGGGCAGCATTGCCTCTTTCCTTCCCTCCCACTCTGCCGCCCTGGCTCTGAAGGGGATCTTCCTTCTCTGGAGCTGGTCTGACTGGAAAGAACTTTACTGCTGTGAGGATGGGGTGAGGGCCTCTGAAGCTGTCTTCTGAGGCCAGAGCCGAGACTCCATTTCCAAGTTCTGAGCTGGGACTCCAACCTATTGTATTGCCTGCCCTCGTCCTCACAGGATTTCATGCTAAATCTTCCGTTTATGTTGAAAGCTGTCTTCCTCGCCCCCCCACCCCGCCCCGACCCTTCTAAGCCGATCAAGACAATGGGCTTCTAACTACAGTCTTTAGTATGCCAGCTAGGCCACTTTGCGATATAGAAGGGACATTGCATTAACGTTAATGATCTTGAATATCATTGACAAAAGAAAAGAGCTAAGATAGAAAAGCAGCTCTTGGGGAAGCATAGCTCATGCTAAGAAGTTGATTGAAAACAGAATCCCTCTTCTTCCTTCCCAGCCCAGTGGAGTTAGTTCTGACCTTGGGGTGGTTCCTGCTGCTTCTGAGCCAGGCAGTTGAAATGTCAGTTGGTCTGCTCTTCTGATCAGTTGTGGAACTATGAGGCTAATCATATTATCCTCCCCACTCTGGCTCTGCCTGTACAGCAGTATTTTCCCTGGAACCAAACATGGTCTGATTCCTGCCAGTCTTTTGGGGTGTCTGACCTTGGAATATTCCATTTTGAGGGGAGTGGGCCACTTCCTACATTCTGACACTTACTTGGACGTAAGCTCTGATAACTAAATGGGACTAATGTCCAGATGAACATGTGTTGCTTACACTGCACAGATCATTTACAATAATGATGAATAATGAAAAAGAAAATTAATTTCAAAATCTGTTTTTAAATATTTAGAACTACATATCAGCATGCATGCCAAACTTAAAGAAAAAACAATAGTAGAAGAAACCAACATGTTATTTAGGAGCAGATCAAAACAAATCTAGACTGCATACTTTCCTGGAAATAAGTCCTGTTAAACCCCACGAGTCTTATTCCTGAGTAAACATGCATAGGATCGCACTGTAAATAGCAAGCCCCGAACAGTTGAACAAGACTCCTGGGCTAATTGAAGCACCACTGATTGCAGTCCAGTTTTATATTGTTTAATGCTACAGCCTTCAGTTCAATTCGATTACATGCACAGTTTGACTGTTTTAGGCTAGGGCTTTCCATACATAAACATAATCAGTCAACAGGTTGCCTTAAAATCTTCAAGAAGTTAAGCATACGTTACTTCCTACAGTGTGTGCCTGGAGCATTTGCCTTTGATGACTAACCAGTATAAGTCAGTGTGGTGTAGCGGTTACAGTATTGGACTAGGGCTGTTGAGATCTGTGTTCTAGTCTAGTCTGGAACACTCAGTGGTTGATGACTTTGAGCTGGGGCTGGGTCCATGATTAAAAAGGTAAAGGTTTCCCCTTGACATTAAGTCCAATCATGCCTGACTCTAGGAGGTGGTGCTCATCTCCATTTCCTAGCTGAGGGAGCCAGTGTTTGTCCGCAGACAGTCTCCGTGGTCATGTGGCCGGCATGGCTAAACACTGAAGTGCACGGCACGCTGTTGCCTGCCCACCGAAGTGGTACCTTCTTATGTACTTGCATATGCATGCTTTCGAACTGCAAGGTTGGCAAGAGCTGGGACGGAGCAACGGGGACTCACCCCATTGTGCAGATTCGAACCGGCGACCTTTCGATCAACCAGCCCAGCAGCACAGTGGTTTAAACCCCTGTGCCACCTTAGGCATGCACAAATTGGCTGGTAGAAATAGACTTCACCATACCCTCTGCCCACAGAAGATGCTACCATCCTGTTCTGGAGTATTCCCCATTGTCCTCACATCACATCCTTTTCCATTCAGTTGGCTCCTTTGGCCACCTGTGTAGCATTTGGGGTAGGAAGCTGGTGGGGCTGCTGTAGAGAGGAAGGCAAAGGGGAGTCTGCTTTCACCAGCCTGGCTATATACTCCTAAATCTGGATTCAACCAAAGTGTTCGGGGGTTGCTTTTGTTAATATATTAATACTTTTAATGCTTTTTTTGCCTTTGTAATAGATGGAAGCCCTCCATTTCTCCTTTGATAGCACTCTGCACATTTTTAGTGGCGGAGAAGTATGCTAACAAGAAATCTTTGTGGAAACCATACCTGGATCTCCTACCTGAAACATATACCTGTCCTATTTGTTTGGAGCAAGAAACTGTGAACCTTTTTCCTGAGCCACTAAGAAGGAAGGTCCATGAACAAAGAGAACTGGTTCAGGAACTGTTTGTTTCATCCCAGCCTTTTTTCACTTCCTTGCAGCCTTTGTTTCGTAGAGATGTGGTGTGTCTCTTCAGCTACACTAACTTCCAGTGGGCTTGGTGTACCATCAATACAAGAACAGTATACATGAAACATTCACAGAGGGACTGTTTTTCTAGAGAGCCGGATGTGTATGCCTTAGCCCCATACTTGGATCTGCTAAATCACAGTCCATCTGCCCAGGTAAAGAAATTCTAATCAGGCATGTGGGATATGTATAGGTGTGAAACTGGAACCAAGTAGTAGTACCTGCAGAGTGTTGTGCTCCTGCTCCTGCATCTCTGTGTTCTTTTGACCCCATAATAGCCAGCCAGCTTTCCATACATGCTTACTAGCTGCTGGGCCACTAGGGCCGAAATGCTTTTATGAAATCTTATCAGGCAACAATAGACTCTTGCAGTAATAGAAGGACAACCAACTCTATCCATAGCAGAGCCACTGTGATTCCACACAGAAAGTTGCTAACTTTCCACATACCTCGCTTTTTGTAAGGGTCCCTGGTGAGAGATACACCTCTTGCCAGTGGAGAGATGCCCCATCTAATCCTAGTTTCCTTCAGCCGGCTGGATTTGATGGTTAGTGTTTGGTTGGTCTGTCCTTTTGACTGTTTCAGAGTATTATGTGTTTCACTTTAGTCCCATTGCTTAAAATGAAGCATTTGAGTAGTATTCTAGAACAGCAGATCAACTCAATCACACTGCCAGGCTAAATGATCTGAGGAAGATATGCATGGTGAAACATGTCCATATACTTCTCTGGACATTGGTACAGGCCATGTCTAACAGAGAACACAGCCTTCCACTTAACTCCTCTTTTAAAATGTCTCCAGTTTGCAAACATGATGCCAAGAATATGGAGTTTGATTGGTGGATTGCAGATTTCTGAAGGCCCTTTATTCCAAGCCCTATGTCAAATGCTTTGGTTGTGTTGCTGAGTGGTTAGGCCACATGGGGAGTGAAAACCCTCTCTAGAGTCTCAGTCAGAACCTTCAATCACACTTCCCATCTAAACTGAAAGACAGCAAGATAGTTAATTATCAGAAAAAGTTTTACAGAGTAAGAAAGCCAGTATACACCAAATAGAAAATGAAGTCCCACTCTGCAACATTCTTAATAATGGGAGAAACAGTGGCTCTTAGGTAGCTTTAAAGTCTGTTAGACAATCTTCTCATGCACTTTTATTTTCTCCACCTCCTTCAAGGTGAAAGCGGCATTTAATGAAAAGACAAAGTGTTATGAAATAAAAACACTTTCACACTGTCAAAAATACAATGAAGTATTTATCTGCTACGGAGCTCATGATAATCAGCATCTGCTTCTAGAATATGGCTTTGTTGCCAGCTGCAACCCTCACAGCACGGTGCATGTTGGGACAAGTAAGGCTGTGATTTGAACTTGATGTTGGGTGATGCACAGTGACTGGGGGCCTAGGACAGGGATGGCTGACTCTCACTGACTGGAGCACCGAATGGTTTAGGGGCTCCAGCTGCAGCTAGCCCTGGCTTCATCTCAGCTTGCCTGATGTCTTGGGCTGGTAACATCTTTCAGAAGTGAGCAGGGTGAGGTGTAGTGGGCAGGCTGTGCCAAGGTTACAGTGAGGTGGTTCTGTTGCAATATGATAATGGCAGTATTACTGGCTTCCTCTTCTCACCCCTGCACATCTTCCCCAGTGGGCTTACAGTACCATGGAACTGATGGGGATGTTTGAGGCCACAAGCTTGCATTGTCTTGGTACATGCATTCCCCTGGTATTGTGGAGGCATGGCAAAGCTGCCCATGCCGGCAACGGGAGGAATTCTAGCAAGGATTCCACTGTTGTGGTTCAAGGCATCCCACGTTGCTCCCATGAGGTGGGGATGAACAGTGCTGCTGCTGCAGCTCCCTTGCCACTGGTTAAATGTTGCCTGCTTTGAAATTAGAATTCTGGTGCTTGAGCAGGGCCTGGATGCAAAGCCCAGGGGTGGCTCTTTCCGCCCAAGGCTGAATTCCATGGTGGAGGAGCATTTGGTGGCTGCATTGCAGTGTAAGCAGGACAAAGGAGGTGGGGCCAAATGAAAGAAGATGGATTCAGACAGGGTTTTACTTCTGGTCTTCCAGCATGGCAATCCTTGGATTAGGAGATTGGACTGCTGTGACACAAGAAAGTGCAGAATTTCATATGTAAAAATATTATTTGCAAACACAGTCAGAATGAAAGGAAGTACTATTTTAAATAAAGATCCACAAAAACTGCTGACGCTTAATTCAGAAACAGAAAAGCAAATCTGGCAGAGGTCCTCTCCCCTTCTATGAACAAAAAGTTGTTCTTTTGGGGTTGAAAAGGAAGGCAGGAATCTTGCTGTTCAGGTACAAGTCTATTTTATGTGTGAGTCCTATACCAACATAAAATCCTTTGTTATAAACTGAGTGTTATTTTAAGTTGGTATAGTTTCATTTAAGCCCTTACCCTAAATATAAGTGCCTCTTTTCTGAAAACATCATTTCTGACATTTAGACTAGTTCCAAAGGAAGTCTGTAACTTCCTCTTTAGCATCTTGTCTCTGTACCTAGTACTTCTCTCATGAACCTTTCTCAGTCAACAGATGACTCTGCTGTCCAAATTCACTCCATTTCAGACTAGGCCTATAGAACCAATCTGTTACCTCCTTGAAAAGCAGGACTGGGCTTAGTGGTGTTCAACTTGTATGAGCAGGGAGTGCAACCACCCTGCTCCTGCGATTTGCTTTTTGATTGTTTAAATGATTCCTGACTCACCTTTCAGCATAAGATGGCTTACAAAGAATTTACACACACACACACACACACACACACACACACACCTCTTCGGTACAATGTATTAACCAAAATGCTGACTGGAATAAAACTCTTTTTTTCTTTTGGAAAAACCAACAGTGATAAAACAATTTATATTTTTTTTCTGGGGAATGTGTTGCAACGGTATGGTACTACCATCAAGGAAGTTCTGGCCCTGCTACCTGCTAACCTACCTTGACCAGAGATGACTGTCAGGCATTGATATTAGACCTTGAATAGGCTCACAGTTCAGGGAAACTTGGTAGCCATTTGAAACATTGTATGGTGGGTAGGCTGGAGACACACACACACTTTGCTTCCCTTGAACAAAGGAAAACCACATGGGATGGGACCACTAGCTTTTACAGTCAAGCTATGTTAGAATTATAGAGCACTCTGCTAGAAGAGAAAAAAAGTGTGCATTTCTATTGTTTCTAATATGTGTAGAGGAAATACTATATTCTAAGTCGGTCTTAGTTTGGCTTTTACCCAGTGACTAATATGATAAAAATAATACTTAAAATGTTATTTTTGACTACTACAACTATTGGTTGCTTTAAACATTTTTCTTTTTTTCAGATACCTTACTTAAATATCTTTTTCCAGAAGATAAGCAGAGGCAGATGAAACTTTCCATTTTACAAGAACACAGACTTTTAGAGTAAGTTATGAGTGTGTGTGAGTTAAAATGCTATTTGTTTTAAACTCAGCATTTTCTCCCTTCTGAAGGAACTGCTTGTGGTAAAAGCAATAGTCATTAGCCCTTGTGTGGAGCTAGCACATGATACATCAGGACATACTGCCTTTGACTGCAGTTAATAGTTGATATTAACTAACAGCCATTCATTCATGTGTCAAACGCCATCTTTTTACTGCTGCTGATTAATTTTGGATATGTGGGATAGGTAGATGGAGAGCGTATTTTCTGAGCAATATATCAAATATTCTGGTTTTAGATTTTTTTTTTAATTCTCTCTTCCAACTCTAGTGATCTGACATTTGGTTGGGATGGACCATCTTGGAGGCTTCTTACAGCACTCAAATTGCTATGTCTTGAAGCAGACCAATTGTAAGTTGCAAATACTTGTTGAAAAAACCTGTGACATAGTACCATTTTTAATGCCATTGTTTGACTGCTCAGAAGTAAGACATACAAATATGTTCAAACCTCTTGGTTATAGTACTTCCTGGAAGAAAGTTCTACTTGGTGAGGTAAACTTGGAGAGGAATGAAAAGAAGAGTTTGGACCTTGCAACAAAAATATGTATGTCATTAATAGAAGAAACTCAGTATGCACTTCAGAAGGTATTCATTTTAATTGTTTAATCTGCTGTAGCACAAGGCCTGAGGGTGGATCACACTATATTGAGAACTACATGAAAAATAAATTAATAAAGTTGAGGTAATACAGTTAAACAGCATTAAAATTCCCAAGGAATAAAAAACAGTCCTGAAACAGGCATCTCTCCTACCAGCTTCACTGCAGCCACTGAAAGCCAGATCCCAAAAGGAAGAGGGCTCACTTTGTAGAGAAGATGTTTTGCTAAGTCTTCCAGAAGAAGAACTAGAATCGTGGAGGCAGTCTTACCAGGAAGGTGGGAAGGAATCAGTGGGTATTCAGAAGGTTCTCTTCAAGCAAAAGTAAGGCAGTGTGTGGTAATTTTGCTAGAAGGAAGAAGTGAATCAAGCTATATTTGGAAAACTTCACCATTGGCTGCTTCTGCTAGTCCTGAAAAGGGACAAAGATTTGTAAGTCAGAAAAGCCCAGTTCCTGCATATGTCTAGGCAAGCACCAAAGGAACTGCCTCCAAATTATTTTCTGCCTCTGAGATTTCACCAGCTGGTGGCTATAATGAAGCCTAGCTACACAATCTCTTAAGGTCTACATGAGTGGGTGAATGTATTTCACCAGGTCTGCCTGGTGCCGTCGTTATTTGTTTTTCGGCGCCAGGTTAAGACCTTTTTATTCCAGTGGTATTTTAATACATTTTAATATTGTCTTTTCTATGTTTTTAATTGCAGCCAGTGTGGGTTGGAAATTTTATTTATGTTATTTATGTTATATTTTACATTGTAAGCCATCCTGAGGCTTTTTTGCAAATAGGACTGCATATAAATATTATAAATAAATATTTAAATGGACCTGATTTTTTTAAATTAACGTTTCTTTACTATTTTATTTTTCAGGTTTCTCTGTTAAAACATGATCATGTGCACCTTGTAGACCAGCTAAGTTTGGTAGAGGCATTGCGTACTGAAGACCTACAAATCTTGCAACTGTCGTCTCAGATACTTCAACGTTTACTTTCCTCAACTATTTGATCTCCTTGAAGTAGAATTTAATCTTGGAATACAATCTTCGATAGGCAGTTAGGGCAGCTTTCATAGCAGAAGCCACAAGCATTATTTATCATTTACCTCCCCCACACCCAAAAAAATCAAACCAGCATTTCTAGGGTAAGGGAGCACTATAAAAATGAAGAGAAGAAATAGAAATCCACAAATCCTAAAAGTCCTTTCACTTAAACTAAAAGTTACAAATAACTGAGGGAAGATGCTTGCTGGACAGGATGGTTTTGTAGTAGATAACAATGAGGTCAGATGCTTTTGTCTGTAAAGACTATTCTATGTGCCTCAGTAGAGGCGGCCATTTTGTCTCCACCAACTTAACCTTCATCAACAGTACTGGAACAAGAAAAACCTCAGACTGAACAATGTTCCTGAACTGGTTGTTGTGGGAAGAGGTGGGTTAGATACTTATTTTGGAATCCCTATTAATAGTACATTAAGAAACCAGGAGAGCTCAGTGTTAGTGTAAGAACCTTCTGGTCTAATATACTTCACTGTCAGGGGAGGAAGGCTTTGTATTAAAGCAGATCCCACTACCCTCTTTTAATAGGGGAATTCAGCATGTGACTTGTTACTGTGTATCGCTAATACAAGGTCAACAAATGTGTATGTATATGCTAGTTTATATTAAACTTGTCACCAGTTAAAGGATTCATCTCAGAGCCAAGTGTTTCAGAGGTTTTTGCAGGCATTTTAGAACAACTGAGTAATTAAGGACAGGCATTACAGTGTAGTGAACATATTGATTTTTAACTTGATAGCTTTACTTTTTAGTGTACCAGTTTGCTTTTACTTGAAACTCTGAAGACAGCTCTATTGGTTCTATATATATTAAATATATTTTTCAACATTGTAAGTCTTTGTTCATTCATTTCCTTGTGTTGCTAACAGGGAAGAGAAAAATCCATAGCTGAGGAACTGGTTGAGCAGTTCAAGTAAAGCAAGACAGAGTAAATTAATCAAAGGTAATTTTATGTCTCTCAGGAGATCCAGATTATATGCTGCTTAAGGGGCCTGAATCATAATAAGAGCAGTACAGAGCTGTGCATTGCCCAGAATTCCACTGCGGTCGTAACAGCACTGCAAGTTATATTGGGCAGTTCTGGTTCTCAGCACAGAACATGTGCTCATCTTTTCCCTTCCCTTTCCTAAAAAAAAAGAGGGGGGATTCAGTTAAGGTAGATCTGGATTCTGGCTTTACATTAATACACATATTAGCTGTTGCTTTTGTACTTGTAGGTTTTAATATGTCTTTATATTGGTTTGAATTGTCTAATTGAATTGACTAAACTTGGAAAAATTAGTTGGGGTAAATGTGTGAAATTAATGAACATGTGGTACACTCCTGTACATGTCTAATTAGGCATGCATTCAATTGGATCCACTCTTGAGTGTGCATACAAGTTTGCTTCCCTAGACTGCCAGTTTAGCTCATTTTAAAAGAGTAAATATTGCATTTACATTATTTCCCTAAGAAACATGACAGTTCTAACATAAAAATATCAACAGTACAGTTTGTCTTATGTGGTTTGTCGGTTAGCTATTGGAACTTAGTTTACAAGTTTTTATAAAAATCTAAATTTTTCAACTTGAGTTGCTGCCAATAATGTTTCTTTTTCAATTTGCAGTCTCCCTGGTTATTATTCCCATCCAGATATATGGCTGAGCAGAAATACCAGAAATATTCGGTAGATGTTGGTCTGTGGTGCCTGTATTAAGGAAAGGTTTAAAGGGAAGCTACACCTCCACAAACCTTTTTCCATATTTTTATACATTCATCGAGTCACACACTTGTATCCAGGAAAAAAGGCAATTCTGTTCGCACCATTTTAGTCGTGGTCTGGTTGTTGAAAGAAAGGATTGGGAACTTTCTTCAGCTTCGCTCTGATTCTTCTTCAAAAACATTTAGCAGAGTTATTTTTCCTAGGTGAGGTCTAGAGGTCTAGGTATATTAAAACCAACCCCCACCCTGTTCAGACAGGCAAGAAGTTCTGCAATTCCCAGTAGGCCTAAGCCAGCTTCTGCTGCATCTAAAGAAAGAAAAAAAAACCAGGCTACTTGCTAATAAATGACCCTCCCCTGCAACCAAGCAAAACAGAGCTCATCATGAAAAATCAATTAGTAATTTGCAGGGGAAGGGCACCCTAAAGTGCATGGTGATTTTTCTTTCAGGTTTGCAATTTCCATGTTGACCACTGGAGGAGTTCATTCAGAGCTGTGCTCAGTGTTCCTGTAAAAGAAATTGACCTGCTTTTACTCCCAGCTATTTATACAGTTTGACAAATCACTGCTTAAGTCCTGCAACAAAAGCAAGTTTAGTGAGTATTTTCCCCATAAGAATGTAGATTCAGGCATATTGAAAAATTATATATTTTTACAGGATTTAGCTTTTGCTACAAACAGTTTTTTTCCCCCAAAGGATGCATGAGAGGAGTAATCTGAAACATAATGCTGTTTAAGTTCCAAAGCAGAATGTAAATGTAACAATAGTGTTACATACAATAAAGTTACAGGAAAGCAAGATATCCTTTTGGCACTTTTGCAATGCCAATGGAAGTAACTGCATTTTATTTTATTATTTTTATTTTTTTATTAGTAGAGTTATTAATAGTTAGGGTCTCATGAAAAAAGGGGAATGTGGTGATCTCAGAAGCTCCCTTGATATCATTTTACAGCTCTCATTAGACTGGTTTTTAGTTTCCCAGCTTCAGCTATAAAATGTAGGAATCATTCATCATGGGTTAGTGCTTTTAGACCTGTCTATTCAAGAAAGATAAGATAGTATCAACTTTCAAACTCTGTTAATTAAAGCTTTTAAGTGCATTATGAATGAAATGTCAAAAGATGACACTAAGGGGAAAGATCTGTAAACGATGTCTTCAAGGATTCACTTGTTCTTAGAAGTGAAATACCCTTTAGAAATATGAAGCTGTGTAGAAGAAAGGACTCCTTTACAGTATGAATTATATGAAGTAATTTCCAGTGTGGTGCATCCATGAGCATAGATGAAGATACTGATAAAGAGGGGGAATGGAAGAAAATGTTGGCACTGCGGCAAAGTAAAACATGCCTAGCTTGTTTAATTGCAAACTAAATGCAGGCTGGACTTGTTACAAGGATTGTAAAACTAGGCTGTGCTTCACATTGCCTGGGGCAATTTTTGCTTTTGTGCTAATAACGCACACAAATTCCTAGCATTTTATGGTTGAAATGTGCAGCCAAAAGGAACTTAAGATAGTTTGATAAGCATATAAGCAGGCTAAATGCAGATAGTCTGAATTTTGTCACATACTGGATAAACTTCTCAACTAGGCTAGTTGTTTGGAGTGCTGGACAGGTTGGAATTCTAGAGTGAGTCCGTCCGTCCGTCTGTGTATGGCAGGCACACACAGGGCAGGCAAGGGGAGAGAAAGTGTGTATGTCTATCCAGACTGTCGTCAAGGTCGGGTTCCGCCACTGAAGAGCAAGACATACTCTGGACTCAAGCTAAATGCTTTTAGGGAAAAAGTCCATCCAGTAGTTGATACCTTGTCATCTGATCAGTTTATACAATGGGTTTGTGCAAGTTTCTCATAGAAATCTTCAACGGGGAACAGTGCTACCTGCCTTGGGCCATGACTTATTTATTTATTCTTATTGGATTTATATCTTGTTCCCTTTTTAAAGAACACAAAGCGGCTTATAATATTCTCCTCCTCCTGCTCTTAATCTTAGCACCACCGCAACAACCTTGTAAGTTAGGTTGGACTGACTGGTCCAAAGACACCCATTTGGTTCCATGGCTGAGTGGGGACTAGATCCCAGATTACCTGTGTCCCAGTCTCATGCTCTGAACCAGTACAGCACACTTTGAACTATGCTGTTCATACAACATGCATGAGCAACCTTGTGGCCCTCCACTTAATTGGAAGATTAGGCAGCATTTTTTACCTGTAAGAGCCAGAGTTGGCAACTTACAGTGCTCCAGATGTTTTGGTTTTCCGTGTCCATGGAATGGGAATTGGAATTGTTGGCCAAAGAATGCTGTAAAGTGCCAATTCCTGTTCTTACAGGCAAAGAATACAGGCTAATCTTAAAATGTCTGGAGGCCCATGCTTGTTGCCCGTTGTTCCAGAAGATAGGACCAGCAGAAATGGATGGAAGCTGCAAGGAAGCAGACTTTGGTTACACATTAGGGAAAGTGTTCTAATGGCAAGAGCTGTGTGAGGCTGAAATGAAGGGCTCTTCCCAATTGGATGTATTTAAGCAGAGGGTGGTTGTTGGAGATGCTGTAGTTGCTTCCTGCATTGCAGATCCTGCATGGAGCAGTGGGTTGGACTATGTGACCCTCCAAGAACTTATAATTGTACGTAATTCTAACTTGTTATTCTGTTGCAAGCCACCCAGGGAGCTTCATCTGTGGGGTTGTATGATGGCTCTTGGGTCCCTACAATTTTGTCATTAAATTTCACCTTTGGGATGGAGCAGGCTATAAATCTTAAACTCAGTTTAGTTCAGTTGTTTTATCTTCTCTGTTTTGGCATTTACTCAGTCACCACTGAGCATAGTTCAGCATGGTATTGTTAACCCTGAGCAAGTTGCTCTTAAGCCTCAATATCAGTTCTGAGAAATAGATCTAATGATTTGTGTTGCAAATGAATTGCAGGGATAGTAAGTTAAGCACCTTGCATGTTAAATGTGCAGGAAAAAAGCCTAAGAATCAGGCTGTGTTGTAGGCTACAGCTATCATTTAGCAAGCTGGCTGGGATTGATAGCAATTGTAATCCAAAACACCTGGAGGCTACCTGGTTGGGGAAGGCTGCCACAAAATTCCAAATCCTCTTCAAAAAGTGCAATCCTCTTCAAAAAAATGTAAGTCATGTTAAGCTTTACTTTGCTTTCTTGGTGAACAATACAATGTGCTAACCTCAGTACAAACAGAAAGGTGATTAACCATTTTATTTGGCCAATAATTTCTCAGGAACACTGCTATTTTCATAATGGTACACTAGAGGGTGTGTGTGCACTGCACAGGAAATTAACCTTAAAAATGCTCATTCATTTATTTTTAAAGAACAGCAAAAGGTCTTCATTGATTTCTGTAGTAAAAGAACATCAAATAATGAAGTTTAAAGTGTTCTAAAGTGTACATAAAGTTGTTTCATTCTTTCCTTTTGTTTTGTATCTAACATGTCCAGGTTCTCTAAACTAGATTGCATTGTGTGTGTCATGCAAATGTAGCAGCGCTCATGAGGGATAGGAACAGGTGCTCAAGACCCCTCAAGGTGCAGAGGCCCAGTGGGAGAGGGCTGCAGCCTTTATGTTCTTCTTGTGGACTTCTCAGACTTACGGGATTTGTCACTGGGAGAAACAGGATCTGGACTAGATGAACTATTGATTTGATCCAGCAGGGTATATCCTACCTTTTAAAGCTGCAGTTACTTTCCCCTATTGTCTTTCAAAATATATTTAATATTCATACCCCCAAAACTTAAATCAGTGGTTTTTCAAGTATTTTGCCATATGCAAATTAATCTGTCAAGGAAACCTTGTGATTGCAGTGGTCTCTCTCTCACACACACATACCCCTATGTCTCAAAGTACACCAAAAGCTCCAGTGTTGGCAGAACCTTGCAGGGGAATGGTGTGCAAGCTGTCTCACAGCAGCCTCTCCACTATTGCTGGTCTTTCTACTGAAGAAACCTTGAACATTTGAGAATCTCAGAGTTTCTGAGAACCAAGTTTGGACAATATTGACTGTTTTGGATCCAGTCATAATACTGTCTTAAGAACACATTACAGTGAGTCATACAGGTTGCTTCTGGTTTGGGGAAGTGATATACTGAAAAGGTATTTTGAAGTTTCAAGACATGATTT